ACCTTAACATTGAATTGTAAACATAAATTGACATCCTGTTGACAAATACGTTATAAAACTAGTTAAGCAAGAATTGTTCGTACTGGAAAGCAAACTGTAAAAGGTATTGTAAAGCATTTCTATGATATGCGTACTTAAAGAAAGTATAAAGAAGTTTTGGAATATGTTTGTTGAAATTAAGGGTAAAAAATTGATAAGTATAATTAAAGAATTATTCCCCTTACATTTTATAATTTATATGTATTGTTGAAATTAAGGGTTAAAAAAATCTGATAAGTATAATTAAAGAATTATTCCCCTTACATTTTATAATAACTCAGATGACAAGTTTTAAAGAATACTTTTAAAAAATCCTTATTTTATTATTATTATTATTTATTAAATCCTTATTTCAGAAATGTTCAGAGAAAGTTAAGTACTATTTAAGTATTTCGCTATTAAAATAAAAGGTGCTCTAATTTAAAATGGACCGAATAGAGCATTAATTATAAATTGATTTATATTTTTTTATTTAAAAGATGCCTCGCAAGCTAAAAATTCATGTCATATTTGAGAAAGTATTTCAGGAAGAAACTCTACAAATAGAAAAGAAATAATGCATAATTTTAATATTAATAATATAATAAACTTTGATCTTAATTTTGTAATCCTTAACAGAATAAAATCGAATTACCTTAAAATTTCTTTCTAATGTAATTAACGAAAACTTGTGAAAATATTTCATTCAAATTAAATCATTCTGAGCCAACTGTTCTGTAAAAAGTATAGTCTTTAATTCCGTTCAGAATGAAATGTTGTTTAAAAATGCATTCTTTTCATATACTTAGGACTCTGAAGTATTGTAGAAAAAGAAAATATATACATTTATATGCATATTTACGCCGTAATTACAAAATATTTACATCCGATCGTGTCAAAACCCATTGAACTTAATGGTAAATTACCTAATGTTTTTGTCACCAATGAAGGGATCGAAAGTGCTTCAAAGCAGGGTTAGGAAACCGGTTTAGAGCCACTCCATCTAACTTCCTACCTCCATGTTGGACAGGAATTAAGCTACTGGCGCCATCTATTGATGAAACTTGAAAACTAAAACATAATTTCCTGAAAAGCTGAAGGTATAGATGGATTGGAATTAGGGTCGTTTGTTTCATTTGTACATTGCCAGCTGAAGAATTAAATAATAATTTTCTCTAAATAAACCATCCAAAGCTAGTCCTTCAAAATTTACAAATCTAAAGCTGATTCTCGTTTTTGACTTTTTCAATAATCACTATTCGGCATGTTATTTTAACATAAATTAGCATTTATTTCTTTTGACTTGGCTTATTAAGCATTACGTAAAGTACCGATTAAAAAATGACGTCTGATATTTTCTGAACATCGAACTCTCAAGGGTTTTTTATAGAAATTTTTTCCTTTAGTTATGATACTTGTAATTAAGAATTTGATAACATTTCAGAAAGTTATCAAGTGCCTCTTTAAGTCTGGCATATTCTTCCTGAAATTATATTTACTTCGAAGTTATAAGGAGCTTCTACGCTACGATATTTTTCTTTTTGCTTTATCACATGAAATCTACTTTTCAACACTTGTTATGATTCTGTTAACAGGTCTTTTTTTTTTCAAGCGTGCATAGCGCAGCACAAGCAGTGCAGTGATTTCTTATGGTTTCTTTGTAAATAGGAGTGGAATAGATGTATTGAGTCCCAGCTCTTATTGTTAATTTAATAAGATTTAGCCTTTCATCAATCACAGTACCTTCTTTTCGTTGATTTTTTTAGAACTTCAAATGGACGTTCACGTAAACAGGGCATTTTTTTATATCTGAAACTCCGTTTTGTCCATTTCGAAACATGAAATCTATTCTTATATTAAATTTCGGTTAAATTATTTGTAATGTATGAATTTTGAAAGATTTTCTGCTATTATAGGAATAATAGTATTAACATCTACGGTAATTAAAAACTATTTTGAGCCATCAAAATCTCAATATATGAAGAATTAGTAATCACTGCCTAGTTATATTAATATCTTCCTCTTTCCTTCGGTAAGTGTAAAATGTTGAAGTGTTGTAGTTTCTTTTTCAGTGCCGAGGTTTACTGAAACAGCTGTGAATTTTAGGTAGTGAAATTACATGTACACTTTAAAATGGTTTTATATATTTATATACTGCAGAGAGAACTAGGTCTTCACTATAACAAAAAAATTATGTATGAATAACATAGAATTTAGTACTTTTATTTGAAGCGAAATACTACCTTAAATTTATCACATTTCTCAAGTCTCGTTGGTTTCTAAATAGATTTTGCTTTTTAAGACAGTCTTTTTCTGATGTGCTGAAAGTAGAAATAATTAAAACCGTATATTAAATGATTTATATTTTTAGAAAAGTTGATGAAATTTCTCTGACAGCCTGATATACATATACGCATATCAGGGAGCAATGCATTTGTTTTTAATCTCTTTTTTAAAATTTTGAAAATTTTCTACTAGTTCATAGCTCATAATCAATTATTTGCACCTGTTTTGCAGATCTCTTTTAAGTTTCCTCCGTAGTTTCTTCATAAATTAAATAAGCCAGAACTATAAAAGCATTTTAAAATTTTCAGATATTTTACTTCTACTCGTATGTCGCATTGACATGACGTCACGTGTCACAAATGACATTAAAACGATTCAAAAAGGAAATGTTTTCGTGTTCTATGATATGTGTGCACTTAAACTTGTTATTAAGATGTTGTGCGCAGATGAAGACTATCACAAATTACAAAATTTACTTTTGTTTAGCTTAAAGTAAAGCTGCTCATCTTGAGCATGAAAACAAAGTTCGTTAATTTAAAAAACAGTAAAACGAAACATTAAAGTAAATGTTTCAAACACTAACAACCTCGCTCTTAGTCCTGTTGGAAGAACAGATAAATAACCTTTAAATTCAATTTGTAAGATCTATCTCTACTTGTTCACATACACTAACTTAGATCCTACAATAAACCTGGCGAATTTTCGCACAGGCGTGAATTAAATACCAGCACAGAAGAAGGGTGCAAAATAACCCTTTATTAACTCAACCTAAATTAAACAGTAACACCGACTTTGGGCGTTACAAAACACCGGTCACTTGCGGCGATAACTAAACGTAGACTAGAATACAAATCAAAATCTAAAAAATAAACGAGTGCAAGAACGCACATCAAAATTACTCCTAAGAGATGAACTCACAGAAATCTAACCGGCGTGATACTGAACAGAATAGCCAAGAAGCTTACTAGCGTGACCGCGAAATAACAACGAAACGTGCGCTAGAACACTTTTTTTTTTTACGTTTCTTTTAAATATATTTATGCGTTATTTATTCTTTTATGAAATGCTGTACATAAAAATCCGACAAGCTTCATGCTGCACATAAAATCCGGCAAATTTTCAAGGGACAAAAATTTAGACATGATTCCCTTAACTGTTTTTTTATTTGAACGTAAACAATAAGTTTCAACATTTTAATTCTCTGTTTTTTATTGTTATTGACATTGCTTAGTCTTCTATAAACTTAATCAAAAGTTCAGAGATTTTAGAAGGAGAACTGAGTTCGGAGAGCAAAATTTTAAATTTTAATTAAAGCAAATGTCAAGATGCATGAGCACCTTAGCTCAGCTGGCTAATAAAACAATCAAGTTATTATCTTTGTAGAAAGTGAAAATTTTCTTTCCTTTCTTCAGCTACTTTATTGTAGCTTTATTACTTCTTACCATTTCCCTTGAGTGCTGGATGTTATTTTATAAGGTATTTCTCCCACCTTGCCTTGGTGGTGTAATGGTCCGCACGTCGGCGCGTAATCAAGTGATGGTTCTACATCACCAGGATTTGGCGATTCCCCTAATCCCCAGTCACCCTTTAAAGGGGGAGTATATAAGTTATTTATCCTGCTTTCTTAGCATGCCTTCGTGGTATAATGGTCAGCACGCTCGACGCGTAATCGAGAGGTCCGAGGTTCGAGTCCCAACGAGGGCATTGCTCATTTTTCATGTCTCCTGCTTCGAAATAACGTAATGACTCCACAACTTCTTTGAAAAAAAAATAATTCACTGTCATTTTCATATTCACGTCTGCAAACTGCATACTCAAAACATGCAAAACTGTCCTTTTTAGAGTATATGCAGTAAATAAAAACGAAAACCAGAATTTTTTGTTAGCACTCTATTCTTCCACATTTTCAGAAAGGGTAGCTGCAGATTGTTTGAAAATTTCGTAATTTTTTATTAAATTTGTATAATATATATTTGCATAGTCGTATACATACAGAAGATACCATATACCTGAACAGTTCATTTGAAATCCAAATTCTAAATTAAGAAGCTTCACTTTTCTTATACGCATGAAATTGTAATATAGTTTAGTTCCCTTCTAATCATTAAAATTCCTGATACGACAGCAAGGCCTAATCGGCAAGGTTCCGCTGAAAGTAAGTTCCGCGTAAAGCGCAGATTACGTCACGCATAGCTAAAAATTTCTTAGTTTAGAATCTTTTCTGCTTTCATCATAATTTAGAATCTTCCTTTTATTTACATTATCTTTCCTTATCTTACTTTAGTTCTTAGGTTAGAATCTTTCCATTTTTCATGTTTTAAGGTATTAGCTGGGCCTGCAATGGAAAAACTCAAATCGTATGATAAGAAGACTTTGTGTTTACAATTCCGTGTGCTCAGACAGTGAACAAAATAATTTTTCAGCGCTTATATAAATTCTGTAGTAATTACGATTAATATTACATGAAATGCGTTTAGCAGTTTTATTCTATGAGCGTATGGTTCTCAACCTGTTAGCAAAGAATGTTAAAATTTTCTTTTTATAATAGTTGTTATAACAAAGCAAATAGTGATGTCGAAAAATGTTTTCCTATAAATTTTTTTGTTAAAGCATGATATTATTTTTTACATTTTATGCTGTGATAATATTGCACTACAACCCTTGTATGATGTGTTTTCATATTTTTGCTGGTTTAGATATTGATTGAATAATGGATACTGGCAGAGATAAGACTTCAGTAAAAGGTTCCCAGACAAATATTGGGGAATCCACCCAACCTCTTCTTGAAACAATGGGCTCAGGGGATGGAACGAAAGGAGCAGAACGCGAAAAGATTGAAATCGAATCGTCGATTCAGAAAGGATCAAGCGTCAAGGATGTTACCGAACAGGAAACATTAAATGGAGAGCGACGCAGACTGCGTTCATTGTCTTGCATTGACAGCTTTACAATCAACATGAATTTGCTAGACCGAGATTCTGTTCACATCAATGACCACATTAATGTAAGTATATGACGCTTAAGTTGCAATATTTACCATAAACTTGACGTTACCTGTCATTTTGCTATGCTTTTTGAGGACATATTTTAAATTCGTATATGATAACAGAGTTCAAATATTGTATACAGCTAATTTCTAAATTGTATATTACTCCAGTTTTTATGTGAAGCTCCAAATATCATTCATAGATTACTTGTGTATTACTTATAAATATTTGCACTGGTTTTATGTGTGCATTTACGGTTAGTAAAGAGTATTTACTTGCAATGCTGGCTTTCACTGCTACTCGTTTCATAGGTATCTGCCGAAAATATGGCGGCAAAAACATCGCGGACGAAAACGTTATGAAAAAAACAACGAAAGGCGAAAAAGTCGTAGTGCAAAACATCGTGGGAGAAAGGAATCAATGAAGAAACATCGCAGTTCTTAAACATCGTCGTCGGAAATAAAGCTGTTCGGGAGACGTCACAATTTTAAAACACGGTAGTAGAAAATTTCCTAGTAAAAAATAAAGCACCTACAAATCGTCGCATGACGGTAACATTACAGACGTGTGTTTTTCAGACTTTTAAAGTTGTACATTCGGGTAATAATTTATGAGTACAAGAAAGAATAAGGAATAATTTCATCTACATAGTTCATAGTTTTGAATTAATTAATAATTTTTGGCCAAAAAAGCAAAAAGGAAACTTAAGCATTCAAAAACTGAAAATGAGTTGTTAAAACTTATGCTACATATAGAAGATAACAGAATTTACAATTTATATCCTGAACTATTAAAGGTTATTATTTAATAATTCCTTTTATGAAACTGCATTGGCAGTTTTTCATGAAAAATATAGTCTAAAACGATTAAAAAACTGATGATGAGTAACTGCTTGACGTTACCTATATTAAAATTGTGATATTCATTATCAAGTTGTAAAATTATTTTTTTTTGCCCTTTGTTAATCTGATGCTCTTTTAGTAAAAAAATAAATATTGTTTTGTTTCAGTTTATTAGTCATTTTAAAGTGCCATCAGCGTTTTCATGTACAACATGCAGTTAATTTTTTTGAATTTTGGTTCATTAAGAAAAACTTCACATTAGTAATTAAAATAGAAGTACTGGTAGATATCTTTTGATTCTTACCATCATGTTTCTGCTTGGAATTTCTGAGTTTTCAGAATACCTTAACCTATGCACAGGAACAGTACCAGGAATCAGCAGGGAAATTGCATAAATATTTTTGAGTGAGATTTAATTTTGTGGCAACTCTTTGCCTTCAGAAGGTTTTAAACAGTAAAATAATTATCGATGACCCTTGGAAAATATTGCTGCGAAGGTCATCAAAAGTATTAACAATGGTTATTTTGAGATCTTAAACTGATTAGGGCCTCATGACAGCATTATCTTTAAAGCAAGCCCAAAAGAAAACACATTCAAGAGGAATCAAGTTCGAAGAGTATGGAGGCCAATGCAAGATGTCAGCATAGGTATTTGGATAGCCTAAGATTATAATTTTAGCTCTGAATGTCGAATGTATCACATCAGAAGTAATTACAGCCTTCATGCTGCTTCTTGTTGGAACCAATAATCTCCAACCATATCTAGATATTTCTCGAATTTTCGGAAAATATTACTTTTCCGAAGAACTTCATATCGAGCTTAGTCACAGTTTCTTCAATAAAAAATGAGCTGAGAGCCACAGGCCCACATAAGATAGCCCAGAATGGTATCTTTTGGAGGTTGGTTGAGGTATATCATGAGTCTTCGTCATGTCAGTCATTCCTGAGATAGCAACTTCGAAAAGCTTATTAACTCCTCTTAATTAAGTAATCATTTCTTTCTTTAAATAAAATTTTGTCTGAACAATAATTTCCACTCTTTAAGTAGTTTTTTTTATAAATTGAGAATTTAATAAATATTGATAATAACAAAGTAAGTTTGCTGATAAATAAATTACTACGTCTGATCTATTATAATTACTACATATACGTTATTTTCGAACCATAAGACAAAGTAATATTGTTCAGTTACTACCTCCCTTTTATAGCTGCTTCTGCAACACTAACGATTAGTGCTATGTATAAAGAAAGGTTCTTGCATTTATTTCTTAATGTTTTAATACATTTTCATCCATCTCTGAATGTTTTGTCACTCACAACATACAAATGTGTTTAAAGATAAGGTTGATTATCAATATTTGACTGTAAGCTTATATAAATTATAATTATCTTACTTTGCAGCTATTGAGCAAGTATTAGAAAAATTTGTTTTCGAACTAAGTGAATTTAAGATCATACAACATTATATATATATATATATATATATATATGCATTTATAAGGCAGTTATTGTAAAGATCTGGGCTCTGGCAGGGATTTAAACTCATAACTTGCCTATTCCTTGCGGGAAAGCTAGAGTCTACTGAGCTAAAACTGAAGTCAGCAACCAACTTCATATAACGTAACGATATAATCGTACTGGTTATAAATGAGAGGAATATTCAGCTGTGTGATGTGGCTGGAGGCTTCTTCTCTACTCTCCTTCTTTCTAGGGTGGGACGTGGGCAGTGAAGATGCAGTGTAGCTCAGTGAAGGTGAAAAACGACACCATAAGCTTCTATAGTTTATTTATTTACTTTTTATTTTTTATTTTTGTGCACTGCTGTAAGTGATCTACAGTTTTGGCTTGAGTTTTTATCTAGGATCTCTTTTTCAGGCTGTCAGGCTCCTTTTCGTGAGCTGCAGAAGCCATAAACAGGTTTTAGATAGCTTTCAGTATAGAGCCACACTTGATTTGATTTAGATTGGAAAATGTTAGTGAGGTTTAGACTGGATGATTTGAATGATTGCCCTCTTCAAAATATAAAAGAACATAATACGTTTAGATTTTGAAACCCAAGTAGATAACTCTCGAGTTCTTTGCTGTAATCTAAATAATCCTAATTCTATAGCGAAACGCAACTTTCATAGACGTACAACCGAAAAATCATCTGCAGAGTTTTCCACGTATTTACTAGATGTATTTAGAATTTTATACAGCACCTATTATGTCTAGTAATATTGTATTAACACTGTTAAGTTATAATCTCTTATTATTCCAGATGCCTTATAAAATTTTGAGATGTGATATTATGTATTTAGAATACGCCTATTTCTAGATATTATCTCGAAACAGTATGTATGAACGTGCTATTTTAAACGTTATTTATGTATTTAGATCGCATTATCTCTTGAATGGTGTACATTATTTTTAACTATATAAATTTAAATGAAATTTTTTATTAGGTGATCTTTGAAGAAGTCCTTGCAGAGCCTCGCTCCAATCAAAGTTTTGACCAAACATGGAGGTTCGCCTATTTGCTTTTTGCTGGGACGAAGTTCTGGGTTTATAGAGTACTTGCTGCTGTGTTTGCTCTGCCGTGCGGTCTTCTGTGGGGCCTGATTTTTTCACTGCTGAGCATTGCAAGTGTGTGGTTCATCACACCCACCATGAAACTTGTGGATGTTCTTCTGCACATCATCAGACGGGTGAGGAATCCAAAAAATAAAAATGAAATCTTCCTGTTTAAAATATCTGTGAAATAAGATACATACATACAGATGATTCAAAAATATTGTAACATGCTTGAAATAAATGTAATGTATATATTGCAGAGGAAAATGATTAATATCATGTCAAACTTTAATTTTTATATTTTGTTTTCATTTGAAATAACGGATACATTCTCGAACTTATGTCATTAAGCAGAATGGCTCTGAATATGCAGAGCAGGTTACAGTTGAAGCCGGGCTGTTGCATACCAGAATGATCAAAGAGGTCCTGGGCAGATATAATCTTAATACAATATTATTCCCGTAAATTTGAGGAAAAGTATGGAAATCTGATTTATTACAATCGTAAACATTCAGAAAAGTAAATCTTCTAGAAGGACTCGCAGTATCATTAATGCAGCAAAAATGGCTTGCGGTTTGTGACAAAAGAAGGATCTGTTTGGTATTGTGGTAATGCAGCAAAAATAGATAGATCTGGTTGGTATTATTATAATGCAGTTTTCAGTCAACTTTCTAATGGCATTGTCTCATTTCTTATAACCATTATATATATTACACAATATGATCAAGCGTGTAAATATATTTTTGACTCACTCTATACATCTTTAAGGAAGAATGCATGTGTTTAAACGAATTACTAATATTATGTCAGCTCTAGCATTATTTTTGTTGCGAAAAGCACATAGTCTCTACCGTCAAAGCGTAATGTTTAGTGAGTCGCAAATTTTTTTTCCTTTGTTACATAATTGTACAGGGTGCTCGAAAAATACAGATTTAAGCTTTTCATCCTTAACTATTGATCCCAAACATGTATTTTTAATTCTAAGTTTATGAAAATAAGGTGAAGGATTGCATTTAATAACTTCCAAAACTGTGAAATTCTGTAAAGCTAAAACCTATTTTTTCACATGGTTCTCGTAGAGTGAAAATTCTAGTTAGTAAGAAATACGTTATGCTTGAAAAATCTAAATGCAGAAGGATTCGTGGCTTTGCTCGTTAAATTCATAGAGATTTGAGTCGTTAATATTTTTACAACAGTAGGTACAAATTTGAAAAAGGAGAGTGTTCTTTTATTCAGTGCAGAACCATTAATACTTAAGCCCACAATTTTTCGCTTGGTCCCTAAATTTTGTAGGAAAAAAAAAGAAAGAATTATGTTCGAAAACGGGTTGTGAAAAAGGAACAGATTGAGTAACTTCATCTTCAGGTACCTCTGCGAATTTTTTATATAAAGATATTGTTATGAAATGTACAGAAGCGGTAAGATAGCTTCCCTGCAAAGCAGTTTTAGGGTTGCTATAAAATGGAAAGGGAAGGCAGGGTTGCGACATTTGGCGAGAAATCTCCCATTGGCGGCATTTGGCGACAAAATTATCGATATGCCATGGACGGATGGAGAACTTTCTGGAACGAATTCTTTCTGGTTTAGCCCAGAATGTTCTCGAACACAAGCCGAAAGTTATATAAATCCTGCTGGTCTGCAAGTCAGTGTGTGTGTGCTTCGGCTAGCGAGCTGATAGTCAGTCCGTGCGGAGTCGATCGAGTTGACAGCCGGGCAGCGAGTGCTAAGTGGGTCGTCGGTGCAACCGAGGAGTATGTTAGTGTATCGCGTTAGTCATCGTCGAGAGAGCGGTTGAGCTCCGGAACGACTGAACCGAAGAGTCGGGAGCTGTCTTTGTGTGTCGTCGAGTCTCGCGAGTTGTAGCGTGGAGAGTCTTTTGATACGTGGAGTTTCGAGAACGACCACCGAGTCGAGAGCTGTACTCTGGTGCTTTGCAGTGAAGCTGTCTCGACCGTTAAAGCCTGATAGTGTGAAGGCTGTGTCGTTGATTGTGTCAGCGTGTTTATAGTAGTTCTTCGACGACTGTAAAAATGTTTTGGAGCTGTCCTGATTAATATTGCCTAAATAAAGTGTATTTCGATACTTCATCAAGTGTCGTCATTATTCACTCCAAATCTAAGAACCCCGTACGAATGTGAAGGAAGAAAATAACGTAACAACTGGTGTCAGAAAAGAAAAACGTAACAATATGAAACATTTTGTACTTAACCCATTAAAGATTAGTGAATATTTGACTAATAATAAAAATTTGCTCCACAGAAATCATATATATTAAACAAATCCATTTCAATTACTATGTTGAAATTGCTTTTCGTGAAATTGTATCTCTTACTTTCAGAAACTTTGTAACTAAAAATGAATTTCCAGAATCAATATTTAATGAAATAATCACTGTAACCTAATTTTTTTGTGGTGTAAATGCACTTGCAGTTCATGTGAATTTGAAATCTCGGGGAAGGGATTGGCTATACGAAAACTTTTATGGTTTTGCATGTGCAGTGTGAATATGAGCAAGTTTTCCTTAAAACTTCCTTACGAACGCATTTCTTTCCTTAGGTAGACAACCTTTGCGTACTTTGCCATAACTGATTCAAGTATCGTGTGTAAATTTATTTTTAATTCTCATGAATTCATAATTGTTAATCAATTATTCGTATATCTGTATATATCTCTCTTTCTACATATATATATGGGTACGACTTTCTTCGAGGTAAAAAATCCTTCATGAGATAGGCATAGTAAACTTGCATTTAAGCTACAACTATTTTCTCTTCTTTTATTAAAAAAATATATATATGTAAGATATAACAAAATACGATAGCTGCTTTAAAAATAATTGGGGACTTCAAAATTAACTGTTCTATATTTGGTGCTGTACCCCTAAATTTAACTGTTCACCCAAATTCGAGATCTTTCTATGTTCTATAACACAGCTTGAAAAAGGTAAATGAAACCAAAGCAACATGGTGGGCTAAGAAGAAAGCTAGAGCATTGCGTGCAACGTGTAGTCGCGCATCGTCCTGTTGAAATTTGGCCGAAGTCATGCCCTGAAGGTAAGGACATGCTGCAAAACCTCAGAGATGTTGGTTGGTAATGAATACTAGAGGGGTGCGGGAGTGGGATCCAATAGCACTCCACACCGTATCACCGGGAGCAGGACTAGTATGAAGATGCATAACAAAACTGTCAAGCAGCCTCTATCCACGGTGTTTCCAAACTAATTCGACCATCGTAGTACTGCAGGCAGAAGCGCGATTCCTTCCGATTGCCATGCCATTCCGATACATGCCATGCCAATGCCATGCCATTCCGATGCCCATCCCGCGTTCATTGCACCACTGCAAACGCAAACGCCTGTCTTTTAAAGTTAAAGGTAAGCGAAGCATTCGACGCCCCGCGAACATTCCATTGTGCAGTAAACGACGTCAAATTGTTCGTGCAGACACCGATTGTTGTGTTATAGACTATTTTCGTTGTGATGTGGTTGCGAATGTGACAGTGCGCTCCATCAGTGCCATGCCCGCATTATGCCTGTCTTTCCATGGAGTGGTGCGACGAGGCGGTTGCAACTGCTCCCGTCCATCAATCGCTCCCTTCTGCATCCACCAATTTCATAATCGCATGACTCTGGCTATGTGTGTTACGAAGACCTATGATGCTCCTGTTTTTCTACGAGGCATACTGAACTATACACACAAAAATTCTCCCGACGGAACAATTCATGTTTTTCAGTACAGCAATCTCTCCATCTTTCATATACGGTTTATATGAGTCTGCGCTGGTTGTTTTTTTTTTTTTTTTTTTTTTTTTTTTTTTTTTTTTTTTTTTTTTATTTAAATGCGGGAAAGCACTCGAGGGCTATTTGCCAAAGGGAAGGGATGCCTTCGTGGAGGGCTTTTTGAAGGAAACTGGCTCATATACACGTTACACATGGGAAAAGCCATGAAAAACATCCATAAAGGGATTCGAACCCCGGACCAAACTACTAGTGTTCAGCGTCTTTAACACTTAGCCGCTGGCGGACCGAGCTTGCGCTGAAATCTTAATCGTTTGTATAGTCCATCGCGATGTATAAATTATAGAGTCACTAGGATTTTGGAAGCAGGAGACGTGAAAAATGTGCAATGCTCTAGCCGGGACTCGAATCACGGACCTCACGAATATGTGTCGAGTGTACTTCCAATAGCACCGCGAAGGCATGCGGAAATGAGGGACAAAACACCTTATAGAAAACGATGCAAGTTTCATGCTGTTTCGATGCTTCCTTCATGCCGCTGCATTTTAGATGGCCAGCAGTTTTAGGGTATGACAAAGTTTCACTTAAAAATTGGAGCACGATATCAAATGCTTGAGAAACGCTGGTCTATGAGTATATTTATGCATTTCTTAAATATTTGATTTGATTCTAGAATTACTGCACACGAAATCATTTTATTCTAGGATTTCTGCACATGAAATTTGCATTATTTCCTTTCAGTTCTAGTGAGGCAGCCTTATCTTGTTTCTAGCTTTCATGCAAGGAAATTTACGATTAAAGCCGACTTCATGAATAATGCTGTCCTAATTTTGAATTTAAAAAAAACATAAATGTTTGATTGTTAATGTAATGTTAATGTTTATGTTTAATCCCCTTTCGAAAATTAACTAATAAACCTTGATTTCAGGTTTGGGGTGGCGTTATTCATGCAGTCCTGGATCCTGTATTTCAGTCAGTCGGATTGTTGTTCAGCGGACGTAAAGAAAAGCCAGACGCTCAAGATTCTGCATAATTATATATTTTTTTTCCAGGTACTCGACTCATGTCAGCTATATATTCATTAACAGCAGCATTATCACGGTTCAGTATGTAGTTTGATTTAATTTCATTGTTGCAGAACATTCTTTTGTGTATCAAAGTTACGTTTTGAAAAGATGATATTCAGATATAATATGGCGAGACTGATTCCGCATTGAACTGAAATAATAATTAAAAAAATGTGATATTCAATCAGTGCATTTGAAAAATAACTTTGTGTTTTTAATGAGGTAGATAACATATTTTTGACTTTTCTAACGTTAAGATGCTTATTTACTGAAGTCAACAAACTTCAGACTGATTACAATTAGTAAAAGTACGTCCAGTTTAATACTTTCATATTCTAAAGCATGAATTAAAAACATATATTTTCATTTCATATAATTCACACAGCTATTTCATTTGTCTTAATGCAGCGCTGATTTCAGTTAAATGCTGGCAAGCATTTCCTTTTAAATACAGTTTTTTTTTTTCCCATGGATGATGTACAAACTGTCTATAAAGTTTAAATATTTAATATAATATTTTCAGCAATAATATATATTACATTTTTAAATGTATTGTTTGAAATAATTTATAACAGCTATGCATATTGTAGAATTTGTACATTTACTTTCCAGTATCAAACATATTATCTTGTAAACGAATTTTTTAAAATAATTTATAAAATGTTTTAATAATGCCATCGAAAATTTCTTGTGAAATATACATTTGTGTGCATGGCACTTACTATTCCTGTAGCCTTCATTTAATGCTTAGAAATGTGATCATTTCGTGCTACTCATGCTTTTGTAAGCAATCGTTGAGCCCGACGGCTTAAATATTTTTATCATAATTTTCCACCCTCTGAACTTAAATAATGCAAATCATTTCATCATTTCAGCTCTCCTTTTTTACATATTTACCTGCGTTGTCGCATATTTCTCATGCTTTCATGCTGAAGTGAATGGTTCGTATGTTTAACAAAATTGCTGGAAAATATATTCATTTTTGCTCTCTGAATTTTCTCCTCTTTAATGGAAATTTTCTGTTCTTAAAATGAGTTATTTTAAGAACTGTTTATGCAACAAGGTAGAATTCATGAGCGTTGGCAAGCGATGGTATATCACGTACTTATCCTATGAAGTTGGATCGTTGACTTCCAGAAAAAATCATGTTAAAAATTGTTTAACGTTAATAGAATGTATTTTGTCATGAATTTAATTTTTCTTACGTATGAAATATGAATTTTCTGTAATAACTTTTGTCACGTCATGATGCAGAGAGTTAACTGGAGATTGATCTGGTGTGTTTTGCTATAAATTTCTTGCCGACATCTATGATACTTTATAAGTTATATGTTATACCTGGTTTTTATCGTTAAGATCTCGAACTCCCGATTTAAAACCTTATTTTAGCTCTACATATGAATCTGATTTTATTTGTATTTCTGATATTTCTTTTACAAACTTCAGAAAAATAATCTCAGTATTACAGGCAGCAAAATATTTGTAAATGACGCATGTGTTTCTTCATGTATTAAGATATCTTGATTTCTTGTATGCAACTAGCGATGCTTATTTTCAAGAATTTTATGTCATTCAGTTTGTTTCTATAATTTCGTTCTTTTAAACATTACCACCGAAAATACATGTAGGTGAGACGTATAGTAATCAAGGAGTCTAAAATTGTCCCTATGTCTCCTTGCTCAGATCTTTTCTATATAAAATTACTAGTATATGAAATCTAGAATACATATGGAGTCAGTTTATTATATTTGGCACTCAAACAAATTATTTCATGCAGTATCTATTTCACGATATGATATCCTCAAATTCCTCAACTGAATTGCTGCAAAGACCTCTAAAATATTTACTTACACTGCATATAATTCATTTTTAAACGCATAGTTCTAGAACCTATCATACCACATTATGAGTACTGATTTACATTCTAAATATGTAAAGATGAGAATTTCTTTGTGAGTCGTTGGTATTCTTTAAATTTATTTTTTACTTACAGAGGATAAAAGTAAGAATTGCTAAGTAGAGATTGAAAGCTTGATAATTGTATCTTTCATGATTTTATAGTCAATTCGAAAAATTTTGATAAAAGCTCTTGAATTTTTATACGTTTAATGTTTTACACATAATACGTGTTTTCGACTAATTATTCTCGTGTTTCGATTGTGATAACCTGCAATAAATGAGTTGTTTTCCTATTCATCTATTAATCGAAAAGATATTCATTATAACAGACTTAAAAATGAAGCGTTCTTGTGGAAGAGTATGTTTCTTATCTTTCTTGTCACATAAAATGTTTCTTCGGCGTACGCCTATTTGCAATCAGATTTGCATATTTGAAATACTTTCATAGTTTTGGCATGAAAGGCATACTTTAAGCTATTAATATAGAGATTTAGCCATTATAATATTCTTCACCCACTGATCGCACAAAATGCTTTGAAGGTTTTTTTTTCAACTGTTTTTTTTTTTCTCTTTTTTTTCATGTAAGTAAATCATGTCTTCAACCTCTTTTTGTTAATTTTTTTACTATTATTTAGTACAATTTATTGAAGTTATACGAAGTTCATACAAAAGAAGGACCATCAATAAATATGCTTCATCATAAAATGAACATCATCATGATGTCTTGCGTCATAAACATCTCATTGTCTACTTTTTTAATGAATATTTATTTACCCCTTTTTGAAATGTGTATATTAAGAGTAAAAACTAACTTTGAATAAAATAAAATTTAGCTAAAATTCTACTCTGAGCAAGAAAAGCGGTATTTTGTATCACTTTTTTAATTTATAAATGAAAAGAGTTTTTGAAAAATATACACCGTGATTTTAGTGTTTTAAAAAATTTCATCATTAATTTATCGAGTTGTATTTTTGCCATATATCATTCTTGTTGACAGTTTATCTTTTATACTCACTGCAGTTACTCAGAGACTGCGGAGAGGTTCAAGATTTATTATTGTAAAACTTGTTGATAACAGCTCATTCCATGTGAAAGAGTTTTGCTCAGTATTTGAAGTGTTTAATGAAAAGCCATTTAAATGCATCTCAAGTTTCAAATATAATTATAAATGTTATCTGTTTTATGAGTAAGGTAAATATTTAATACTTACGAACATTTTCATACTGGACTCTTTACATTTTATTCTCGTCTCAGTGCTGTGATTCTCATTCAACAACAACACCAAAAATTAACACCTTTTTCTTGCATTTTAAAAGAAAGAACTGCTCGCTTGGACAGTGAATATAAGATCTGTTAATTGCTTGAATATAGATAAGAGTTAGTTAGGTAAGGATTTATCGTTCAAGCAATGATTATAAAATTTGTAGCCATTAAGGTATACAGTTAGTACAAAAGAAAGAAACAGTTGTTAACAATGATATTGCACAAGTAAACTTTGTTTAATTTTTTTTTTTTTTTTTTTTTTTTTTTTTTTTTTGTTTTTACGTAGATAAAAATTGTGATGATCAAACTTTTTCAACTTTATTTGGATAAAACATTTAATTAATTATTAAAAAATTTAAATTACTGTTACATTTTATGTCACATATCCTGCAAATAGCTCTGACACCTTTGAGATGTATATTTATTTCTAGATACGAATATTTTTGCACTATCTTTGCATCTACTTCTGTCACAACACATTTGTTTCCGGATGCTGAACTTTCTTGCATCCAAACGTCTGTTAGTTGACTCAAATCAATATTTTAGCAAAATTTTCTTACGATAAAAAGATTTTCTTTAAAGGTTAAGAGTTCTATGTTTAAATTTTTTAATCTAAAATAAAGGTCCTGTTCCTAAATTTTCAGAAGATAGGTTCTAATAATTAATGATAAAACACTATCGATGACGTTAGTGGGGTTACTGGTGTATATACGAATTTTACAAACTGCAATTGAAAATAAGTACTTAACAAGAATAAAGTTTGTAAAAACACAAATCAAGAAATCAAATTTTAATTAAATTAAAATACAATTAATTTTTTACTTATTTTGCTTTGAATTAGTTATCCCATTTCGGTCAAGTGCTTTTCAGCTTTCTTGATTGAAAAATCCCTGTTCATTCTTCAACTTTATTGTTTTTTATAATTTACCTCTGTTACTAGTTTTTTATCTGGATTTTCTAATGATGCATTAATCTTACCTCTTTAGATTGACTTCTTAAAGCTATGAAATTCCCCATCATAAGAAATTCTTCAAATATCTCACCAGTATGAAAGATTTTACAAGTCCCTTCCATTCATAATAAAGAAATGTTAGGGGATGAAATTTAATTTTCAGTGAATTAGAACAATCTGAGTATCATTAGATAATATATTAGGCTAACATCTAATTTGATATTGATAGATAGATAATAAAAATTGCGTAATGTAATGTAATGATAATCCATTTACAGACATAGTTTTCGTAACACTATCCATTGTACTTAGATATATCAAGAATAATTTTAATGAGTTTTCAGAACTCCCTTTTACTGATCCACTACAGAGGATGAAAGAGATAATCAATATATTTTATATGTAACAGTTCTCTACCATTAGGCGTATAATATGCACTTCTCTGGCCATCCAAAAATGTATTGTTTTTGAAGTCTCTACATTGCGCTTATCATCTTACTTAACGGAATAATGGCATTATTCTATTATAAATTAGTTGTCCGAAATATATCTAACATGTAGCATTTATTTTGAGAATACATTACAAATTAATGTACCTATATCATACAGATAACTGCTTAATTTTCTGTCGTACTACTAAATTTTCAGTTTCATATTGCAAACCTAACAGTTGAGACATATTTTGTTATAAAGTGAATAAATTTTTGCTTGGAAATTTCACAGAAGTGCGCCACACATGTAATGAAATATTTTTGTAATAAAGCAATAATTTCTGATTCACTTTTGACATAAATGATATGAAATCAGAGCTATTTGTAGAAAAAATGCAAATTCTTCCGTCAGATTTCTTCTGTTTAATAAATTAAAATTTGTGATTAAATTTCTGTTAAGTGTTTTTCAAACCTGCAGGCTCTACAAACTCTTTATTTATTAATTTATTTGAAATACATATTTTTAATTAGTATGCATTTTAGAATAATATGCATATTTAATTAATTAGGTAATTACTAGAATTTTATAGTCTTTGGTAGTGTATTCTAAACACTGAAATCTTTCGTTGTATATGATAATTCAAAAAGTAAATCTAGATTAAATTAATTCTAAACTGTTAAAGCCTAGCTAAGGTAATTGGTTTACAATAATCATAAGAAGAAAGAACTATTTTTTCTACGTTGGTGATTAACAGAAAATTATAACTGAGCGCTGTATTTCAGAAGCTTTCGAAATCGATAAAATATATATATATATATATATATATGCTGTAAAATTTTACAAATTTTCTTTATGCTTCGTAAACTGTTTGGAAAAGAATTATATATATAGTTTTGAAATTGTACATTAAAATTAGAACTTTTGAATCTTATTATATTCTTGATAGCATTTATACTACATATATTAGATGACATAAATATAAATGAAAAATTTTAATGAAATACTTCATAAATTTTAATCTATACTGTTAGTTACACATACAGCGATATATTCATCAGCCTTTTAAACTGTTTTCAATTGTGTGAGATGCAGATATATCATTGATAAAATATTTGTAATTTTATTGTCTCTATGTATGTAGTTCTTTGACATATAATGCGAAAATGTCCATTTAATTTAGTATTTACAACTGTTGAGGTAAAAAAGGAGCTAAAATAATACTGTATAAAGTCTTTTATCGGAATTTTTCTTATTCATTTTCTCTGTCCTTTGTGCCATTAACCAGTATTCATAGAATATGTGTGCATTTCTATAATGTTATTTATTACTATCGATAAAAAACTGTTGTTTTTCATAGATGATGTTTGTAATAGTGATGTCTCTCAGTAGTGCCAAGTTTTGCATTAAACTGTGCGCAATTTATTCTTTTTTCAAACATTTCTCTGCACATCCTCATATTGTGATTGACCAAATAAATGTTGTAACAGTTTTTGGGTTCTTTTAGACTGTATGCTTCATACATGTTACAGTGCTTAATTTTGTGATTCCTATAGACCCTTATATGCAACAATAAAACATTATAACATTGGTTTCGCATCATAATTGTTTTTAAAAATAGTCATTTTTATTATGGGCGGATTATACCGAAAATTTGGAAACGTCTGATATAGGTTTAAAGTTGTTCATTGTAACTTTTTGAACATCTGCATCTATCATGCTTTGAGGAGCATTCAACAAAGGCCAAAACGGAAATGCTTTTAGTGTGAGCGCAATGTTGCTAAGATGCGGCTTAAGATGGTTATTTGTGACCTAGATTGCTTATCTAGGCTTAAGATGGTTATTTGCAACATGAGCGTGAATATATTGCACAATTTGTTTGGTGACTTCACACAGAGAAACAACGCACGATTAAGACTACTAATGCACGATTTTTATGCAGCAGTTACATGATATTTGCTATAGTGTATAAGTTATGTAATCTCTAGCTATTATTTAAAATATCAAAGCGGGGAAGAAATAGCATGTATGTAAAATACATAAGCTGTTTTACAGGGCCTCAAATGTGGGCAATATTTTAACAACTAATATAGGAAGAGGGGTCTAAGGTAAAAACTGACCACATGCTTTGAGGATGTGAATATTGAAATATACCCTATGTGGAAGTTTTTAGACATTTTTCGTTTTCTTTAATACTTATGTTTTGAAAACTAACTATTAAAAACCGCTAAAATGTTTTTTGCATAGTCTAATAGTGTCAAGCAAGAGTCGGTAAATTATACACACCACACAGGACAATACATTTTAAGAAAATTATTTATTGAACACAGTAGGCATATACATTTTGTCATAAATAAAAAAACGTTTAATGCATTTATAAAAAAAAGAGTCTCTGAAATGTTCTTTTAGATGTGACTATGAAGTACAGTAAGATGAGCTTAATAAACAGACTGAACTGCAATAAACCTGTGCTCTGAATAGTTGAAAAGTGAAATAAGTTTTATGGTTTCAGAGCACTAACAGCTTCTCTTCAGAGAATACATATCAAAAAGTAAGAAGAAAGATACGAGACTAATCTTCAGTAGTACTTAAATATTTTACCGGTGTTTGAAATGAGTAATTTTATTTTGTTTTGTGGATGTTTCAAGCGACTAAAGAAATCACAACCAAAACTCTTAACAACCACAAAATACCAAGAACATAATGCTCGATAACTAAACCCGAAATTAATGTTACTAAATAATGTCTAAAATATTTATTAAAAATTGAGGATGTAATTTCAGTTTGCGTTCATCAATGTTTTCAAATGTTAAAATGATTTTGAGATGATTTGTATGAATATAACTCACAAAAATAAGAGAATGCCTGCTGAAAGTCTACTTAATAATTTTTATAAATAGCACTACAAAAGCGATATTTTGGGGCAAGATATCTATCTCTAGTATTATTTCTTTTAATATTTTTAATACGCTGTCACTTGATCTATTAATCTCACAAAGATTTAATATCAAAGATTTATTTTAAACTGAAAACAACTTAAGTAAATAAAAAATTGCATTAATGCTTTCCTAAACTAAACATCTTACCATGCTTTAAAGGAGAAATACAATGTTTGCTTTCAAATAGCATTATTTTTCAAAATCGGATGTAGCTAACAAACAGTTTCATGAAATTACACAGACTAGGATTTAATTACTACAATACCACATTACAGATAAAATGAAGCATATGGAACCCTGAGAACTGTTTCCAATTAATGATGATATCCACGTTTATTGCAGTAACATTTTTTTTTTCAAAACTTTAAAGACAGTTTACGAATTCTGAGATGCTAAGATGAATTATAAATTATGACATAATAATATGATAATATGATAGATAAACAAACGGGAAAATTAAAATTCAAATATAGAGTAAACAAAATTCAAACAGTATTAAAAATCTGTGAATTATTTCATTTAATTATTAAAATGTGATTAAAATTCAATTACATTATTTTATGCAATCATGACCTAGTACATAAGCAAATCTTTAACGTAAAAAGAAAACATTTATTAGCGTATTCCTTTATTTTTCGTACTTCGCATTTTTAAGTACTGCTGATATTGCTCTTGTTATTACTCATCATGAACGCTTTTTAAGTTAATCATTTTCTATTGCATCAGAAACTGCTACCACATGTAATGAAGATAGAGCCTCATTTTGTTTTATTACACTAAATTAATAATGTATTCTCTGCCACTTAGTTTTAGCAGACTTAGGCAGGCAACACGTAGGAATTATAAATTTTACTTAATTCCCGTGTCACTCACTCTCCATCACACCTGCACTTTAGCTAGTCCAACAGCGTTGACCTTATCAGTGCCATTGCAGAAATATACAATAACAATATTAGTCCAATCATCAGATCACAGTGATTCACGGGATGTAATGGCAGTGTTTTGGTGGGCTAGACAGGCTGCTGCCTGCAGTAGCCTATAGGTTGTTTACTATCCCTCTGAACTCAGATGCGCCACAAAATAAGTAATATACACGAGAAAATAATGGAACACAGGCATAGCATACAACTCTTTGGCAAATTCCGTGTATTTGCTTGGCCCGTATAAATAAGAACTTAGCGAACCTAGAAAAGAAGATCAATATTAGTTTACATGAGGCAATATTTAAGGAAGTAATAACTTACGGAACTGCATATTTGACATATGACAGGAATACACACAACACAATAAGATGAATAATTAAAATAATTTTTTCAACTTGATTTATTTTATTACTTTCCGAGACTATCACGTTATTAAGCACAATAATCCATTTAAATTATTCATCAATAATTTAAGCTCTTCATACAATGAAGTCTTGATAAATAATTTAAATGGATTATTGTGCTTGATAACGTGATAGTCTCGGAAAGTAATTTAAATGGTTTACAGATTTATGAAGTCATATAGCACCAAAATTATTAATATCTGTAAAACAGTATAGTTTTAAATAATTTTCTTCCTGCAAGAAGAATAGTACTTTTATTATTACTGTGGGTAAAATGTGACAGGGGCTCAGAAGATAACTGTAACTTGGAGTCGTATACAAGAATATTTAAGCTCTTTATTAAGCTCAGTGTGCACAAAAAGTACTAAGCGCTAAGTTTAGGATTCGAAAACAGGGCCTCAGGTCATAAATAATCGAGTCGAATTCACTTAAAATTCCACTGAAAAGTCCTGTGGTAAAAGATAGAAACATATGTTAGGAAAAGGATTGGACCGCATTACTAATTTACGGCAAATCACTTAAAAGATATTTGCCAAAGGAGACAGATTGTTTTTTCGGAAGCCATGTGGCTTATATTTATCCTATTTGTTAAGCAAATGATATTTTCCCCTCAGAAGCAACTCATTCAGCGTTCGGGAGTTAGCTCGGGAAGATTTACCAGTGTTTTCAAGGTTTTATCTGTTCTGAAGCTCATAGTGCATTTCTGTTAGGCATTTTAAACAAATTTGTATTGTGCTTAAATGTTTTTTCTTTATTGCCTAAGTGCTATTAAAAATTGAGAAAAGAATTGAGTTTAAATTTGCTTTTTACCAGTTTTGATGCTGAAGATCTTGTTTATAATGTTATCAGAATAATACGCTTCCAACCGCCAGGAATGAACTTATGTAAATTTCTTTCAAGTTTTGAATTTTACATATTTTCACAATTAAACAGGTTACGAAATTTACAAAATAAACATCCAATCCAACATAAATGGGTTACTGATGAACGAAGTTTTACATTAGAATCTAGACCCTACCAGTATATTCTAAATGGGTTGTTACATAAAATGTATATTGAAATTAACAAATAAGTATAATCATTTCCTATTTCTTTATGCCATAATATATCAGCACACTTTCAAAAAATACATATTAATTTCTATGACAATTGTTTAATTTCCCTGCAAATAAATACACATGTACAGGGTATATTCTCTTTTTTTCTGCTTAAGAAGCAAATTTGTTTTCCCTTAAACATCTCTCACAGACACGAAGACTAAAGCATCTGCAGACGTAGTTGTCATAAGGCAAAGGCAACATAAAATATTTTGCCTCATTACATGATCAAAATGTTACGTTACAATTTTCTGGTTAATCTGCAGTATCCGTTTCGACATGATTGCAGGCATCATCTTCAGAGTTTCCTTTGTAGCTCAAAATGTATTTATTTATAACGCCAATAAAGTAACAGATAATAAGTAATAAACGTTTAGTAATGTAGTTTTACTTCTGGCTAAGAGTTCTTGTTTTTAATACGCAAGCATAATGTTTTGTTCCAATTATATGTAAAAGACGGAAGGAAGGTTTTGTCTTTTATAAGGTTTACCTTAATTTCAGAAGGTGTTTATAATACTCTTAAATAACACTAGTAAACAGAAGGTTTTGTTACAGAATAATATTGTTTCCACTGATACATATGTACTGATTTCAGACATACACTCAAATCTTTGCTATTATGTACAGTTTATGCGTGACTTAAATGCTAACGTCATTTGATAATATGTAAAGTGCTTCATAAGAATGAGTAAAACGTTTTCCTGACGCGCTTTTGGTGTATACAGAAACATCAGAAATTGAAAGACGCCAAGTAATTTAATATTCGTTTTAATAATAAACTTACATGAACAAAAGTAACATGAGTCAAAGATAGCGTTCGAAGTTTCGTCTACAGATTCCAGTGCAAGCCTTACGTCTGCAACGTATGGAATTCACAATATTCTGGAATACTGCAAGCATATCTCGAATTTCTCCGGCAGCTAACTCGATTCGTGCAACCAGCTCCTCGGTGTTGTTAACGGAGGTGTCGTAAACCAGTATCTTCATATGTCCACATAAAAAGAAATCAAGACATGACAGGTCCGGTTATCGAACAGGCCAACGCAAGCATACAAGCGCTGTGCAGCTGGCCCACTACAATCTGCAGCCCTATATGTCAAATGCATATCGGCTAATTCCGCGTTCGTATAATTATTCATCCTACTAACTCCGCGTCCTTGTACAAAATGGCGATTCCCTGCAAATACTCTCTTAACTTTCACACAACGTCATCTACCACATCAGAAATGCATTTCAGACCGTGCATTACTATATGATTCCGAGTCGTTGGGGTGCACCCTATCCCTCCTAGAATTTCTGAAACGTGGTTTTGAGACACCCTGTATATATAGATAAATATATATAGATCTCTTTCTCTCTCTCTCTCTCTATATATATATAGTATATTAATGTATCTTCCAATTATATATCAGAGAATCGAATTATATACATATATGGCATATTGCAGTTATCAAAGAAAATGCCGAACTACCTATGGAAGCACAGGACAGGGAATTATGAGAAAATAACCAATGATCTTCTGAAGTTATAAGAAGTCATGAGATTTAAAATCTCCTCACTGCTTTATATTTCGATTTCTATCGAGATTTCTAAGAAGCAGTGTGCAGTGGTTTCCTTGGAAAATGTCTAAGAAAAAACATCGAAACCATTAGAGACCCCTTCGCTTGCTGTCTTCTGCGAGGCCCATAACACATATATTCCTCTCACTAAGTGCAGTAGAATGTTTCATACTTTTTAGATTATTTCTGTTCTAAAGGCATACACAGATTTATGTATATTCAAATTTTAAATTTTCAAGCAGTCAAGCCGTACATGTATGTTCAACATTTGTCCTAAATTTATTTTATTATATTGTAAGATTAGGCGACAAAGTAATACAGCCTTTGAGTGGCATACATTTTATACAAAGCTCTATCTATTTCAAGTGCCATTGAATTTGCCTTATGAACACGCAGGTCCAAAGAAAAAATGAACCATCTATTTAGAGGAGAGGGAAAAAATAGTAAGAATTAAAGCTAAGATATTAGAAATTTGAATATTTTGGGGGGGGGGGGGAAAAAAAAAAAAAAAAAAAAAAAAAAAAAAAAACTACATTGGAAATAATTACATCAACTAAAATACCCAGATTTATATTTTTGTGAATTTGGAAGGCTTGAAGAAAATCTATAGAATTGAATTTTTTGGATCATTCTAGATGAACTAAAATCAAAATTGAGGTCACGGAATAAACAAACAATGATTAGCTTTATTTATTTATCCTTTTCCGATACAGGATTCGTGTTCTTACTCCTCTCTTTGTCTGACCAATGTATGTCAAATCACATTCACAAGGAGTGCTATAAGTTCTCAACATTGAATTTATGGTTAATTTGCCTAATTTTGCAATTGATTGAAAGAGAAAAGGGATCACAACAAGTTTACTGTGGTTGCTTTTAAAGGCAGAATTTCTCTAATGGTGGTAAGATGAGCCTTTTTGAAGGGTTTATCAGTAATCATAGGAGAAAAGTCTCTATCAGCAGCAACACATTGACATTTGTCTGTTCCATATACATCTTTAAGTAAGCATACTACATACACGCATCTTGAAATATGGCCAAATCAAACCATTATACAACAATATATTGTAAGAAGATAGTCTAGGTACAAAGAACAAGAACATTTTGGAATTATATCCAAGAAAATAACTTGACTGTCCCAAAACACGTTTTGGGTGATATGAAAACTGCAACTACATAAATGAATTCAACGACTGGGATACAGTCAGGAAAACTTATTTTGCTCGAGTAATAGCTTGAAAAATTGCAGTATTAAACTTTGAATGAGAAAGCATAGCTAAAAGTGCAATGCCAAGTTATTCCGAACACAATTTTTAATCTATATTAATGTGCATAAGACATAGTACAGTTGCAAAAAGAGGAATGGAATAATAAATATTTAAAACAAAGGGAAGCCCCACGAAAATGATACACATTTTGTTGGGACATCAAAATATATTTCTGCAGTTTATTACGCAGAACAGACACTTTATGTGTTGCAGAGAGAAATGAAGAATGTGTATACTCAGAAAATTTCTTTGTGCCTTATGACGCATGGAAGCAAACTGCAAAGCAAGTTTCTGAAAAATCTCTTTTAATATAATTTTTTATTGAGATTTTAAATATGCGTTCCACCATAATTTGGAAAACAGCTCCTGAGATCATAAAGTTTATGATCATTTACATTTCTTAGACTATGTTTGGATTTTCAAAGGACTATGATGAATTAAAAAATAATTAACTTATATCAATAATTTAATATATTTATGACAGCTAAATTATACACTCACGTTTGTGAAAATTGCAACACCATGAAGGACTTACGCGAGTGAGCTGAAATTTTCAGGAAATGCAAAGTAGCGCATGATATGCAAATGATTAGAATTGCAAATCCGTAGCGCATGCGTATGCTGAGCAGCGCCCTCTGAACGGCTGATGGATCCGAATAAATAGACGGCTGTAGCGAGGCGTGTATGGTTATCGGTGGTTATCTGCTAGTGGTAAACGTTAACTCAATCTGTACTTATGCCTCGTCGACGAAAGAGAGCGAGATTTGAACAACTTACAGAGTTTGAACGAGGGAGAATCATCGGCCTTCGTGAAGCTGGATTGTCGTATCGTGCAGTAGCCTCTCGTGTGCAGCGTAACAGCAGCACAGTGATGCGCGTTTGGAAGCAGTGGACGGACGAGTGTCGGACAACTCGGAAATCCGGGAGTGGACCCCGAAATGTGACGTCAGCTCGCGATGATAGACACCTGGTCCGCATGGCGCGGACGGACCGTACAGCTTCCTCTAGACAATTGGCAGCACTGTGGTCAATAGCTACAGGTGTTTCATTGTGTGCTTCATCAATTCGTAGACGTCTGCTGCAGTGTGGACTGCGCGCACGGACTCCTTTATACAGGATCCCCCTAACGCACGACCATCGCCGCCTGAGGCTACAATGGGCCAATCAGCATAGAGACTGGCGTGCTGATTGGCAGCATGTCGTGTTTTCTGACGAATCCCGCTTTAATTTGTGGTACCATGATGGCCGCATTCGTGTCAGACGCTATGCCGGTGAACGCCACCTTCCGGAGTGCATTATCGAACGCCACAGTGGACGAACACCCGGAGTTATGGTCTGGGGCGCCATAGCATATCATAGACGATCTCAATTGCTACGAATTGTGGGCAATCTGAACAGCAACCGGTATATCCGTGAAGTTTCTACAGCCCGAAGCTGTTCCCTTCCTTCAAAGCTTGCCAGGCGCTGTATTTCAACAGGACAATGCCCGCCCTCATACTGCTCGGATTGTTAAATCCTTCTTTTGCAGCGCAGCAGGTACAGCTTCTTCCTTGGCCTGCGTGTTCCCCGGATATGTCGCCAATTGAACATGTGTGGGATGTCATTGGTCGGCGTCTTGCTCGTGATCCTCGTCCTGTTGCGTCTGCAGACGAACTTTGGGTACGCGTACAAACGATATGGAATGCTCTTCCTCAGTCAGACATTCAAACTTTGTTTGACTCCATGCCAACGTCGTGTAGCAGCACTTATTGCGGCGCGTGGTGGCCACACAAAATACTGATTCTGATCTCTTGTTCTTGTTTTGTTTGCTTTGAACATTTAATCATTTATTTGTACCACTACCACTCAACTGTGTATTAAATTGCATTCAATTATGACGATTGGTGTGAAATTGGTGTGACGATTGGTGTGAAAATTGGTGTTGCAATTTTCACAAACGTGAGTGTATTAAAAACAAGCACAATTAATTATTACATATAATAATTATATTATTATACACAGACACACAATTATTACATGTGTAACGTGTATGCGAGCCAGTTTCCCTTAGAAAGTCCCCCACGAAGGCATCCCTCCCCTTAGGCAGATAGCCCTCGAGGCTTTGCCATAATCACACACACACACCAATCATTACATTAAATTTTGTATTATAATACAAACCTGTTCAAATAAAATTTTCATTTTACGGGGCCCGTTAAAAGTTAAAATTTTATATTAATAATGCTTTAATTTAAATTATTATTTTTTTATTAGAAGCTATTACTCTCAAAATTGTGCTAATCTGAATGTCTTCCGTATTCAATTAATTCCTTAAAGTGAAAATAAGGATATGTGACCAACTGACGAAGAGCTATTTTGTCATGCAGTCTTTCTAAAATACTTTGTAAATACATATGTTTCCTCATCGGTACCGATGTTAGCGTTGTTGGCTGCCGCATAGCTGGGCTCGGATTCGAATCCTGGAGAAGGCGTGGATGCTTGACGCGTGCAGTGTCAAAATGTAACTTAATTTGGGAACATATACCACGAGCGAAAAGTCCTTTCCAGTAGTTTAGTGTTAAGGGTGACAGATTCTTTGACCCGAACTTCAGCTGATCTACTTCAAAACTGGGACGGTACTAAGCAAAGCTGTATTGTCACCCACGGTGCTTAAGGCTTACGCCAATGACAGACACAATCCTGCGCTTATCGCAACGATAAAATACATGGACTTGTTCTGTGTTACTGTTAGACAAATGAGATAAATCACAAGAACATACAGATATCGAAGAAACGCGCTACTTTATTGTTGCGTGCGTACGGGTTCGTAATGAATTGAATGCACAATGTCCGATGAAAAGTGAATAAAATTTATTATTATCACAACAAATAAAACAAAAGGCTTAAATTTATTCAGAGATGATCGTACACTATCTCAATACCTCACAGTAGTTACCCTTTAAACTACTATAATATTCGACAGAACTTAATTCAAAATAGAGAAAACTAATCCGATTTTACCGCGAATTCGCTACAGTAAACAAAAACAGTTTTTTAAACAAACTTTTAAAACAACTGAATTGAGTATTTTCATGCCGCTTATGTAAGATTTTTAAATACACAAGAATTTTCTGGTATTTTCTCGACAATCAAAAGCGTACAATTACGAGATATCTATTTATTAAATGCGCGTGCTCCTCTATTTTTAATTTTTCCAGCATAGCTTTCTCTTCAAATAAGTCGCGTGCAGCATTGTACAGGGAAATGAAACACTTTAATAACAATTCTGTTAAAAAATTATCAAATTAAATAAATCAATACAAAAACCGTAACATTATTTTACGTCTGTAATAATTTGCAACTAGGTAACCTGTCTATTTCTAGATAGCTTTTAGATCAGTTTCCTTACATAAACTTAATATTATTATTTTTTGAAAGAAATATGCCTGTTGGAAAAATGAGAATTCATCCGCTATTTTCTAGTTTCATATTCCAAATTTCGATGCAGCTATGCAAATAAAATTAAATTTAGACACGCATGCATTTTGAAGACACACTGTATTACCAAATGTATTCAGATAAGGAAAACGGCTTTATTCCTCTATTAGTAACTGGTCTAGTTGGTCTCTAAGCATGCTGTCTATTAGCGTCCGTTCGATCGCCGGAGGAATTGTTTTTAAATTACTCAGCTAAGATGCTTCCAGAGAGTAAAGTAAGATGTTGGTTGTCTTCGGTTTGACACCCCTTTCTTCACTCATGATCGCATTAAAATTAGATCTCTTTGGAAGCCAGTCTGACGATTTATTTATTTGGAGAGAAACCTATTTTGTACAGAACATGAAATACGACAAGGAGCTCAATCCAGAATACCATGGTATACGTCCAAGTTTATGTCTGTATTCGAATAATCAACGGGCCGAATGCTATTCCATAATGAAATGAATAACTCCATTTCATTATGGAGTCTCTATTAGACTTAACAGTTTTTTCAATACAGTGCAGCGGGGGACAAAAAGGCACTTTTTCTTGCTCTTGCCAACTCCAAACAGACTTACAAGATTGATTTAAGGTGTAAAGCGGGACTTATCTTGATCTAGGAACGACAGTTGACAAAGTATTCAAACCAAGCTTCCCCGTACGTCAACTTAGCTATAAAATTCCATACTGTAACTCTTTGCAGATACTTATGATAGTAACTGAGTCTCACTAGTTTTTCGTTATTTGGTTAATCTGGAGGGGAAGAATGGGAATTTTTAACATGTGTATGGTGTTTCTGAACTTCTTTTCTGATGCTGTTGCATTGTCCTGCAGTAGTTTCATTTCTTGTAGTAACTTACATAGTACAACCTTTTCATTTCTTCATGACATTACTTAGTCGATTTTGTTTTGTTCATCTTTGCTACACCCCTTATGGCAATGTTATTCAGATATCATTCCATGAGTATTCCAACTCTGAAATCCAGGAAGATTTCTTCTAGGCCCCTTATTACCGTATACAAGTTAAAAATAATATTACAGAATTTTGCATTCTCTCACTGAAGGTCACTTTGGCCACATGGTTCTATCACTTATGCAGATCTTTTGTCGAGCTGTATAATTATCCAAAACAGTGTAAATGGCCCGAAAAGATAAATCTTATTCAAAATCTTCATATTGCTGAACAAATTAAAATGTTTTTATTTCAATAAAATTTTGCAATTATATATGATTTCTAAATATTGTGAGCAATCAAATATGAGTTTTACATTAATTTTAGCATTTACATGTTAAAAGTATTTCAGTGTAAATCTAAGCATTTACATCTTAATTAAAATTCAAATTATGTACTTTACCTTTTAAATATATTATAAGGAAAGGAAGTACTCCATAGTTACATAACAGATAATATTAAATTTAGTTAAAATATTTTGAAATTATACAATTTTTCCCTATGTTTTTAATAACAAACCAATATATAATTAATTACTAACAAAGACATCTTCTAGTAACATAAGAGATGAAGGCAAAAGTTGACAAGTGTAAATTTTATTGAACACCAATTAATAGGCTGTCTAAAACTATAAATTAATTAATAGGCTGTCTAAAACTGTAAATTAATTAATAGGCTGTCTAAAACTACTTAGCAATTATTTCAATTTACTATAATATCACTTACTTATAATCATGGGGGAGCAACTTCCAGCAACAAACCCGAATGACTGTCAGGAGCACATCTACCACAATACCCTCCACACTTTCCTTGAATTACCTGACCACCCTGTGAAAAATTAGAAACATAAATATGTAAAATTTCAGATTTAATATATTAAAGGCAGTAAATGCTATAACTTCACTATAGAAATTAGTTTGTGCATCTTAAGAGTTCTTCTGGTATCCTGCATCCATTTGAAACAGAAAACTGCAAGCACTCTCCTTTAATTGCACACTTTTCTTTTCATATGTATTTGAATGGGTTAATGAGTAGGCAACTCGTGGTATGACTCACTTTTACGTGCGGCCCCTTAAATCTCAAGCTCGACGGAGTTCATGTTAGGGTTCGCCCACTTAGAGAAGACAGACTGGCAAGTATTTAAAATCGAATTTTATCAACTGACACGGCTTAAAAGTTCATCTGGCAAGGCTTAAAAATTACTTTATTCTTCAACAGTCTGACTAATTAGAAGACAGAATGTAAACTGTCTGTCTGGAATGCAGTATACTAGGTCATATGCTGAAGCAAGTTGCGCTGTCTGGGTACCGCCCAAGATCATCTTCGGCGATGACTCTCCATCAGCTCTAGCTTCCGCGCTGCCAGCGGTAAATTCAAAATGATGTGAAATTTCGCCATAGATACTAATCGTCCTTCTCGTGCGTCAGCCTTCTTATTTCCCGTGAATCTTCAAAAATATTTTACGCGGAAATCTCGCAAGAGCTGGATTTGAAACATCTGCCATAAAATTGGCAAGGATCGCATATTGTACACGGACTAGCGTCAGACGCCTGCTAGAAGAGGCAACTTTTTCATAAGAATAGTATGTAACACTGTTCTCTTTTCTATTCCGTGCGTATCACACTAAGTTGTTTTTGTCTTCTTATTTTACCTGAAGAGCCAGCGAGTTGCGCACAAGGGTACATGTCCTTTGTACTGACAGTCGTTCGTAATCGTAGGAACATCTTGTTTCTCGATAGTTCTTCAAGTTTAATTACAAGTTTTTTCCACAATTCATAGAACTTTTTTGTGTGTACTTTGTGTTGACTAGTTTTGTTCCTTGTTAATGCGCCACTGTAATAAAAAGTTAGGCAGTATTTTAATTAAAAAACTAATTGCGTAGACCAAAAATTGATGTCATTTCAACTTGCCTTGAGGGATCGGTTGTTCAAGTTAGAATAATTCAAGGAAATGCATGCAAATAAAGTACAGCAAAAAATGTGTATAATTTAATAGGTCACACAAGGAAGTTACATGGTGCTCACATCAGATTTTTCACAGTTGAAGTGTCCTCGGGGTGAGAGGCAGAAACAAAACGTTGGCAATTAAAATAGAAGTTTTAATGAAAAATGGAAACTGGATTATTCTTTTACTCTTGTAAAAGACACGGCTATTTCTGTTTTATGCTCACATTCATTACCCGTGTTAAAAGAATATAATATCAAGTGGCATTATGAAATGAAACATGACTCAAATTATAAAATTATCCAAAGACAAATGCGGAAAGATAAATTGAAAGAATTAGAGAAAAGCTTAAAACAGCAATCAAATGTATTTGATTCTCAAAGTTTTTTTATTAGATTTGGTAGAACACTGTTAATAAAATTAGTTACACTAATAATTGCACTGTTGTCATTTACTATAAATTGCAATGCTGTCTGTTACTGTTAATTGCACTGCTGTTTAGTTACACGAGAGATGATTAAGGAATGTTTAACTGTTGCAGAAATGGCTTTCCCTGATATTCCAAAATTAGTTTGTCAAAATTTACATTTGCAAGAAGACATGTCCGAAATCATTAATGCAGCTTTAGGTGAACGCACTGAAAAATTTTAATGACGTTCCTTAGCACTTGTTGAGAGCTCTGAAATCAGTGGCATCTCACAGCTAGCGATATCTGTATAAGAGGAATCGATTTCCGTTTTAATTCAGCTGAAGAACTGGGTTCAATGACAGGTACTACAACAGGTAAAAACATGTACAACGAAACTAAAATTGCTGTTGAAGAACTTATCCAGTTCTTCAACGGTCTTTTCCATCGGAAAAGACTGTCTGCATGTCAACCGATAGAGCACGAGCAATGACAAGCATGAATATAGGAGTCGCGGGAATATTATTTAGTGATATTAAAACTTGACAGTTAGAAATATATTGTTAATACTTCCTAATTCATCAACAGAATCTTCGCACAAAAATGTTAAATATGCCAAATATTATCATGCTTGCAATAAAATTTATCAATTTTCTGAAATCTCGAGTATTAAATCACCGCATATATAAAGAATTTTTAAAAGATTTTGAAACTGAAAATAGTGATGTACTTTATAGCAAAGAAGTACGCTGGTTGACAAGAGGTGCTTCCTAAAAAGAACATCTAACATGAAAAATAAAATTCAGTTGTCTGTAAGCTATCCATTTTCCCATTCACCGATAAAGAACGGATGTGTCGATATTTAATTTCGCCTTTCTCCTCGATATAATTCAACATCTAAATGACTTTTATAAATATCTAACTTCAAGAAAAAAAAATTCCAAACTATACACAACCTGTTTGATAAAATCTAAGCTTTAAAAAGCAAACTCAAAATCTGGAACAAACATCTTTTGTCAAACAACACGTCACATTTTCCATACATCTCGAAAAGAAACGCCTCAGAAACACGAAAATATTCCCTGAAGCTGGATCAAAATTCACCGCTTGATTGCTACACAGATGGCAATGGGAGCAACTATAATTGATTGCAACCTAACTATAGCACTGCCAGTTACAAAATCATGTATTCGTTACATTGAGGACCGTTGTAGAATGTGGAGAACCAGCATTAACGCGTCAGTCTCAGCTCATAATTATCTGAATTAAAATAAACTGATTCGGTATTTTCCAACCAGCTCTATCTTTTATGAGACTCAATGCCTATATCAACAAAGTCAACTATCTGAGGTGGCTATTAATCATTGGCTCAGCTGGTCACAACATATTACTTCTCATTGTCGAGATGACATCCGGCCTAAGGCTGTGGTTCCTAACGGATTAATGTCATCCCGACGAAAGAAAAAGCTACCGGCAGACACACATTTTCTGATTGAAGCGTTGAAGGTTACATAAAATATTACATGGTGCTCAAGTACATGCTTCGTTAGACTATTACCTTCATTATTCGCAGTGATAATTTATAGCATTGCAGAATACACACAATTATCTTATATACAACATTACATGGTGCACAAATTCGTGCTTCTTTAAGCTTTTATATTATTCACAATGTTTTGTTTCACAGCATATGACGTTGTGACAGCTATCACAGGAAAGGCAACTGGATCCTTAAAGCATCTGATGCCGCTGCTCAGCTCTAAATCTGATCTTCAACTCAACCGGAAGCACAAGATATACCTTTCGATTATAAAACCCATTTTGTGTTATTTCTCTCCGGCCTGGCCGCAGCCACGGCCACTGATTTCAACGGCTTTAGGTGGTACCAAATAAGGTACTCATAATTATGACTGGTGCACACGTTTTTAATAAGAAACAACCTTTTGCATGGAGACCTAAAGTTGGGACTATATTCCTATAAGAGACTATGTTTCGGTAAGACCTATAAAAGACTACATTCACCGCTGCGACGAGAAATTCTTCTGCAAAACTTTAGACTGTTTACAGAGTAACTCTTCGAATACTTTACATTATTCCACCCGAGGAGAAAATGTTGAGACCATTTACGTCTCATCTTCTGCGAGATCGCAACTTCGTTATCTAAATTGTTGCAGTCTTGTAATTATTTTGTAAATAATTATCTCACCAGTGTATGGCAAGGTTTCCTATTATTATGTGGTTTTTCTGATCCAGTTTCTCAACTTCTCCTCTTACTGCTTTTCTTTGGACTTGCGATGTCTCATGGCAAAGGCCACCCTACTTTTACATTCCTTTGCTGATTTCTCTAAGTGGTAGTCTGAGTTCACGACTGTTTACAAGTTGAAGAGCCCACAGTGTTAGCTTTTAACGGCAGAATTATAGAGCCAAATAAACATTTCTATTTATGTATCAAATAACCACTTTTCTAAACACCTTGTAAGTATGATAAATTCATACCAACCTTTACGATATTTCATTGATTTAAAGTCTGAAAGTTCGTTAATGTATACCATATCGCAGCACATTTTTGGCATTTCTAATTTAATTTCACAATATCTAAAGTTCAATCGTATTTGTATGAATTATACAGAACAAATTCAAGCAGGAATATGTGAAACAACTTTATAAAACAGAGATATTAGAGATTTATTCTGATAAACATTAAACATGAAATATGAAAGACATTTCTTAAAAAGCAATACTATGAGCAGATTAATGCGTACTTCATATCTGATGGCTTTTGAGACATTTTATCGGTTCACTGAACACCACTGGGTTTTAGACACGTTTCGAAATATGTAATTTCAAGAATTGAATAAGTACTTTGAAATCTCTTTTATTATTAAATAAACGCCAATATATGCTTGAAAATAACCAGTCATTGACTAGGTAAGATGGTGAAGTTAGGGATATCTGATTTTCAAAACAAAGAATAAGTGACTTTCTTTCGAAAAGAGAAAATAGTTAATGCGGAGACAAAATGAATTTGCTCTTACCTCAAGCCATCTTATTCTACTGGATGGAAAACTTCCATATGTTATCCATTTAGTAAGTGGGGATACAATGAAACCTGTGCCAAGGAGACTCAGAGAAAAGCGTCCTTGAGGGCATAGAGCCATGCTGTAACAGTCTCCAGACTCTCCAAATGGTACTGGTTGTCCAACGTGTGTCTGAGAAAACGTCAGATCACGAGCTGTAATAGTAATTAAATTATCAGAAAAAAAAGCAATTTTCAAATCAAGCTGACCATAGCTAGTTATCTATTGTATGGACCATATTATCTTGTGAACACATAACAGAAAACAATTACAAGTTGCGTGAAGAAGAGTTATACATTTACAGTTCAGAAAAGAAAATTATACGGTAGAAAAATTCAATAGGGAAAAATGACAGGAAACATATATACTTATGCATCGCAGAAAATGTTGGACCATCATAGTGGTTTTAACATCTATGCACAGACTGGCGGATCCATTTAGAGTTTAGGGGATTCTGGGTAGATATGACAGCATCTTAAATTCACTACCGGAAATCACCTGGTGTAACAATGAAATGAACATAAACTTCAGACTTCAGATGTCTTCATAGAAATGCAACAAATTCATATTTGGGGGATCAGGCAGGTCATGCTATGAGGGACATCCTCTGAAATACATTCGATGCCATACTTAGACTAAGATATGCTCAAACACTCTTGCAAAATGTGGTGGCTCTCGATCTTGCATGAATGAGATTCACTAACTTGAGTGTAGGCGCACATCTTCCACTAGTACCGGTAATTTGTATTCTAAGAAATTAAAACACTGATCAAACGGACTGTTCATTGTTAGAAGTACGGTCCGATGAGGATATTGACCATATCACACATATTTTATTGGAAGAGTGCATAATGGTGATTCTGCACGATTACATTGAAACTGATTGTTGACTAGCGCTAAATGTTTTGAGAATTAACAATAATGTTTTTCTAGAGTTGTGCTTCACCTCTAAAGAAAAATAACAAAGACAAATGAGGAATTTGCGGACGTTTTCTTTACAGCATCCACTGAGAAAACTTTGGGTGATCAGCTAGTAATTACGTCTGTGCTGGTTCCATTTATTAAGAGTACAGATACATTCCCTAAAAGTGTTCTATATAAAGCTCTGAGAGAGCAGCCGTCAGTTGCTGCTTATCTGATGTTCATCTCGCGATCTATTAATATTGCGTGACGGTATTCCAGCATCACGATGGTATCCACGACTATGAACAAACACGTTTTAGTACTCAGCTCCAGTGCAGCACTTTGAACGTACCTTTGTCAACATATCATAGGTTAAGATATGCATTCCATAGCAGACTCTGAGCTTCTTTTGAATTACTTGTGGGGTTCCAACCTTTTATCTAACCTTTTAAGTGTGTAGGAACTTTGTGAACACGTGAACAGGTAAGCGAATATTCGGCTTTAGTTCAGAAACAGGTACATAAAACTCAAGAAGGGTTAATTATCCTTCATTTCTCAAAATAAGAAGTTCAAAGAGGTCACTTTTTTAAGACGTACAGCAAAGCCTCCATTCAAAGTAATGAAGTCGTAAAAAATGAAACTTGATAAAGGCCGAAGCTATCAAGATTTCTAAGTAGTTGGTCCCTAAATATTAATTAAGCTGGCGAAGCTATCAAGGGCCTGAGATACTGCCGAGCTTAGTAATAGTTTAGAGAGAATGTAGCAAAAAGGCAAAAGTGCGCTAGTCAGAATCTCTGGCTCTCTAACTTAAGTACCGCTCTTAGTCAGTGGACTTAAGTACCGCTCTTAGTCAATTGCATTAACGGCGATTCTAAAAACACATTCTGGTAGAAAACTGTAAGCTGAAATCAGGAGGGATAGGAAAGTAGCTTTAACTAAAGATAACCGTTAAAAACGTACGATAAACTTCACATACTATTCACCCGGGGGTAAACGAAATGCATATCTGCACAGTCCTTGATTGAATAGAGAAGAATTATGCACATAATCACTGATATTGTTATTTTTATTGCCAAAATCTGCCCTTTGCCACACCTCTTTTACACTCCAGACAGCATAATTTTATACCAGCCGTTCATTTTTAGCCGTTCCTCATTAAATAATGCGTTTGTACATCGAAACCTCATTTTATAAGTTCGCTGGAACTGTAGGGGCTTCATGCCTTCCCTCAAATCGTTTGCTTAGCGTACACTTTTCGGTCAGTTAGTTTCCATTCCATGTAGTCACAGTGCATACTTTCCCCTGCTAGTTCACAGTGCATTTTTTGTAGGTGGAATGCCGTTTCACCCAGTTGAAATCCTGATAGTCTAATAATTATTTAAACATATTGAACTGTCAGCTTAAATTGATTTCTGTTGCAATTTAAGAAAATGCACTAACGTAAAATATTAAGAAAACACTACATTTTAATTTGTACAATATGAAAAAATTATATTGACAGGGAAATGTCGAAATAACGAAACTAAAAGTATTTTAACATGATATTTCACAAAACATTGCTATAAACTACCTGAAAATTAGATTGTAACAAGTGTTATTGTGAGAGTTTCCAAAAAGTACAGCTGTACAGCAGATGTACAGTGTTTAATAATAATCAAATGGAGAAATATATGAATACAGACTATGTCCCCCTCGAACTGGACTTACTCATAAGGTAGTAGTCTGCTTAACACTAAGTGATCCAGAAGTTATTAAGAAAAACTAGATCTGTCTTTCAGAACACAGATGAAATGTTGGTTGTTTTCCAGAGACATGTTTCGAGTAGGAATGCGTCAACCTAGTGAGTTCCAATAGCATTCCAAGTATTTTGACCAGTAATGCGATCATCATCATTGGTTTCCAGAAGAGTGTGAGTAATTCTCCTGTACGACGAAGTATTTCAATGAACTTACAGTACTGGCGTCCATTTATCATGATGCTTCTCTTCACCAGAACTCCAACACTGTCTAATTTGTTACTTTCTTAAACATTCTCGTTATGATATCCATTACATTTTTGCACCAGACTAACTGATGTGTAGAGCATGAGAGCAGACTACAGATTTTCCGATATACATGTTAGGTATTTCCGGCGCCATTCAGCTAGAGGGCGCAGTGACGTTCCAATAGCCAGTGGCGGGCGGATACGTGTATGTTCCAATAGTTCGTGGCAGGCTAGATTCTAAGGGTAAGTACGTGGAACGCAGAGATGCCTAATAATATATCTGTATTTTCAGCTAGTTCAAATTCTTAGATATTCTTGTAAATAAATTTTATTAGTATTTTCTAAAGCCTCTTTGATGTATCTTTAGACACACAGAACCATTAGATGCAAAATTGGTGCATCTTGTCCGGGAATGTGGAATATCTGAAGTAATTAGTCATTACTGGATTATAATTATATGAAGCTTGGATACTTTAGGTAGGCTTTTACGCTCTTGGATACACTCCGCATACCGGACTGCGAAGGTAGGATCTTCTGAATTTACAAATTCTGAGTTAATATGGATAAGCTTTCGAAAATAATTGAAAAAAGAAGTCATGTTCATGCTAGTGTTACTAAATTAGTTAATCGAGTACAGAATCTCAATGAAGCTGCCGAAAACTTAAGTTCATTATCAGAATTACTGGAACATTACAGACGAAGGAGCAGATTTTGAAAAGCCATGGCTTAGAGGTGGAAGCACACATAGACGATCCGGAAAAATTTAAAAGTGAATTAAAAGGCTCGGAAGAATACGATGATAACATATTGTCTACTAAGATTAAACTAAAGGGCAAAATTAAAGAATTAGCTGCAAAATATGTTCAGCGAACTTCCAGTTTTTAACACATCTAGTGTTTCAGAAAACACCGTCAGGGCTTTAAATTTACCAAAGTTAGAAATTTCGCGATTCTCTGGTGACTCTAGCAACTTTTTGGAATTCTTAAACTGTTTTGATAATGCAATAGGTTCAAATAATTCACTTACAAAAATTGAAAAATTTCAATATTTAAAATCCCTTTCTTCTGGTCCTGCATATAATGTTGTTGCGGGTTTTGAATTACATTAGAACCTTAATTAGTTTAATGCTCATATACTATACATAATCTGTAATTGTAACACAAAGTGTCATTTACTTTTAAGCAGACAAGTCATTTCTGCTTATCCACGAGAAATTAACATTAAATATACTTACTAAGTACTGCCAAGGAAGTTATATTTATAGCAATTTTTCTGTATGTGGTAAGACCAGGCCCTACACTATCATCGGTTATACAGTCACACGAGTCATAGCGAGCACCTCTGTACGGACACGAATCGGGACTTTTCAATCTAAGAAGGAAAACATTTATAAATATTTGTAAAGTAAGTACTGTTACTTAATTGCAGTTTAACAGATAATAAGTTCACAACATCGGATATCTCTCATTTTGTGTCTATAGATTTAAGTAAAGATTTTTCAATTATGACAAACTATATGAGCGCATCTGCCAACGTTCCATCGAAGTTTTGACCGAAATTTTCCCTCAGAATGGAATGTCTTGTACATTTCTTCCTCTATCTTGAAACATTTATCGAAGATATTTAAGTACAGATGGTTTCTAACTGTCCTAATTATATAGAGACATGATTGTTACAATCCACCGTACCTTATCCGCGATTCAAATCCTAGCCTATCGAACTGGTACACAGCCATCATTAACAACAATATTGATCGTGGAGGCTATCTGAGGAAAAGGAGGCACAGAAAGGTGACGATCAGAAAATAATACTTTCAAGAAGCATATTTGATTGTAAATGTATACGGAATTATCAACTTCCCTCGTGAATGCTCTTGTGGTGCACCAAGTCCTGTAGCAAATTCGGCTTGCAACAGAAGGTCCAGGGTTCAAATCTGAGCGAGGGTATAATTGATTTTCTAACCCCTAAAACCTTTATAAATATATAATTAAAAATAAGTCCATTTAGATATAAATTACAATTATTATGTACATTGTTTCTCAAACTTTGTAATTTCCTAGTTGCTAACAATTATAGTCAGAATTATTCCAATACATAAAATTTAATTTAGTATTTGTTGTGAAGGCCAGAATGGATAAAGCTAGAGTGGATAAAGTCATAGATTTATCTGTGGCTGGTTTCTAATGGAACGAGCTAACTGCATGGGTGCTTTTCTGCTCGCCGTTCAATTCATCGCTGAATGCAAGTCAATGGACTTTAACTTTTAATGAACTAGTAGCACATACATAGCCATAGTGGAACTGTTGTTATGGATGATTTAGCATTTGGTGGTTAGTGGATGAATTAGTGGTATGTTGCAAAATAGGGGCATTAACTGAATGCTGAATTTGTTTAATGAACTGTGCCTCAAGCATAGGTTTAAATTATCTTAAAAGAAACCCAAAGCTGTGATAATTTAAAAGCATACTAAAACAGTGCAGAAACTTCCAAGATTAATAAAGTCAAAACTGTCAAAAGAATTAAATTTCTAGGCCTTACGATAGTAAAAGTTTTTATAGACGTACAATGAACAAGCGGGCCAGTTTATCACTGAAGGATTTGAAAATAATGATGAATGGTGACCGTCTGTCTTAAAATTACAGCTGAAAAATGAAAGTTTTCAAAAGGATGAAACTCCCACAGGAAGAAGCGTGCAGTTTTTGGTTCCAAAAACAGATTTTACAATATCTTAATTAATTTATTGCAAGACTTGGTCTCTTTTTCACATAAAAAAGACATCTCCTTTTCTTACAACTATGCGGAGAAATAGGTAATCTTGAAAATTGCTTTTTTCCCAAAGCCAACAGGCAAACGAAAGGTACCGTATAAAACTAGAGAATGACGCGCAGAATGAAACAGGATGCACCAAGATGGAATAATGCGAAATGGACACAAACTGATATGCACACAGGTTTCGACGGAATAAGAGTTTGGCGGCCAATAAATTAACATATGACGCTGCAGTGCATCTGCGCAACCGGCAGGTTGTGAAGATTGATCAATCGTCAGAGTGGCACTCAGAGCCAGATTCATCATTATCATCGATCCTACGTGCAGCTAGTGCTTCAATCACCACAAGGCCCATTAACAGGCGGCTCAGAGAAAGGAAGCTGAGCTCATGGAGCCCATTTCGCCGACTACCATTGACCTCTGTACAACGAACGACAAGCCAATGGTGTCGGGCACATTCGATCTGGAATTGTCACTGACTGGAAAAGAATTGTCTTCAGTGATGAATCACACTTCAGTTGGGCCCCAATGACCAGCGAAGACATGTCTGGAGATGCCCCGGATAGCGGTGGGATATTATCTAACTGTCGGCCGCCATATAGCCCGACAGCCAGGAGAGATGGTCTGGAATGCCATTTCATTTAATAGCAGCACTTCTTTGGTTGCAATCCGAAACACCCTCACAGCACAGGGTTACATCGGCGATATTCTATGCCTCGTTGTTGGTGTTGCCCTTCATATCACGCCATCCTGAGCTTAAATTTCAGCAAGATAACGCCCTACCGCCAGTAGGCGATAGTTTCTACTGCTTGTCTTCGTCTTGCTCAATATTACTTTGGCCATCAAAGGTGCCGGATCTCTTCCGCAAAGAGAACGTTTGGAGCATTATGGGCATGGCCCTCCAGTCAGCTCGGGATTTTGCGATCTAGCGCTCCAGTTAGATAGAATTTGGCACAATATCTCGCTAGTAGACGTCTGCCAATTCTAAAAACCAGTGTCAAGCCGAGTAACTGCTTGCATAAGGATCAGAGTTGGACCAGCGCGTTACTCATTTGCTCACTTTGTGAAGCTCTTTCTCTCGAATAAATCTGCCATTTTTTATGAAATTGTGATCATTTAATTTTCAACGCATGTATATCACATCTAACGATTTTCATCCCATATGGATAATTCCTTCTTGGTACGTCTTTTTCCCCCTTAGAGTATTAGAGTAAGCGTATTTAAAATATATGCTAAAAAGAAGCATTTACGCTAAAGCACAGTGAAAAATCAAGACGTTCCTTTGAACAAGAAAGGAAAAATTATGTTAAAATTAGTAAAATATAGAATGTCCACGGCTACAAAGAATTCCAATGAAAAGATCATTTTGATAAGATAGCAACTTAGCATATTAAAACAAAAAATATAATAAGAAGTTAATGTAAAACAGAGACACTGCCAATCTAAATAAACATTAAGTTCGAGAGATTTAACATACAGAGAGCAATACATGAGGTAAATAGTAAAAGAGTACATTGCGAATATGCAAGTTTTAAACATGTTAACTGCTATACTTGGTTTATGGTTTAATTTGTTTAATTTTGCCAAAGCATGCAAGAGCCACGAAAGCGTTCGTGAAGAACTTACTAAGAGAAACTAGTTCCTATTACCATTGCGCACGAGGAAAAAAAAAAAAAAAAAGAAAAAGAACCGAAACCAGCTCTTTCGGCGGGATTCGAAGCCGTCTATCAGCGACTCTATTGCTCGGCCACTGCTGAGCCGATGTTACGGTCAAAAACGAATATGAATATTATAACTGAAATCACGTATGAATAATAGTTAGTGCAGTATGTGAAACATACTGCAAATATGTGATAACTATAATATGTATATGTGAAATGCAGTTTGCATCATGGTAAGCGAGTACCACACAGGTGGATTACAGTGTTAGAAAAGGTGAAAAAATACATAAATGAGTTCCTAGTAACAGATACAAATTGAAAGAATCATTTGTATTGTAGTGTTCCTCACTGGGTAATTCTCAGTTACTGATGGAAGTGAAGAATCTTAAGAACTGATAAGCGAATAATCGCTTGAGTTCGTGTGACAAGAAACAAGAAGATAGAAGGGTAAACTAACCCTTTATTATTCCAACTAAAGTTTATAACAAAACTCCGTTTTGGAGTGTACAGCCGGCTTGAACTTAAGAGGCTTGGGCTTGAACTTAAGAGGCTTGAGCTTGAACACTTAAGAGACTAAGAATTAAACTACAACTAATTTTAACTAAAAAAAAAAAAAAAAGAGAGAGATATAGGCGAAGCTATCAAGATTCTAACAGAGTTGGCCTCATAACGTTAATAGACTGCAAAGCTATCAAGGGCCTAAAGTACGGCCGAGCGTGATAATAGCTTACAAGAGAGTACCTAAAAAGACGGACGCGTGCAGCCAGAATACCTGGTATATCTCTCTCTAAGACCGAAGAACTTCATGGTTAAATACCGCTCTTCCTCATTATGTATTCAGACGTGATTCTAAAACTACGTTCTGGCCGGAAGTAGTATGTTGAAGTTAAGAATCGACAGGAAACGAACTTTAACTCAAAATTTAGCTGTTTGTAGGGTCCAGGTGGGTTAACTTCTGTCTGGATACAGGGGTAGCAGGAAACTACACAGAAGAAAAGTTCAAACCCTTTATTAACTCTTTAAAATTTACACTGCGTCAACTCGACGCTAACAAACTTCACCTCTACTTGGGCAGTAACTGAAAAGCAGGTAAATAAAAATTAAAAGGTGAAATGTTTAAAAAGTGCTAAACTAACCTACGAGGCTCAGCGAGATTCCGAACTTCAATCCCCTTCTAAGCTAGTGACAGGAAAGCAAAGCAAAGCAAATTAAGCCACTTGAACCAGCAATGAGCAAACGTACCTACGGCAAAGACGGCAGCTTGAGCCCAACTCTCTTTGTCTCCTATCGAAACTCGGCTCTTAACTACTTCCTTCGACATATAAAATTTGCATGCGTTCACGCGCGTTACAACATTTAACTATACTGGCACTGACAATTAGGGGGATGAAGGATTATAGAAAAGTTTGAACTTAAAATTTAAAATGTTAGTTAAAATAAATATAAATTTCTACATGTTAATAAAATTAACATAATCCTTACAGTATGATACCAAGAGAAACCTGAATGTAGGTCTCTGAGGCATACACCCCGGATGGCGGCGGGTCTGGAGCTATGCTATGATGTGGATGATGGGCGCTGGCAGATAGTGGGGGACGCTCAGGGACTAATAGATCTCGCATGTTGTTTTGCGTAACCCTCATGAACCCATCAATTGCAAATTTCATAGCGTCAATGAACCTCGATCAGCAAAGGCAGCATTTGTGAGGTGAGATAATCTGTAGTTTAAGCCAAATGTAACTTCTTATTTACAGTTATTTTAAATTTTAAAATGACCTGAAAACTTTAGTTCAACGGTCCTCAACCTCATTTGTCACATGCACCCGTTTCACCACTGCCAGATGAGCATTCCCCCGCTTGCCTTTCCAAAACTCAAGAACACATATATATTTATATTATATATTTACTTTATTTAAATTTTATTTAAATTTATTTAAATTTATATTATTTTTAATGTGTTTTATAATATAACAAGAAAAAGCATAAAAAATGTTGATATAAAAATGACCCCATTTTAAATAAAATAGGGTTTTTTTTATATTCATAAACTAAAACTAAATATTTAGCAAGTAAACTAAAGATTGACCTCATTCCCCCTCTGGAAACTATGAAATTCCTCCCTAGTTGAAAACCTCTGCTGCACAGTCATTAAAGTAGCTACCAAACTAAATAAATAAAATGCTCAGAAATGGAAGAGAAAGAATTATTTGACTACAAACATTCTTTTAACTACTGCAGTTTATATAGCAAACAACAAGGTAAAAGTTAAAATATTGTTTTAACCTTCAGTTTTATTTCTTCTATTTAGAAGGATCGAAAATTATAATTGATTACATTTAAGTATAAAACACACTTGACATAAAATTTCTGGAGTAGTATGAATTTTCCTTTCCTACAGTGATTATTTTAGATGTTCAGCTAACTCTATGTCAAAAACTGTTGCACAATACTTTAGTAAATGCATTCCCCCCCACACACACAGCTCATTTCATTATTCTATCCATTTCCTTTTTAAATTTTTATTAATCCAGAATAAAATAGAGGCATAGTTCACATTTGCAACTGTTTTAGATATCATGAATTTATACTAAATTCTTGAATATTCTGCATAATTATATTTTAAGTAAAACAAAATATTTTATTGCTTAGTTTAAAATTTAAAATATATTGGATTGTCTAAAAGGGAACCCCTTTTTCTTATTTACCTCTTATTATATACTTCAGAGTAATTATCTTGTTCTCCTGTTATGAGAGTAATATATTCTTGTGGATGACTTGTATTCATTCTAGCACAAAAAATTTTGACATAGCGTCCTCTCACAAATATTTCTTGTTCTCCATCTTTAGTAATATTTGCTCTTTTCTGGAAATCAGAGCAACTAAGAGCAGAACCTGAAATGGAAAAAGAATTAGAAAACTAAAATGAGTTTTCAGCATATCGGATACCTTCATTCTAATACCAAATACGACACAGAAACAAAATCTTATAATATCCTTATATAATCAAAACCTTATAAAATTAAACACAAGAAAGTGCTATTATAAAATATATATATTCAGAAAATTCATGCAATCATGCGAATTCAAATGAATCAGAATATTAGAATAGAAATTAAACAACTGAATTTGTCAGCTGAAAAGCTTATTTTTATAGAATTTCTCCTGAGGATATTAGAATTGAAAGTATCGATATATTTCGATATATTTAACTATATATTCATAAACTAAAACTAAATATTTAGCAAGTAAACTAAAGATTCACCGCATGCCCCCCTCTGAAACTACGAAATTTCTTCCTAGTTAAAAACCTCTCCTCCACAATCATTAAAGTAACTACCAGTTCAGCTAACTCATCTATACATTGATGCTTTATAAAATGGTATGAATGCCTAATTTACAACGATTTTAATATAAAATGTAATACACCTTCACCTTATCAGGATACAATGAGAATGTAAAAGGAAACACCCTAATGATTATAATGGAATTAAGAAATACTTCTTTACTCGATGCTATCTTCAGCAACCTAACTATTCTTCACAAAAATGCTAAGCATGAATTTACAGTAGTGTATTCTTAAATTTCCAGTTTAAGTTATCAAACAGTTTAAGCCATTTAAATAAATTAATTATTTTAATCTTCCTCTTTATTTTCCTTATTCAGCACTCATGTTTTACTTAATGGTCTAGACAGTCGCCTACTGGTTCTTTCTGCGAGATTATGGATTTAGCTTAAATTGTTTTTGAAAATGCTCTAAACTGATTTGATGCCTATTAAAAAAGGGAATAAGTAACTTTATTTTTTAAGTGGTAATTAATTTTGAAATTGCATGAAAATCACATATCGAAAATTCTGCTTATTTTATTTTAAATGACTTTTCCAGTTGATGGAAAATTTAGGAGCCACTCCTTCTGCTTGTTTTGGGAAGGTTAGGTTAGGTTATTTAATTACGGCAGAGCCTCGAGGGCTATCTGCCTAAGGGGAGGGATGCCTTCGTGGAGGACTTTCTAAGGGAAACTGGTTCGTATACACGTTACACACGGGGAAAACCTCGAAAACACCCCTGTAGCTAGGCCGTTCACAGGATTCAAACCTCGGACCGAACTACCAGTGTTCAGCGAACTACCGCTCCGCCGCTGGTGGGCCCTCGTTTTGTGAAGGAGAAGTTGAATTCAAATTTCGGGATAACATAATATCAGAAAGGAATATATTGATACGATGTTATCCTGGAATATATATATGTAATGAATTTTAATGTTCGTTTGGAATATCTTTGAAGAATTTTATTACACGCAGATTAAGGAATCAAAGAAGATTACGTTACTGTCCAATTTAAAATTTAACTTACTATTGAAAACATTCGTCGAAATGCAAACAAGCAGATGTTACTGTAAGTTGATAGTTCTGTTTTACCAAAAGCTGTAAAAGTTTAAGAAAATAACTCTTCAGGACATTAAATTTTTGTTTACGTCTAAAGTAATAACCTGATTTAACTCTCACTATGGGTTAAAACAGAACCCGATAAATAGCATCTACCTATCATATGACCTTTTCCCCTTGTCTCCTTCCTTGCTCCCTCCCCAAACTCTTCATTTTCCAAAACAAAACCGAAGTTGCGGAACCTGATCATCTGTAAAACCTATAGACAGAACAATGAATGGGTCGATATTGGTGAGAATAGGTTTAGCAGCGGCGAAACTGATTTAACTATAAAATTAACAAGAAATATGACAACATATTTGAAATAACTGTAACATGTCAATTTAATACTGTAGAAGGAAATGGTGAATGGTTAAACTACACTTTCCCCATTTCTTTTTTCTTTCGTTTATTTCATTTGCCATATCCAAGCCACTAGCCAAGATGAAGTTAACATATCACTATTGCTTTCGACAATGGTAAAGTGCAGGAAGTAACACCTAGAATGAGGAACATCCATAAAAGAAAACTTCCAGGAAAGATTTTCAGTAGTAGTGATATACCAATATCGATAATGATTATGGAAGCTGGGAAGAGCGTGATAATGTGAATCTGGCTGGCAATGCTGTGTATTCTCTTTCAGGTTGAAAAATTGATTTTCCAATGGTACTATTTCACTTCATTGTAACCATAATATTGTCATCACAGGATACGATCAAAAATGCATCGATATTTGTGACTCGCCTTGTACAAACCGCTTCTACGATGACCGAAAGAAGTAGCTTGTAAAGACTTGTAGAACAGGCAACTATAAGCGCTTCTTTTCTACCATTTGAAATTTCATTTTTTTTTTTTTTTTTTTTTTTTTTGTTCTTCCAATGAAGATGAGTTACCATTTTTCCTTATTTTGATAGAATATTTGTTCACAGCTAATAATTCTTTTTAGTAAATATGACTAGAGTTCTTTCTCCAGATTTTGTAAACTATAACTTTTTAATTTGAATTTTAATACTCGTAAGTTGTATATATTACTATAGCTTTATTCGGAAACATGAATTTATTTCATTTAAATTTGTATTTTTGTAGTATTACTTCATATGAAGGAAAAGCGGCCGTGTAGAAGAGACATTCAGAATTTTTGGATGAACTATAATAATTAAATAATTTAAAATGGTTCATCAGCTAACGTTAAAGGAACAGAAACGCATTGTTATATACGTTTTACTTTATCGCTGCAAAATCTCAGTTTTCCTACTTTTTAGCATCTTGCTGGTGATTTGGCGCCATGAACGCTTGCCATCTTGAATAAAACCAGATTAAAACATAAGTGTATTTCAAGAATCTGTGGTTGATTTAAAAAATGTTCTCCATAAGCGTTACGAAGCTTTTGAAGGTCTTAATATTAAATCTGTCCGATTTCATACAAAGTCTGAGGTACGTTTCTAGAATTTAGTCAGCCATCGTAAGGATCCCACAAGCGATCCTAAGGCAAAATCACAGAATCGTACGAAGAAAGAGAAAAAGAATATAAAGGACAACGAGAAATGGTAGACTGAATGAACAATTGAAAGCAATGACACTTTCCGGTACAGCCTCATGTTTTATACATCATACATGAAGATTTCTAATAATCTAACATTAGTGATCAATGTTTGTCGACTGAGTATATATTATGTTACTTACAAGATCGTTGGTGACAACGACGTCTCCGCTGCGGCGTCAGATTTTGCTCACATTTGGAATTAGGAAGACGTTTACCATTGGAGTTGTAACAACGTAGTCTCCTCTTTTGTCTACCAGTTCCACATTCGGCAGAACACTGAAAAATTAATAACATTAGTGAAACAGACAGCTAGGTTAAAGTTTCCGTTGAACAACCAGATAGATACTAAAGCAGAGTAAACAGGGATAAATCTGTAGGTGCATTACAAATTCAAGGTCATCGAAACTGCTTTTGCCGCCAAAGGAGAATGCGCATAATAAAATAGCAATTCAAGTGAAAACCATTATAGTATTTTTGACGCTAAGGAGAATATTCACATGTTGCATTGTTGCATACTGAATTAATTTTATCTGAATCAAGTATTCATACACATCAGCCAATGAAGTATTTCCTTTAAATTTTTGCTTTAAGTTTAAAACTTAAACTACTCTGCACATAAATTAGTTGATGCTTATATTGTTTCTGAAATTTAAAAAATTGGGTCCTGGCCAGACCTTACTCCATAAAAGCTGCATATTACGACATTTGGGCCCAAGCAGACTGCGGTGTAAATATTTTTCTCAATTGAGACTATCATATTTTTAATATCCGTGTAGAACACTTTTCCATTTGCTGATATAACATACATTGTTGAATATTTACTTTTTATTTATAAATAACCCACTCAGGATTTAAGAATAAAAATGAAAGATGACATTTCAAAAAATGGATATAGTGATTATAATTCGCTTTGGAAATTCTGGCTAGAAAATCAAAAAGAAAACTTGACAATTGCTGTAATATTCAATTGCAATAAAATTCTTGGGAAAATGATCCGTATAATAACTGTTTTAAAAAATTACCCCAAGCTAGGAAAAATTACCCTTAAGCTCAGCTAGTAAAATTAGCATTGCAGTGTACTGCCTTCTTTTAAAATAGAAAGAACTTGACTACTTTTTCTCCTTAGGTTTACTTTTCAAAGTTAGAATGCAAAATAATTATTCCAGACATTTGAAAAAAAGAGTGTCTAATGTTAATTTGCATTTCATTCTTATGTTAATTTTAACGGGGATGTCTATTTTTCTTAAATTATTGTCTTCAGAAAAGGCTCTTTTAAACTACGGTTCAATTAAAATGGATGTCAATTAAAAAACATTGTTCTTTGATAAAATAAACATGTATTGGAAAATACGGTAATTTTGGGTATTTTTCTCATCTATATGTTCACTAGCTGACAAAAACATTTTGTTATGAGAATAGAAAATTATATGACTCAAGAGGTCAAGAAATTTTTCTCTGCTTGCAAAACTACTGAAATCCTCGAGGATCCTTCAGAATCCTCGAGATTCAGATAAAACGCTTTTGTCTCATTGTTTTACGTCATCTAAACTTATGTTCCTAATGAAAGATTCAAGTAGGAAATAAAAGCCAAAAGCGCATTTCTTTCGGTATTTAGCATTTATTTTTTAACAGCTACAAAAGTAGTTAACATCTCAAAGCCAGTATAAACAGGCGCTTTTTCTCTAAAAAATACAAAAGTAGTTTTTATAGAAAAACTGTGTACTAGGCCTTTATTGTAATTATTTGGGGGTCTGCTTATGACCATCGCAAGGAAAAGGTGACGCTTTCCGTCCCATATTGTAAACGGTAGTCTCTTTATTGAATTGGATATTAACTTTTCGCTTTAAAAATTAATTTTACATATTGTCTGCTTAATTAATGTAAACTCTCAGAAAACAGGTTTTATAAATTACTTCCCTCTTTTAGACTTTCTGGCGACAATTTAATTATAATTATCCAAAAAGCTAACTAAATGAACATGAACAAACAGCTTATGATTAAAAATAATTTATGTACAGATTGAAAACCTCACTGTTAATAAAAAATTGGAAAAGGTTTCTGAAGAAAAGAATGATTATAATCAATATTTTATCTACATTAAATATTTAATTTAATTATAAATATGCTATTTAGGTTTAAACTAAATTGTTCAATAAATATTTATTTCTGATATAGTTATACACCCTGTGTACTGAAAATGCAGGACAGTTTAGAAAACATTCCATCTTGTACTGTCCTTTTGAAAAACGGGACAACAGAGGCTATAACTGTTGCAATGAAGCTACGAGCATTAAAATCTCAGTATTATGCAAAACCTAGGTAAAGTACAGGATATGCGAACTAAGAGGTAGGAGAGCTGTGTATTCAATGGCTCCTCACTCCATTACGTAGGCAAGTCAAAAATTATCTACACTTTAGCATAACTTTTCTTACATTCCGCACTTTGTCTTCTCTATCTTGACATATTTTGTTGCTATACTGTTGTAGTAATGCTGTGAAAGTTTGATCTTGATTCCTTCATTTTTCTTTCTTCTGTTGCAGATATATCATGGCTGCTCCATTAAAAGTTTGCACCACAGAGGAACAACGAGCAGTGATCCGATTCCTCTGGTCGGAGGGTGTCAAAGGGTCAAACATGAATAGGAGAATCGCTATCCATGAGTTAGCATTTGCTTTGAATATCAGTCGTGGACATCAAATCATCCACGACGATCTCAGGTTTCATAAAGTCTGTGCACGGTGAGCACCAAGAAAACTTACTGCAGAATACAAGTTCACTTGTGTTAGGGTCTGTCAACGCTTTGTCAAAACACAGTTTTAGGTGATAGTGCATTTCTTCCATATTGCGATGATAGCCTGCGATGAATGTCTAACCCTTTGACACCCTCCGACCAGAGAAATCGGATCACTGCTCGTTGTTCCTCTTTGGTGCAAACCTCTAAAGGAGCAACCATGATATATCTGCAACAGAAGGAAGAAAAATGGAGGAATTAAGATCAAACTTTCACAGCATTACCACAACAGTATAACAATAAAATATGCCAGAGCAGAAGACAAAGTGCGCAATGTAAGAAAAGTTATGACAAAAGTGTAGATAAGTTTTGACTTATCCTCTTAATTACAAGTGCAAATAGGGAGAGACAACAATTATTCACCATTAGTAGTATAGCTGCTGTCCCGTCGCACTAGCTATCTAGTTTCGTTCCGTCCTTGATGAAGAACACCCGCAGAGGATTTTCACAGTCGGCTCACAGTGTATTTAGCGCCCTCCTCTGCCGCACAGACACTATACACAAACATCCATGGATTCTCCGGGATTCGAACCTGAGCCCAACCAAACAGCAGCCAGGAGCGTCAACCACTACACCCATCAGGGCGGCCGTTCAAGCTCGCATTTGAATACACCATTGTAGGAGCTGATTCTTGTACTGCAGTATGAGGATGTTGATAATCTGTGACGCTGCAGATATCTTACTGTAGATGTAGATAGTCTAGATTTTGCCGCCCAGACGGGATAGTGGTTAGTAACCCTGACTGCCGTACCAATGGAGCCGAGTTCGAATTTCGGAGAAGACATGGATGTTTGTACTCATATAGTGTCTGTGCGGCAAGGGGGCACTCGAAATATACAGCGAGGCGGAAGTCTTCTCGAAAAGCCTGGTGGAAGGGGAACAGGGATGGGAGACCAATGGACAGCTCCTCGTGGAGTTTTCCCTCAAAACTGGGGTGGAAAGAGCAGTTAGTGCGATGGGACTATATCTGTATGACTAAATGGTGAATTTCTGGTATCCCGTTCACTTCTAACTGTACACGCAGATACTTGCTGTTATGCAGCACACCCACTTCTTGAGCCAGGGTATATTATGCGGTAATACGATCTCTAACAGTGATGCAGATAAAATAACTGTCATGTGGGGCATTGGTAAATAAATGGGTTTTATGCAGATTCCGCTTGCCTCTTTGTGGTCCTGCTGGACGCATTAATTGGAGATTCTTATAGTTATTGGATCTTGAAGAATATGAGCAGTCATTAGGTTATACGATAATCTGCAGTACTGGTAGCTAAGATATTCATGCGATAGAACTTTAAGCATTATTTATATGAGTTCCTTCTTGATACAAGGGGCATTACATGACGAAGACACACAAAGAAGCAACGAGTAAACACGACTTACGAATAAAAAATTAGCATTTCAATCTGCCTTTTTATACTGCTTTGAGGTGTTATTATTTTTGCCTGTAACACGCTTGCTTGTGAGAAGATAATCGTTTACATATCGCTACATGTTTCCCACACCTTTCGTGGGAATTTCAGGTACGCTGGGCGCTTTTAGAAGTTTCAATGACTAAAAATATATTGTTTTGAAATGCTGTGAAAAAGTGGAAAAAAAAGTTTCATTCTTCTCTTTTATCGCTTAGCGACAACATAACTTGTAATGTTTCATAAAGCTATAAAATTCTTCAGCAAATTTTTTACTGATAAATTCTGCGGGATAAAATCCTTGACGAATTGCCAAGAGAAGAAAACGAGAACAGATGTGAATAATAAAAGAGAGGTTTAACACAGCACGCTACATACACAGTTTAAAAAAAAATATTGCGTTCATAAATAATGCGTGTGAGAAACGATCAGATAATCGGCAAAAGCAGGATCAGTTCAAAACTTTTGTTTATCTTCAACTTCCAAAAAGGCTCACTTTGCGTGCGAGCGGAAAGGCCACGTAAATTTAATCTTTTTTTACATAAATAAAATATTTCTGTGTCAAAGCTAATTTTGCAATGTCCAGTTATAATCTCTAAAGAATCATTATATTTCTTTTTCTGACAAAACAGAATTTTATACCGTAAGAAAGCAAATGAGCTGAGAAATGGATGGGCGTAATTATGCTTCAAATTTGCTGCTTTTAAAACTAACTAAATAAAAAAACTTAATTTACACAAAAAGGCTTACGTTTTACCTTATTCATTCATTCAAAAATGTCGTTAGAACATTATTTTCATTAATTAATGCATTTTTAATACTGAAAGAAAACTTTTATTACACTGCAAAACAGATCTGTCTAGACTTACTTACAGGAATTACCGTTACATCGAAGATCGCAAAAACGCGAGTTGACTGTATATATACACATACTATTGAGACAATAAGTAATAATGCCACGACATAAGCAACTGAAATTACTGGACTTTTCCAGAACGTTATGTCACAATCAGAAGTGAGAGATGATTCGATTAATGAGATATGAAAAATTACTTATGGTTCTATAATATGGATAATAAGTTTGGATATGCTTCCTTCTAACGACGTTTCCTGTATCCATTAGTGAGTGCTCGTTGAAAGAAAATGAAAAAAAAAAAAGTGTAGATCAAAACTTGTTATCTTTCTAAATATCACTAAACCATCAAACGGGTAGATGCCAGTACTAAGCCTTATGAGAACTGAAACTGATTATATTTTTTACTGTAACATCCAGCAGTTATTTTTAGCTCAATACTTTAAGCATTCTTTAAGTCCATTGTACTTTCAACTGCGTACTTTAACAGAGGAAAAGCACGTTAGACACTAATGAGGAGGGTAAAATACACTTTCGTTCATCAGTGATTTTTCAGCATTTTACATTTCAGATTTTAATTCTGTTTTTCCTGGAGATTACTTAAACCACCGTAAGGTGGTGTCCGCCGATAACATCGCGGCAAAAACATCGCGGACGAAAACGTCGCGGAGAAAACAACGCAAGGCGAAAACGTCGTGCTACAAAACATCGTGGGAGAAAACATCGCAAAGAGAAAACATCGCAGTTCTAAAACATCGTGGTACAAAACATCGTCGTCGAAAATAAAGCGGTTCAAAAACTTCGCAGTTTAAAAACATCGTCGTCGAAAATATCGTGGTAAAAAATAAAGTATCTGCAAATCATCGCATGACGATAACATCGCAGACATGCTTTATTCAGGCTTTGATAACTGTAAATGGATATTCCCATAATGATTTGTGAGCGCAAGATGTAAAGGAGGATAATTTTTACTTTCATATTTTTTATTAAATATCAAATTTTTGCTGAGAAAATAAGAAGGAAGCATAGAAAATTAATGCAACTTATAGCACTTAATAGAATTTTAAACCGACATAGTTAACTAACAAAGACCATTAATAAATCATTTTTTATAAAGTTTTTACAGGTAATTTTTCATAAAAAGTATAATCTATTAAGTTGCATTTAATTTTCTATGCTTAAGTTTCCTTCTTATTTTTTCAGCAAAAATTTATTAGTTAATAAAAAAATGTGAAAGTAAAAATTATCCTTCCTTACATCACTTGCGCTCACAAATCATTATGGGAATATCCATTTACAGTTATTAAAGCCTGAAAAAGGCATGTCTGCGATGTTATCGTCATGCGATGATTTGTAGATACTTTATTTTTTACCACGATATTTTCGACGGCGATGTTTTTAAACTGCGAAGTTTTTGAACCGCTTTATTTTCGACGACGATGTTTTGTACGAGGGCCATCCAGGAAGTAGATTACGTTTCCGTCTGTGTCCGCTAGGGGCGGAGCTAGCGCGGCCATCTTGGGGTCAGAGCGTTGCGCAGCTCAGTCTGCATCTAGCCGTGCTAGTGAGAGGTTCGTGCTGTGCTCCGTTCAGATACTGTGACGGTTTGAAATGTCTGCGTTAATTGAAAATCCCGCGAGCTGCACTCAGTAATAAGGTTTCTGACTGCAAAAAAACTGTAAACCGATAGAAATCTATCGGCAGCTTCGTGAAGTGTATGGGGACAACATTATCACTGAAGGTGGAGTGCGTCAGTGGGTCATAAGATTTCAAAATGGCTGAACCAATGTTCACGACGAAGATCGAAGTGGGAGACCCAGCATAGTGACCGCCGAACTTCTCGAAAAAGTCGATGCTAAAGTCCGTGAAAATCGAAATTTCACAATAACGGAACTTTCTTTGAGTTTTCCACAAATTTCGCGAAGTTTGTTGCACGAAATCATCAGCGAAAAGCTTGGTTACCACAAGTTTTGTGCAAGATGGATTCCAAAAATCTTGACAGAGGACCACAAAAATCAGCGAATGGCTGCAGCGTTGAACTTTTTGGACGCTTACCATAAGGATGGTGACTCTTTACTCGATCGCATCGTTACTGGTGACGAAACATGGGTGAAACATGTGAACTGTGAAACGAAATTGCAATCAATGCAGTGGGGGCACACAAGTTCTCCCCAAAAACCCAAGAAATGCATGCAAACAATGTCGGCAAGGAAGATGATGGCGACTGTTTTTGGGGACAGAAAAGGTGTAATTTTGGTGGACTTCCTGGAAAGAGGCACTACAATAAACTCTCAAAGGTATTGCCAAACTCTCCAAAAACTCAGAAGAGCAATTCAAAACAAGCGCAGAGGAATGTTGAGCTCTAAGATCTTGTTGATTCACGACAACGCCCGGCCCCACACGGCAAATGTCACTCGTAAAGTTCTTGAATCTTTTAAGTGAGAGTTGTTTCCTCATCCGCCGTACAGTCCCGACCTGGCACCGAGCGACTTCCACCTATTCCCAGCAATGAAGAAGTGGCTAGCTATGCAGCGTTTTGATGACGACGCACAGCTGCAAGAAGAGGTAACGAAGTGGTTGAAGGCGCAGGCGGCCGAATTTTTCGACGAAGGAATTTCCAAGCTCGTACATCGCTACGATAAATGCCTTAATTTGTATGGTGACTATGTAGAAAAGTAGTATTTGAGTGTGTCTTTCATCTGTATATAATAAAATTTGTTTCCTATACTTTGTTTATTTTTTTATTCCAAAACGTAATCTACTTTCTGGATAGCCCTCGTACCACGATGTTTTAGAACTGCGATGTTTTCTCCCACGATGTTTTGTAGCACGACGTTTTGGCCTTGCGTTGTTTTCTCCGCGATGTTTTTGCCGCGATGTTTTCGGCTGTAACCCCGTAAGGTATTATTTTGCTTGCTTAACATAAGATGTTTCCGCAAAAAACAAGAGAAATTTGATATTAAGGTTAATGCTTTTACTGCCGCTAATAGTTAGTGCTCAATCTTCGCAATGAGTATTCCTTTAGGCGCCTTTATCGTTCTACAAACCTTGACTTGCATACAAAGTAGTTTTAAACTTTGATAATAATAGCACAGAAATAACGCCAAACATTTACCTAGCTTATAACTATAAGGTTTAGCTTTTCAGTTCTCCTACCCTATGTATCTAGTCAATAAATTTATTTTTTAGCGTTTATCACAACAGAATAGTCAGCTCAAGAGGGAAAAAAGATGTATTCCTTACTTTTTGCTTTCTCCCCCCCCCTTATAAATTTTTGAGCTTGACACTGGTTCGTAGTAAATCAGTATTTGTGGTAATCTTGATGTTAAAGACGGGAATATAAGTCAAAGGTTTCTGATTTATGAAAAATTAGAAAGGATAAAGCACTTGACATACATCACACTAAAAACGTAATAAGTGCAAATAAGTGAAAAGATTAATTTGTTTGGTTGAGACTTATTTTATCCACTTTGTATCCCTGACAGAATTTATTCGTATATGTTATACACTTTTTTTTTCGTTTACAGTTTATTTTGTAAAAGTGTTCATCATTGCGAAAAATTAAAAATATTGGACACACATACCAATCTCAGCTGTATAAATTAAGCATCCTTAAAAAATATTTTTTTTTTTACTTCTTTGCTAACTGATTTTTTATGAGTGGGGCAAGCGCTCATGTACTGAAATCTTCAACTATCTCGGAATTCCTTAATATGAACTCACAGTTAGAGGTAACATTATAAGCCACACTTACACTCTACCAAAAGTAATCTCCTACCTTTGCTTTTATAACAGATGTATTGAAAATTATTCTCGGAAATAAGAATGATTTTTCCAGCCATATAATATTTTATTAAAAATATAACCAATACAATAGCAAATACACGCGTGAAATATCAATCATTAAATCCTCTTTTCCAAACGAATCGAGTAAACTGGCAAATGCAGATAATTTTCAACATAAAAATAGCAAAATTACTTACTGGCAACCATGGCCCAGGTTTCCAGACGTTCAGAGTACAATTTCCATAACTGCACCTTCTCATAGTCGATGGTTTGTCATCCATATTACACCACTGCTCGTTGGATTTAAATGGCACTGGCTCTGGATTTATCCATTTATATGCATTAACTCTGTGACATGTCACATTTCTGGTTTGGACTCCTTTACCACAAGTTTTGGAGCACTAAATAACATTTCGTTATAGATGAATATGATAAAGCTTGGTGGTTATCTGGTCATTTACAGAATAAAATGAATACCAAAACACATATATCATAAGAAACTGTACTGATGTTCAAAATTAAGGATAATTTTGAAAGTGGTGCAATATTTAGAAACCCCAATTAAAATTACAATGAATGTATTTATTTATAAAAAATAGATGCTGCAAAACATAAAAATGCATTGCTGAGAAAATATCTACGCACAAAGTATGCAAATAAGGCAAACACGAGTGAATTATGAAAGGAAACATGTTCGATTTGGTGCACATACCTTGGCCAAATGCAAAGGTGTAACTCTGAAAGTGTTCAGATATTATTAATCTGGCAAATGATCAGTACACTCAAGGAGGGTCGGAGAGAGTCAGACATTTTCAGTTATCTGAATATTTCCTACGCATGATCTGAAGATCCTGACACCGCTTTGGATTTACATTCGACCTCAAAAATTGCTAGGACCAGAAGCTGGCCTGATCTGACGCTAATCACAGCAAACACAGGAATCCAAATCCAGGATTAATTGGCGAGAGATATATCTTCGCTGAATGACTGTAAAATAATAAGCAACGCAATTCGGACACTTATTTTCTCAAAGAGATTGAAAACTTGCTATGATGGTCACCAAAAAAATGAAAAACATATAGCTGCGCATATCCCAGAGCTAATCAGAACACTATGACTATGCGGCAGCACCTAAGCAGTTGACATCTTATATGATAAGCTAATACTAATCACCATTAAAGTTTGTAAGCAAGCATGCAGTTACTTAGTTAGGCCTCCTAAACAGGCTACTGCTACAACCTGGTGGACTTTTTCTCTTACAGCAAAGAAAAATCGGGTACGACGCAACACAGAAGTTACCTTAGATCATGTATTACATAAATTCCGCGATGAATATTATTAAAAAGAGCCTTTGCTACCTATAAAAGACAAATTAAAGAAGCAACAGAATTTATAGTTAAACAGCGTAAGAGAATACAGGATTTGGAAGCAGGCGGTATTTGTATGGTTGATGTAATCGTTAACAGAAAGTTAAGATTTATTCTAGCATCCGTATATATTCATCCAACTGTTAATTCAGGGGTTTGAAGATGTTGATTGATACATTGATGAAATATCCTGAGACTTCTTTATTGACCGATGAAGACTTTAGTACAAATACATATGTTTTCTATTATTATGATGGAAGATTTCAATGTACACGTCAAACGAAATGAAAGCCATTTGATTTTATAAAAGATATTTTAATCTCAATATGGTGCCAATATGGTACTATCCAAACACATTCGGCACTGCATTCAAAGATTTAACATTTTCTAGGAATATAACCGCAGACATCTTAAATTATGTATCTTAATTCTCATATCATCGGCCAGTTTTACATAGGATCATTTTGATTGGATAACTGAAATAAATAAAATAAAATACATATGTGTGTGTGAAATTTTTGTTTATTTTATTTGTTCTATAACATTCTCACACTTCTGTTAGTAATCCTACACATTAAACACCAGCGGCTCTTTAAACTAAAAGAGAGAGCCTACCATCATTTTTTTTCCTATTATGTAGCTTGAAAGTGTGTTCTGCTCCTATTTTTGCACGCAAAGTATCCTTTTTATATTTATTAAGTTTCCATTTTTAATATTTTTTCCATAGAAAATTCAAATGTTAAATATCTGTTCAATGCATCCTGTTAACTAAATATACCTTTGGCAATGGAGATGATTCAGTTTCCTTTTTTTCGAGGTGGCCATAGTTTGTTTTTAGCAATAATATTTCGTTATTGTTCAATTTTGAAGTAAGGTAACATGTCTTTATAAATGTTTATGGGTAATTTCTATATGTTCGCTAGCCCTGAAACAAAAAGTTCAATTTACTTTTAACAGTTTTTAATCCTTTAATTTTAAACACCAGTACATTTAAATAACATAAAAGTAAAGACAAAACGATTATGACACTTTATAAAAAATTGCTTTTAATGTTTGAATGTTTATTCTTCTACGAATACCAAACTGTAACAACGAAAATTACTTTTACAGTTTGAGATTATAAAGATCTCTTGGAACTTCATGATGTTACATATTTTATTACCATATCTGTTAGATTACTATAGGCTTCAGTTTTAATGGCCATCTGAAATCAATTATAATTATTAGTGATAATAAACAATGTTTAGTTTTGTGGGGTTTTACTTGATCTAGAATTAATAACCCCATCAGATGTGAAGTGAATTATCGCTAGATCTGAAACAACTACAAGTCATGATAAGACTGTAAAGAAATGTTTTATTTAAACAGAAATGGAGAATATAAACGCCTTTTTTGTGCTAACCGTATCAACCATACCTCGTAGTGATGCAACTAAAAGGAACAGTGAAATTCATATTAAAATGTGAAATTGTAATCAAAGACTATACAATGTAAATATATCCGAAGCTGCCTCAGTAATGATACCGGAGCGGAAAAATCAAATCGTCAGCAGCGAATATGATACAAAGACGAAAAATTAAAACTATCCGAGCTAGGAGGAACCAATACCCAACGTACACGCAAAGCCAGACACGCCCTTTGTCTTAAAATCCGAAAACCTCAGTCAAACACTAGCTATCTAATTTACATTCTGGTGAGAAATACGAAAACCAGAAGTACAGATCCAAATCATAATAACTGGTTAGTTTTAAATAATAACCTTACATACTCTATAATACATATCTTTAAAATATGTAGCAAATGACATGAAAGATATAGTTAACAAAGATGGCTACCAAACCGTTGAGCTCGGATTCGTATCATGTAGAAGGTGGCTACATTTGTAACTATATGATGCATTGTAACGATAAAATATGATATGAAATCCTCGGATTCCAAATCCTGCGGACTTCTTTATTTAAACTACAGATGAATATTAAATCGTTTTGCCACCAGCAATACCTAAGGCCTCAGGCCAACAATAAGCATTTTAGGTCCCACCCACGATAATTTACGAAATTACTCTAAAAACTAATAGCGCGGATAAGCACATTAGTACATTATTAACTCCACGGGGATAAGCATGCTAGTAATTAGCAGTAACAATTCCCTCTGGCAATAACAACCCCTAATGGCCGGGAACTTTCCTAAGTAAAGGTGAAAGATTAGCTTATGCGAAGAAGAGAAACTACAGCATGGTACTTTACTAGCTAAACCTCCATGAAACATTCGTCGGGAATCTCTGCACCCATAGATTATTTCGTCGTCTCTTCACTGACAACTTTGTCCAGTGTGCAGCACAGGATACCATTCGGAGGATCTGTCGTCGCTCTTTCCCTACTTCCAACCTCTGGAGAAGACTTTTGAATATTCGACTGTAAAGATATTATACACTTACAAACATTTATGCTTTCTCCGGGATTAAAGCTCTAGCACAAGGCTATGTCAAAATGCCAAAACGGCGACCTTATGTTAACTATAACGCTTCGAAAAAGATAAAAAGTTAGTTTTATGTTCTTTTCTATTCAAATGGATAAGGCATTTTCTTTAAAGCATACTATCATAATGTATGGAATATTTTTATTTGATCGTTAGAGAGCAATAATTGGGATCTTTGCAATTTTTTTGGAAAAACTTTCGTAAACTTTAAAGGGGAAAAATATTTTTAAAAGAGAAAAATTTACAGAGAACATAAAGAGGATTCACAGTCTATAAAAATAAAACTTGAGAAGCAGAGGCGCGATTTTTCAAATTATCCAGTTACTGAAACTGTGGCAAAATTTTCCCCATTAAAGATTTTTAAAGGAATATTATTTCATACGGAATTAAAAAACACAAAAGTTAGCAAGCCTTAAAAGATAAATGAATAAAAAATTTTAAAATAAAAACATATTTTAAATCTTGTAAATTTCCCAAGGCTGGAAGTTACTCATGAATTCGTTTCTTTAACAATATTCATTCTTATATCAAACATCAGTTTTCATTACTTTATCAACATGCTAAGATCACTTCAGTACTTTTTCAGCATACTTCTAAGAAATATTTAATAAAAGCGTTATAGGATGTAACAATGAAATTTCATTAGGAATTGACGTGACTTTCAATACGAAAAAGAAGGCAAACTGAGGGATAAAAAAGAGAGAACACAGAAATAAATTTCAGACTTTATAGGATTTAAATTTATTTTACCTCAGACCAATGGCCTGTCATCCACGTCATAGTGCAGTGATACTGATGGCACTTTCTTTTAATTCTGGGTTTCCTTTTGTGACTGCAAAAGGAATCTGCAACAGTCATATTGTTCCCACTCACACACGATACTTCTCTGAATTTATATCCTCTGCCACATACAGCTGAGCACTGCAAACAAAAAATAAAATGTTAAAACGATTAGCTTTTTTCTAATTGTGATGTATTCTAATGATCAAATACTTAAGTTACTGAATGATATGCAAGTATTTCATGTTACACTGATGAGACATATAGATTGAAAACACACAATTCGAGTAGCATACTTTCTTACTTTTAATAAAATACAGCAAATGTAAATTTATAAATCTACAATGCTAGAAATTTGATTTCAAAACATATTAATAAAGCAAATACAAATTGAGAGCATTTTAGTTCAAATTTCTTCTTTTATCTGTGTATGAATGACTATACTTCCTTGCAAAATGGAGAGGAAAAAAGAAAGGCAAAATTTAAAAAGAGAAAAAAGAAGTAGGAAAAAGAAAAAAGAAAATTTACCTTCACCAGAGTTTTAAATTCTATTTGAAGGTCAGTCGTAAAGTAGCTGATTAAAACGGTGAATTTCATTGGATGGTATTATTGTTGAACATAAAACATAAACATTTTTGCAAAAAGAACAATTTTAGTAGTGCTTTTTTTTCTCATTGAAACAGTGCATGCAACGAAGAGTAGCTTTATTTTTTATAAGAATTATTCGAAGTTTAATGAAAAAATGACTTGTTATTATTTAAAATTCATTGTAGTATATAATTAGGTTTCTCAATGCAAATAATTTCTTTTCTTTTCTATACCTTTTTGAGCATTAATCTGTTCTTTAATCAACTCTTTCTGATACACAAATAATATAAAACATTGACTTAACCCTTTCCAGCACGCTACCTTTTAAAGTCTCAGTTTTGATTAAAAAAAAAAAAAAAAAAAGAAAAGAAAAGAAAAGAAAAAAGGTAGGCAGTCTAATTAGGCTTAGAGGAGTACACAAGTAAAATTTTGTCAAGATAGCACTTATCGTTTTAATTCTGTGGGTGTGCTCAAAGTGGCATACTGATTGAATAGCTTCGAAAAGAGTGCTGAAACGAGCATTGTTGTCAATGAATTGACCGATGAGAGGCGGAGAAACAAAGAATACAGACCCTAAGTTGTTCTAGATTATCGGTGAGCCCGATCTGGACACACCTAGGGTTCGCCGTTTGATTTTAGGCAAGATTTCAAGGTAAAAATTTAAAACTAATATAGAATAAGAAGATTAGCATACAGCCAAAAAATAACATAGAAATTTCTTTTCAAACAATTCCTTTTATACCCCTAAAAAAATCTGGAAAATTTCTTTGAAAAATGAGGGTCTTAAAAAACTAAGCTTGGCTGAATATATGGACTGGTTTGTGTTGAGCTGCCATCTACTATAAATAAAGAAGGTTCAGAGTAACCTATAGTAACCTATAAATCCTTTTTCATTCAATTTTTCTGTGCATACAGAAGGAAAGTTTTAAGTGTGTTCAGACCGGACACACTGTGCCGCAAAGGGTTAATAAATGTAAGTAGTATGCTTGAGCACATATCATTCCCTATATTTATAGAAACTGACTTTCTTCATGTTTGTTATAATAAAGTGAATTTTAATTTCTTTTGAAGCTTTGATTTAGCAGAATGCTGGTATGCAAGTAAAATGTGTATTTTAAATCAAAACTGTGACAATTATAAATTTTAAAAGATTCTCAAGGTCTGTCCTAAAAATGTGTAAATGGATACTAAAATTATCAGAAGAGAACTGATGAAACTTTAATTGTATCAAATGTTTTAATGATTACACAAAGTAATGAATGCATACTAATTTTTCGTTATACAGAGACAGATAGAAATACACAAGGTATTCGAAAAGTTTGCTTACTTAACAGTAATCCTAAATATTTACTTACAACTATAAAGTTTCTTAAAAAGAAAGAATTTTACAAACTTTTCTTAATTCTAAGGGTGGGGAACATTCCACATATAATGTAAACTAGTTTTCTACATAAATTTCTAAGAAAGAAAAATTTCACTTTAAAATATTCCCTATTCATTATACAAGTCTAAAACAAAAACTTGAAACCTTTAGATGCCAAATTTGAGGAGACACTTGAGATAAACTTTATTGAGTTAACGCAATTTTTTATACCTATTAACAATTTAAAGTCAAAACTTCTGGAGACTAATTTTTGTATAATAAACTAATAATAAGCAGTGTAACTAAGGTTCTGCAGTAAAAAACAAGGATCAAGTTTTACTACTCCGTTTGGGTCAATAAACAACCTGAGCCACTTGATAACAGAGCAACCGCTTGAGATGATCAGAAGCTTTTTGTTTTTGAACAACGCGAACATGGTGTAGAGTCATTAGGTTAATTGGAAGCAGAAATGAAAAATATGCAACCGCCTTCGCCGGGAATCGAATCACGGACCTCTGGAATACCGGCCCAGCGTGCTACCGTTACCCACGAAGGCACGCTAGGGAAGTAGGAGAAATACCTTATATATTCCCCTTTTTAAAGGGCTACTAGGGTTTTAGGGGACCTAGTCGCCAAATCCTGGGTGCGGAGAATCATCATCCACAGCCCTTTTAGTTCGTGCGTCACTTGTAGAGTAATTAGGTTAATTGGAAGCAGAAAAGATGAAAAATATGCAACCGCCATCGCCCGGAATCGAACCACGGACCTCTAGAATACCGGCCCAACGTGCTACCGTTACACCACGAAGGCACGCTAGGGAAGTGGGAGAAATACCTTATAATGGTAGTGATGAAGTTGCATTGCAAACATACGATCAGTGGTTGCAAAGAGTCAGGCACCGCAACACCCAACCACCAATGATAATAAACTCTGGCATAAAATTAAAAACCGCATGAACTGCTAACCAAGTATACTGTCCAAAGTCCTGCCAACTCCGTGCCCAGCAGTATAACAGCAAATAACTTTGCCAGAATTGGGAGGTACTGATTTCTGCTTGTTTTATACCTCATAATTACCTGAAATTTTAATTATTTCATTCCCCCCAGTACAATTATACCTGTGATATGAAAGTGATTCTGTTAATTGCTTTCCTTCACGAGCTAGCAGTTTTAATGGCCAACAATGCATATTATAGAACTTTTTTATTTTTTAGTTCTTCTAATTATGGAGTAATAGTAAAGGTTAAGAAAACATATTTATAACATGGAGACATAAATAACACAAAGAAGCTATTTTTGTCACCTTAATGAAAATGCATGATACTGGGAGGAATGCAACAAGGTTTTCAATAAATTGCAACGTGGAAATAAATTTGCAGCATGTTACTGAAAATGAATACAATGGCCTGAAATCAGTGAAATTTATAATTGTCCGTGATACTTTTTAATTCATCTAACTCGTGATTAAAACTGAAAAAAATAGCACTGAGCATTTCTAACCCAAGAAAGAAAAGAATTGTTTAATTATTACAGAATACATAATGGATATTTGCTTTTCGAGAAAACGATGCCATCTCAAAAGAATTTTAGAATGGAAAGGGTCCATTTTCTCGTTACAGATGAAGAAAAGTATGAGAATCGTATGCTATCAAACCCTTCAACTATTAGGATTAGAGGCTGCCCCAAGCTCCAATGTTTCGCGACTTTAAGCAACTCGATCGTTAGTGGGCTCTCTCAGCAAACGGAGGGAAGGAAAATGTTTTAGACTATGTGGTTTGAAACCAGTAAATGTAAACGTTAGCAAGAATTTCCCATAGATAATCATTCGATATGACTTTAGAAAACGAAGAAAAGTCTGTTTAAAACAGACTCTGTGTGTCTGTTGTTTGTAGAAAAAGAATGTAAACTCTGTTTTGTAGATACTTTAGTGCTCCTGTAACTAGTACATTAATAAGCAATGATTTAACATAAAAAGGATCATAATTTGATTTGGAGCAGACATGTTCACGAGTTTACTCACAAACTTTATATTCGATATATATTGTGAAAAAATTATACCGGAAATACATCTGAATATTTGGATAAAGAATATGACCTTTATTTAAATAAGTGGAGTTAGAAAATTTTATAAACATGACAGAAAGTTATAATGTGAAGTAAGAGTGATTTTAATCATGAAGATGAAATTTTTAGAGACAGAACAGAATTTAAAAGCTGTGTGAATGCATCCCTGTTGTGCATTTAAATCGTTTCATCGAAAGATGCATACCAATCCGACGCTGAATTTTCCCTAACTTTAAGTTCAATTTTTTTTTTTTTTTTTTGGCGTTTACTGTTCTAAACATGAAAAATGAGCAATTTCCTCATCGGGATTCGAACCTCGAACCTCTGTAATATGCGCTGAGTGAGTGTGCTGACCATTACACCACGAAGGCGGGAGAAACACCTCATGAGTTTAGTCATTTTTCAAACGTTTTTCAGTGTTTGGATGAAAAACAATCTTCGGCAAAACAGTAGAGCTCTTCCGTTTCATCCCGTCAAAGATCATAAGCTCCAGTTTCATATTCAGTATTCAGAGTTAATATTACTTAATCAGTATTCATTATGATTAAGTTAATATTATTAAGAACAATTAGCATTTATGAGCAAGATAACATTACTCATAAATATGAGTTTTTATTTTTGATACAGAAAGTAATTACTTTGCCTTAAGAATCAACTCAAAGTATTTCAGAAATATATTACATAAAGAAATCATATTCTAATTTTTAAATTATTCTTAAGATATAATATGACTACAATAATTCAATACACTTTTATATTAAAACTATTTTGCATCCATTGGTCAAATCCTACATCACAGGAGAAATCACCAAGGTAGGAAATTACATATAAGATGGTCACTGATATATCTTTAATCTTGCACTATTTCAGAAGTCAGAACATCCTGCTCCAAACTGAGAAACTTTTGTTATCGATTTAACTATTTTAATAGTTCATTGGCTTTATATTTTTTTCTGTTTAACAGTGAAACTTGAAAGTATAATCTTTATGACTGAAATGTTGAAGAAAGAATTTAACTGCATAATATCAACAAAATAAGAATGCGATATAACTTGTCTTCTTTTTTTTTTGTAACATAAAAGTAGATATAAAAGATCAAGTTTTATTATATGAAAATAAATAGACAATCTAATGTATTCAATTTACAAGCCTTTTAACTTTAGCTCTAACAAATATTTATTTAGATTCTTACCTTTCTTAAAAAAAATAAGTTTCACTGATAAAAATATGTTCATAAAATTTACTTTTAAGTGTAAGTAACAGACAGATAAACGCTACATGTAAGAAACTGTGACTTTGAAGCTCATAAAAACAGCATTATAGCACAAACAGAATTAAATAAGTGTTCTATTAAATAAGTGTTATATTAAATAAGTGTTAAATAAGTGTTCTAAAATATTTGCCCAATTTTGGCACACCAGTTCCAGCTAAGAAAGAAGACAATACTTACCTTAGACCATTTCCGCTTTCTCCAGTGGTAACTGCAGCTCCTACTTCGGCATATTTTTATTTGTTGCCCTGGGTTTGGTAATAAATCGCATTCCGAATCTGGCACAATTTTTCGAGACCGCCGACATCTGGCAAAACGTGTTTGAGTTCCACGACTGCAGGTCGAAGTGCACTATATTGAAAAAGGATATTAATAATGTGCTCACCAACTCTTAATTTGTACACATTTCTTTAATATTTAACATTTTAGTACAAAAACGAGCTGTTAGTATTAAAATATTTTAAATATTAAGGTGAAAATGCAGCTTTCAAATATAGATCTCTTTTCAGTTAGGTTATGCGCTAGTAAATGGATAAGATTACAAAGCACTGGTAATTTATCCCGGGTTTGGTTCGAACGGAACTGGCTGCATAAAATCGTAGGGGTTTTCTGCTTGGTTCTCACAGAAAACCATTACGAATTCACACAGCCAATTTGTAATTAAAACATATTTTAATGGAAAAAATATTTATTCACTCATATATACGTTTGTTTCCATTAGAATTCAATTTTAATATGATGAATCCCAACCAAAGTTCATATTTGTTTCAATACAATAACGTTTTAGATTACTTTATATGCAGAGTCTGGTTACGTGCATTTCGTTTTAAAATCACAAGTTTACTTTTGTAACAGATATTTTTTCTTAAAAGTAATTACATATTCACGCGGATTACTTCCTCCTTCAACTTTGATAAATGAGAAAATTTCTGTTCACTATACGAGAGTATGCTTAAAGCTTAACATGTTGATATCAGAACTCTATGACGAAAAATTTTAAATCTGATGTATATGCCAGCGTGTTTAACCGTCACTGGATGGGCAGAAATTTTAATTACATATTCATGAGAGAAAGATCCTGATATGATGATTACGAACATTACAGAAGGAACAATGTAGATTACAATCTTGCAGCATACAGTATATAAGCTTACCATAACTTTTCTTCAGTAGTTTAAAATCACAGCACCATTTCTCGTGGTGAAAGCACTAGAGTTATGCTGTCTGTTACTAGGAATCAAGGAATCTAGATAAGCTTTCTCCGGTAATTTTCCGGTAACTGAGACCTTTCAGTTTCGAGTTGGATGGGCTAACAACTGCACCACAAAAGTTCAAGGGAAGCCTATTTTTAATTCCTCGCAGAGTAACAAAATGCAACTAATCTGATAGACGAAACACGATTAATACAACGTATCTGAAATAAGAAGCATACAAAATTCTCATAAAAGTCATGTGTGATGTAGCCTGAAATTTGTACAAATACGAAACCAAATTATTCTCTGGCAGGTGAAGTTAATCGATGTCATTTAGTGACTCTATCTTCTTCAATCGCACCATTCTATCCTTTCAGATGGTGATACAGCGGATTTAGTGCACCATACAGCAGACAAAAGAACAACAGGCAAACTGGTTACACACAGAGATAGTTTATAAACTGAAAATTCACGAGAGAGAGACTGTTACTTCAACCTTTACAGAAATAAATAAGTGAACACAATGTTTTAATGGATTTAAAATATTTTTTCTTTTAAATTTCTAAATAATTTGTTATTTCTTTCTGTTACTTCTTCCATTTCTACTGATGCTAGCTTTACGAGGAATTGTACTTAGTAAAAATTAGAGACGGTTCTAAGTAAATAAGCACCAACTACTTTTGTATGATTTACTAATTTTTTCAGCTTTAATCATGATCTCCGTTACCTGTGCTTCTTTTCTCTCTTGTTAAAATTTGTCGAACTTTGGGACTTTGCAAAATGGATTTCACAAAGGATATTAACAATCTTGCTTAGAATTCTAAAGTATTTTGGAAGAAGACACGTTGATTCTTATTTGCTCTTTTTCACAGCAAGTAAGAACTTTCATTTTAAGTTTTAAAAACAAGCAATGAAACAGTGTAAGTTCGATAGTGAAGTGAATATTTCAGTTTATTCCTTTTCTTTTGCAATGAAATAAAGTATTCATCTTTGCAATTCTCGCTTAGAAGTAAATTAACATTTTCTTTATTCAAGTTCGTTTACTATATTGCACTACTTTGGGTTCCAAAAATTTAAGAAGGAATTTGAAAACTCGTTTTTTTAATAAAAAAATAAACCTACACTCTATACGTCGAATGGCCTAAAAATCAGTAAACATTTAAACAAATTATATTTAGGGAAGTTTACGAAGCACACTATTATGGTTATCACAGAAATATTTAAAATTTCGAGGACTAGTTTAAAGATTTAATTAGATAAATTTTTAGTTTAAATTATATCCACTAGATTATATAGTAACTTAGTATCCTGAATTTGTTCTTCCTGCTTCTGAACTATCTCATTATCAAATATAATAATATAAATTTCTGGTTAGATTATTACGAAAGAGCATTTTTTTTAAACTGAAACATATGTAAGTACAGGATTTTGTGAATTCACGAACAGCTATGATATTTCACATGAAACAAAAGCTCTTATTTTCAATGCTTGGAGAGAGTCGAGAGATTCCCTTCAAACGTTTTAAACATGAATGGTCATCCAAAGTCCCAAACCTGCAATCTTTGATTATTGGTTGGAAGACTACCAGAAATGATATGTATATGTACTACAAATCACTTAACGCAACTAGCAACTTTAAAAGGCTTTACCCAGCAGCATGCATTCAAACACTTCTAAAAAAATATTTCTTTTGCCCGTAAATACAAGTCCTCAAGCAGTGTTCTGTAAAGAAAACTCAGTAGCCCCCTGCTCCGAGGGTCGCCTGGGGGCAACCCAGCGTTCTGGCTAAGATCTGTACTTAGACAAACTCGGCTCCTGGGGTAAATAGATTGTCTTCGCAAGACTACAGCCATCGATTATTCAGTGGTCCGTTCATATCACACATTCTACAGAGCTGTATTGGGTGGTTACATCGCACTATTAGCTACGATCCAGAGTTGGGGTTACAATCGCATACGGCCTTCGAGCATGGATCAGAGCCTCTGTCTGGCTGCTTTTTCTTACAATCAGCAATTAGAGAGAAGTATTTTGAGCTCTGTAACAGCTCGCGCACTTAACACAATAATAAAAAAAATGTGCACAAATTTCTTTAAAGAGTCATGATTTCACGCATTTCTGTGCTAATCTGCGTTAATTAATTATTCACAGGAAATAAGCCATTTTTTTAAGTATTAGTAACTTTGGATTCCTCTTGCATATTAAAGTATAGCTAAATAATTAAATTTTAAACAAAAGAGTGATTTTTGGAAAAATCGACACTTGCGCATTCAGCATAATTGTTAGATATTAGGATGAGGAATAGGAAATAAAGAATCCAAAATTCACCCTATTTGCAAAGTTATTGCATAGGGAATAGGATGTGACAGAGGATTTAACTTTCTTTTAATATATAATATGAAACTGCTTTTGTTTATGACAGCATATATAACCGAATGAATATCTGCACCTTAATGAAATGCAATTCTTTGGAAAAAATTGACACTAATAATTTCCTTTTTGAGGAAAGAAGAAAGATTTAGTTTTTAATACAATTTTCTCAAACTTAAGATTAAAAATAAAGATAAAACTTAAGATTATTAATTTCACAAATTCATATTTAAAATATTAAACCATTTCACCTGTGACCAGGGAGACCAGGTCCACTGAGGGCAAAGAGGATTTTTGCAACGTCTTTCTGTTTCGGGGGTAGGTGACTCGCACCGCTCCTTTGAAATTTCATTCCCTTTGTTATTAATGCATTGAACAGTCCTTGTTTGAATAAATTTACCACATAAGCACTAAAAGTACAAGTTCAAAGAAATTAGTTATATAGGGAATTTTAATAAATATAATTATAAATTAGCAATTTTTTGTTCATTGTTTAGTATTTAAGGCATAAACACTTTTTTTCCAATGAGAATGACAAAATGATTACATTTTTGAAAAGCTAATGTTGAATGAACTCTCAACATATGAGGTAAATTTTGAACACAATATTAATCACAAGTGACAGAAATGCCAATACAGCTATCTTTTTTAGTCCATCTAGTATGTCCCATTTCCTGCAGATTTAACGTGTACAGTCTAGGACCGCTCACTGCGAATTGAAAGGAATTTTGCTTTAGACTGTGTATGTGTGGAAAAAAGGAAATAAAATCACCAAATATGTGAAACTGTTTTAAATTGCAAAAATGTTATTCAGATCTTAGACTGATTTCATAAAAACTTAAAACACTACTTTTTTGCCCAGTCAGCTACGTGCTTTAGTCATTGTTTATTAGAAAAAAATTACTATTATCTTTAATATTTTATGTTTTTAATATTTTAATACTCTGATATATGTTTCAAAATTGATATAAAGGTTAGAAATAGAAAAAAAAGAACTGTAATTATAATCTGACTAACACTTAGAAGTGAGTGTTAACAGAAAAAGCATATTTTTGTGCTAAATTTGATACACTATGATGTCAAAGGTTAAATTAAAGAAATTACATGGGTGGGCTGAAATGTTTTTGGACTATCCGTATTCTCTTTTTCGCTATTAGAGTAGTAATCTTGCATTTGATTTTGTGAAAGTTATTCGTTGATATGTTTGTTGTTGTAGTTGGAAAACGGTGGCTTTAAACATTTGGTCACAGCGTGTCAAAATTACACTGTTACGAGGTACCACTCATAATACTAAGACAGTGCTTTTAGCATGCCGCAGTGGTATCTCGTTATATGTCATTAATCTGTTCCAGATCCTTTGTGCGTACTAAACGAAAACTTCCAAAACGAAATAAAGGGAAAATAATAAATCTGCTCTTAATCCCATTGTTATTATTATAACATTGTTTGATAGTAAACTGCAAAATGCAGTGGAAGAAATATACACTGTACATAAATGAAGCACTGCACATAAATGTTCTTCCTTACGCAGATCAAAAGCAATTTTTCAACATGCTGTAACGTCTCTGATCTTTGTTTGATAATCAGTTTCATCCCCGTCTCTCAACAGAACTTGATTTAACCTGCTTTGTGTTCCAGAGTTTCAGACACCAGCGTAATTGGCATATGTTATGCAATAACTAAGTACCGGATACACATATTAACTTCATACTTTTTAACAACCTCTTTTTTTCACCTCCATAGTGATTATAACAATTTTCTTCGTTGGTTGACTCTTTTCATTAGCATGCCCAAAACTCACTGTTAATAAATTTGCAAAACATTAGCATGAAAAAACGCAAAATCACTTGAAAATTCAGAGTTATAGCGCAGATTATTTATTGAACGATAGCAATAGGCGTAGTGACGATCATAGGCAGTCATAGCTTTGGCTCGAAAAAGATAAAAAAGTTTAAAGCACGCACTCGTGACTCATCGAACTCGAGTCGTATTCCAAATATCGTATACTAAATACGATATTTGGAATACGAACACGATATTTTCGCCCCCGAACACGATGTATACCAAACTGGACGTATTTAAAAAGCGAACGTATTCCGAGGCACTGCTATATCTAGAATGTTTTATCGTTACGAGTTAAGAAGAAGCTTCCATGACTATGCGGAATAAATATGATTGAATTTTGTGTTAAACATGAGAAGAATGGTAACAATACTCTTGAAATAATGCAGTATTCATTTGTTGATGAAATACACTCGTGTGCAAAATAAAGAAAACTGCATATTATGTTTATTTTTTATGAAACGTGTTCAACCAAAGGTACTAATATGCCGGCGAAGAATTCTGCAAATATTAAGAGACGAATTCAAGCGTATACGTGATTGTCTGTGGAGCAGCGATTGTGGAGAGGATGTAAGTGCACGAAGGGACTTCGGCGATTTGTGTGCTCGTACTCCTTCACGACATTCTCCATCTTTCTTACAAGAGTTGGGTACATTTTATAAGGTATCAGGTAATATGAGTAGCCAGCCAGTATGGATGATGGATTAAGGTGGAGAACTGCCGGTAGGTTACAGGCAGGCTAATCATAAGCGCAAGTCACTACAGAGTTCAATGCCTAGTTTTTGGAAACAGTTTCATGACATTGGATCGATATCGAGAGACCTGCACAAGATCGACAAAGATCCGCAACAACGAATGAAGACCGTTATTTTTCACTTTCAGCGCGGTGACACAGAGTTGATACAGCGCAGCGTCAGAGTTCTCACGTAAGCTGTATGCTGCCACTGGAAGATCAGTTTGCCGGAAGGCTTCATAATTGTTATGCCAGAAGAACCGCTGTTTGCGTCCCGCAGACAACATGTGCCTTGAACCAGACTTCAGTGGAGCACCGTGCTCTTTACACATGAATTTAGACATGCGTAGTAGTTTAAAATAAGAGGCATTGTTCACCAAGACTGAAAAAAACGTATCATCCATTGCATGTGGTTTTCTGATTCATCCACATGAGTATCTGCACGTTGAATACAGTCTGTCATGAAGAAAAATGTAAGTACAAAGAAAGGTTTTTAGTGATATTGTAAGCAGCAGTGACGCTCCTTGGATATGAAGTACCTTTGTGCGAAGCTCTTCTTTAGTGCTGCCTGTTCCCCCTCCATTAAATTAGGAATTACAAATCAATAATCGGAACTTTAAAAAATTAATTATTAAAGAAAACGCAGTACTCAATTTTGGATTTCAGTATAAAATGTATCATATATTACATATTTATCCTCCTAGTTTTAGCCGCTACAAAATTCTTAATTAAATCGTTTTTAAATAAACTATCCATATTATCATTTTTCGTTTATATCATTTATAAATCGGATGTATGTTGTCTGAATATGCTAAATAATTAATATGAATATGCTAATAAACCTGAATATGCTAAATAATTTTCTGTTAACTTCATTCTCACGAAACGTTTTCAGCAGAAGATGGAGATACGGATTACGCTTAAGAAGGTTACAGAAGGATAGAGAAAGATACTAGATGGATACGGAAGATTCAGATACAGGTTACGTATCAGTTTTCTAAAATTTTGGTACATAGTTTAGTTCTAAAAGTTGTCACATCGACATTATTTCGATTATCAGAGATTTTATTGTTAACGAATTCATGTACATATCTTCATAGTGTTAAAATAAATTTCCATCGCTTTTTACTTTTACTGTTTTTATATTGTAAATCATTTCTGAGTTGTTTTATCTGAAGAAACTGGTTTTTAAAACTTTTTTCAGGCATCATTTATAAACTTATCTGTTACTTCACAGCCAAACATTTTTAACTCTCTACCAAATTTCTGGAAAAACAGACACCGAGATCGTTTCCCAAAATGTTTCTAGAAATAGCTTTCAAACTTTTAAATAGTTTTAAGTTATAACAAATTCTTTGCAACGAGATCGACATATTCTATAATTATTTCAAAATTGAACCTTGGATTCTGCATCCTTTTAACAGCATTTAGAACATCTGAATGTTGTTTGTCGAATATTAGTGTCGAAAGAACATTTTTTTTAAAGTAAAGAGACTGTACAGAGTGTCGTTCCTTCTTACATATTTATTTCAAATGCTGCTTTCGGCATTCAGAAAATTATGTAAGTTTCGCTCAAAAAATCAAAATAAATGTACCTCGCTCCATGCACTGATGTTCCATTCTGGACATTTCTCTAAGTTACACGACGAAACATCTTGAGGTTTCCTGGCAGGGTCGCAAATTGTGCTCAGTTGTCCCTCATCATCATAACAAGCTACCTGCCTACGTCGAATGCCTCCACCACAAGATTTAGAACACTGAAAATAACAATTAATTATTCGCATTAGAAATTTTTGCAGGAAATTAATATAAATTGAAAAAAACTCTTTAATATAGACACCACATGACTTCCTTGTACGGCCTATTACATTACACAGATTTTTTTTTTGTTGTTTTGCCTACACTTCATATAAACGTATTTCCTCGAATCTCATTACAGATATATTTCTCATTCAATCAATTTAGTTCGCGGCAAGGAATAAAATCCCATAATATTCTCAGTGACAATTGTAAAATATAGAAAAACCTAAAACACCAATTACAGATAAAAACAGCTAGATAAAAGCAGTTAAAAGTTTTTGCAATTAAAATTTAGAGTTTCTACGCAAAAACAAGCAATTCGATCAACGTGCAGAAAGATAAATTTCCCAGTGCACAACAATTAATTCTTGGTTAAGTGGTACCAAGTGGTACCAAGAATTAATTCAGTTAATTCTTGGTACCACTGGGCAAAAAGACACTGAAATTCATTCACTAACTGACTTAATTCCCTATATAATATATAAACAATTCAAATATAAACAAATACCCGCTACTTCAGGCCTAGGGCAATTTACGCTTTTAAATTTTGAAAATTCTATAACTATTGTACGCAAATTAACTAGTCATAAAAGTCTTAACCGAAACATAAGAACAACATAATTCAATAACTTTTAAAGCAAAAATACACAATTTACCAATATATAAGAATAAAAAACAGAACTCAAACAGACGGGTAAGACGGCGGATATATATTGCTGCGTTTTTTCTTCTTCTTGACGTTCGTAAGTACGGGTTCGTGCGGATTTGGAGTGAATAATGACAACACTACTTTATGGAATATCGAAACACACTTTATTGGCCGGTAATTATCAGGACAGCTCCAAAGTCACGTTTTACAGTCACTACTATACACTCGCTGCAACAATCAGCAACACAGCCTTCACACTGTCAGGCAATAACGGTGGAGACAGCTTCATTGCAAAGTACCAGAGTACAGCTCCCGACTCTGCTCGGTCGTTCTCGGAACTCCAGGTACTCTAGAGACTTTCCACGCTACAACTCGCGATGCACTCGACGTCACACAGAGCACAGATCCCGACTCTTGGTTCAGTCGTTCCCGGAGCTCAACACACTCTCTCGACGATGCACTAACCGCGATACACTAAGATGCACTCGACGACCCACTCGGCACTCGCTGCCGGGCTGTCAACTCGATCGACTCCGCACGGACTGACTCGCTAGACGAGACACCAACTCAGTGACTGACTATCAGCTCGCTAGCCGAGTTACACAAACACTGACTGCGGACCACCAGATTATATAGCTTTCGGCTTGTGTTCGAGAACATTCTGGTCTAAACCGGTAAGAATTCGTTCCAGAAGGTTCTCCATCCGTCCATGGCATATCGCCAATTTTGTCTCCAAATGGACGATTTCTCGACAAATGTGGCAACCCTGCCTTCCCTTGCCATTTTTTGGCAACCCTAAACCTGCTTTGCAGGGAAGCTATCTTACCGCGCCTGGACATTTCGTAACAATATATATATATATACGCTTGATGTGGCCGATTGTAACAAAAAGGGGGAATCACAACTAAATGCTGTAACAGTCTCATACACAAAATTTCAATGTTCTACGGCTAATCGTTTTTGAGTTTTGCGAGGTACACACATACGTAGGTACAGACGTCATGAAAAAAAATCCATTCTGAATCCATTTTACAATCCGTTTTGGAAAAAAGAGTCCTTTATTCTGTCCGTAAGTTCAGAATCATGCATACAAATCGTTCAAATAGATTCGAGGGCGATCAAAAGGGATATCTTCGCTGAAATATGATAACCGAACCTTTTTTGCGATAACACTTCTTTTACTTCGTACAAGGACGCAAAAAATAAATTCAGTTATTTTGGCTTTATTTTTAACTAAATGCACGAACGCAAACATTTGACACATTATTAATTAACTTATCATGCTACACATTTATATTCTGACACTAAATCTCACTTTAAAAGTAAACAAATAAAAGCACTCAATTCTATTCAAAAACCAACATTTTTACAAATGAATCAACCTTTCTCTCACAGTTGTTGTAACGTTTTTCAATATTACCATCCATTTTTCCATATAGTATTAGAACTCGATAATCATTGATTTAATTTCTTCTGATTTGAAAGATCAACAGCATTATGTACATTTTACACAGGAGATATAATAAATCTTAAAATATCTGTCGCAATAAAATCCTCAGGTATATATTGGAACTTTCAACGGAAGGCTCCAAAATGCCAAACATCTGCATAATACACTAAAGTTTGTGAAAACTGCAGCACCATGAAGGAATGATGCAAATTGAACCGAACTTACAGGAAATGTAAAATGAGGTAAGATATGAACATTATTAGCATCACAAAACGATTGTGCATTCGTGCAATGAGAACCGGCCGCTTGTTCTATGTATATAAAGGACTGTTAAGTTGCGTTGAAACCTGTTTACCGTTCTCTTCCTGCGGTAAACGTTTAATTAGTGGTCAGTACGCTTCGTCATCTGCGGAGGGTGCCATACTAATAACTAGCGGAGTTCGAACGAGCCCACATCGTCGGTATGCTCTCTAGGGTGGACTTTCGTATCGAGCAATTGCAGCCCGCACGCAGCGTAACGCCACAACAGCGATGCGTGTTTGGAAGAAATGGACAGAGGAGAAACAAACAAGACAAAATCCTGGCAGTGGGGTACGCAATAGCACAGGACAAGAGAAACCTCATTCGCATGGCTGTGACGGATCGTACAGCGTCCTCTCATGTGTTAGCGCAACATTGGAGCACGGCTACAGGTGTTTTGTTGTTTAGCTCCACGGTCCGTCGCCGTCTGCTGCAACATGATCTGCGTGCAAGGGTTCCTCTGTCGCTGAATTCCAGACGCCTCCGACTTCAACACGCACGACAATACAATGCGTGGAGTGCCCTGTGACAACAAGTTGTTTTCTTTGATGAATCTAGTTACAATATGGAGTACAATGATGGAAGAATACGCGTCAGACGATACAGAGAAGACATCTGCTCCCACAGTTTGTTATCCAGCGTCAGACCGCACAAATGCCTGGTATCATGGTGTGGGAGCTATTGGGTATACTCGTCGATCCCATCTAGGGCAGATTGCGAGCAACTTCAACAGTGATCGCTACATAAGAGAAGTTGTGGGGCCAGTGGTCCTCCCCATTCTTCGACACATTCTGGTCGCTGTATTTCAACAGGATAATGCTTGTGCACATGTTTCTCGGACTGCACAAGCCTTCTTTAGGGCACCACAGTTTTCGCTTTTTCCATTGCCTGCTTATTCCTAGGATATGTCACCCACTGAGCATGTCTGGAATTTCATTGGTCGTCGACTCGCTCGTACAGCTGGTGGGGTCACACTAAAACTGAACTTTGGCGTCATATGGAATATATGGAATGCTCTCATCGCTCAGTGTGACTCTCACACAAAGTACAGGCTCTCATCGCTCAGTGTGACTCTCACACAAAGTACTGATTTCCAAACTTCTTTTTTTAATATGTGGAATAAATTTCATTCATTTCCGACAATTCCTTCATGGTGTTGCATTTTTATACACTAATGTTGCAACATTAGTGTATGTATTTTACATATCCATTAAACGTTTTCTCACAAAAATATTCACCTTTTTTAATATGCCTTGAACTTTCAATAAAAATAATAGTATATATTTTGTGGAGCTCTATATTTTCGGACAAAGAAAACACACAATGTGGTATCAAAATGTTTCGAGACTAACTCTGTTTACCCGACCTACACCTAAGTTTCGACACCGACAATCATCCTCGACATGAAGGGAGGGTCATTCAAGGCACGCTGACGGAGTTCTTTAAAGACTTCGAAAGCGGTGTTCTTTATGCTCCTCGTTCAGCAGCCTGGGAACGAGCTTAGCAGCAATACGGAGCGTGTAATCACACGTAAAGATTGTCTGCACTGTTCCGTATGACCCACTGATAATGGCAGCAATGTTGCAGATTTTTCTCCAACGATCCTCATGCACACGTTGCGGATTTGCAGAATTTTACGCAGAAATTCAAGTTCGCTTTTCGTTCTAACTTGTTGTCCATGATGAAATCACAGACCTAGTAATAGCCTAGTAGTGGTCAGAATAGCAGCAGCTGCGCAGTTCCCGATGTGTACAGGTCGATGTCTTTTGGCACACCAACTTATGAAGACGGGTGCTCTCTGTGCCTGCGTTTGTAGCCTCGCGCTGGTATTTGTTGGTGTGTTACGGAACTAGTCTCGAAACATTTTGATACCATCCCATATAATCTTATTTCACTCGCACCAAGTGTTTTGCACATGGTACTCATATTTTGTTTCCTTTTTTTAACTTTATAAGATCTCTTCTGATGTTATCTTCTAATGCAATACACTGCTTCTTTTAAATATTACATTGATATATTATAACAAAACAACAATGCAGTACCCTAATAAATAAAGTTTGGGAAAGGAGTAAAATTATTAAGCTACGTAGTGTCCGCTTTCAGTATTAATCATCAGCAAATCATTATAATTTACGTTCGATATTTTATTTTCAATGATCATTATAATTTATTTCCGATGTAGCAATAATCGAAAAAGTAAGCAAAGGTAAAGATTATTGAGGAATTAAAATATTTACCTTGCCCCACAAACCAGTTCTCCAATAAAAAGCTGAATCAACGCTGTTATAAATATCCGGTTGCATGGGTAACTGAATTTCACAATCAACGACTTTGCATATCCTTGTCATTTTTGGTCGAGAATTCAAATCACATAATTCCTCAGCACTTTTCCGTCCGTCTGATGAAAGGCATTCAACGAGTCTACTTTGAATTCCATGACCACAAGTAGCAGAACACTGAAACAAAAAATGAAATGCCAGACCATTTACAAGATATTAGATTAAAACATCTCATAAAACAGCAGTTAACAGAAGAACAACTAAATAGTTTCCTTAATATAATCATAATCATGCATTTAAGAATTATTTTTATGCGCGCCTGCAAATTAAAGGAGCTCCATACGTACATATGTGGGATAATTTAGATCTGATGGATTGTTGCAAATGAATTGATCGAACTTAATAGCTCCAAGACAACATGCATTAAGAAAAGAGCAATTTCTAAGATTAATTAAAATACCGATATCGCTATCAACACGTTTAGGCTTTATGGTAACCATATAAAGGTAATTTTATATTAATTTTTAAAACCTCTATTATATCTGAAAACTTCGATCACTAGGTAAAAAGCTAAACAATTCCTGAATGTTCTATCCGACAAAATGTGTCCAGTTGCTGAAACAAAGCTAACTTGATGATGATACATTTAGAATAACGGAAGTGGAACATACATATATATGGAAGAGAAGCTAGTGAGCTTAGTTCTTCCTTTTAACACAGCAAAGCATACAAGGACTATTTTCATCAGGACAGAGATGTCTTCTTAGATGGCTTGCTTTTAGGTTAGGAAACGTTGCTTGCATTTACTATACATCACAGTAGAAACCAAGAAAACACCCATACAGCCAATCTTTTCGCCGAAGTTTAAATCTGAGTACAATTATCAGTGGTGAGCGGTTTTTAACTACTAGGCCATTGACAGGTTACTAGGCCACTGACATTTTAAATCATTTACATTTAAAATTAAATTACTAACAATTCCTCATGATTTGTCAACATAACCATTCCTAACGATTCTCCTAACGATTCCTCAACATATTCTTCATGATTTGCTGTGAGACATGTGGTTAAATATTATTATGAAGCAACAGGAGATCATGTCTTATGGAGCGAAACGGTTTATTTTATGTGACGTTTATCATATATTAACTACAAAATTAACATAATTGTCCAACAGTTATGAATTTGTGCCGACCTAGCGACAAGCGCGTTAAGATTACCAAGTTTAATACTTTTACCATTAGCTTATCTTTTTTTTTTAATGTCATTGAACTTTTTCCTGCTATGAGTTTACTTTTTTTGTTTTGTTGCAAAAATACTACAGTATGAATCCATTGTTGCAGTTATTATTAATATTTCATCCGTTTCTAAACCGCTGATATCAGGTGACAAGGCAGACCTATGGCCACCGGCGCCTTGGGAAGATTTTCGAATTTTCGACAGCTCCATCCGTTCCTGTTTACAATGTACGTGACAAACGAAATTCGCATATTCTACACATTTCAAAAGATATTGAATGGAATCAAGCTTCAGCACTCTTCTGTCATTCCTAGAATTTCGAAACTATCTTTGCGATGCTCGTTATCAATCAAGATTGAAATTCTTAAACATTATTAACAATTGCTTTGTTGAAATAGTTTATATTGAAACATACTAAACAGCTAATCTATGCCACCATGAAGCTGACCTCTCTAAAGAAATAAGGTGGAACTAACTGTAAGATACAGTTCTAGTAAAACAACAAAAACGAATAATTTTATCAATGTTTTCTTATATAACTACAGAAAAATAAATGCCAGATAGTACTGCACATCGTAATTTGATTATGAAATGTTCCACACTTAAGGAAAATCAAAAGGAGGACCTTTTGGGCAAAATATCTATACAGTAATTCAGTTAATAAATCTACCAACATACAGTTACTTTTGAATTGGGGGTGGGGGGTACAACTGCCAGGTATATTTTTCTGTTATTGCATTTTATATAAGTAAGTGATTTGTATGTAGGTACTAAAGTTAGCTGGTTGATTAAGGCAAAGCATACAAGGTGTATCTTCTTCGAGTACGTAAGACATAGTGAGATAGCATTTACTTCACTCCATTTGGCAACATTCCAATGACCGCAGGCTGGCAGCTGGCACGTCCTCACATGAGCTGGCCGACGATGACGGTTGCATCTTTTGTCTGGTAGCATATGGTCATTCACGGAATTCTGGCAGAAAACCTGGCGGTACATGTTGCCTTGACCGCAACTCACTGAGCACTAAATATATAAAGATACATATATACATATATAAACACGATTAATAAGAGGTCATACCAGAAAATACAGAAAAATAAAAAAAATGCAAAATGATTAATACCAAAATATTCATTTATAGAAACTATAAAATTAAGCTCCTGATATAAAAATTAAAATTTTAAATGGCTAAAAGTAGCATTCATAAATCAAAATGTCAAAAACTTTGGAAAGCCATAAAAATATTTAAAAACAATTCTCTCATTAGTTTTCTTTTACTAATTAGTAATTTATTTTTAACCCTACACTGATACGAAATAAACGGATAAAAGGTAAGATATACTTTTAAAATAGAGTCGTTAATGCGTGAGATATTTCTACTATTATGCCTAATTATTTTTACTAGAATTCAGTGAAATTTTTAAGTTGCTTGGTAATCTAATTAACTAAACCGAATTAACTGCTTGGTTATTCAATTACTTTAGTCAACAAATACATAAACAACTATCCCTTTTTTTAAAACACCATAGAATGAAAAAAATATATAAATCAAGGGAAGAAATGTTCAAAACACATTCCAAATAATTAATTACGCTTCTTTGATAGGTAGCAATTAAAATAATATTACTCTGTCGTCAAGGGGGAATGCACCCTATAAGCATATTAGCCTGCTAAGAAAAATTTACCTACCGATGACCAGTTGCTAGTTTTCCATGTTGGTAATCCTGAATGAACAGTAGTCAAGAAATCGTCATGAGGTGTCGGTAGCAAAGGAGGAACTGAATTCGGATATTCTTTAGAATAGGGGTCTGTCTTGATCCCACACCTTGCTAATTCACAATGAGTACTATGGTTAGGTTCTGGAATGAAACTGCATTCTTCAGGAGATACTTCCCGGCCATTTCGAGTGCAATGAACGTTTCGCTTAGTCGTTCCAACTCCACAAGTTACAGAACACTAAAAATTACGAGAGAAATGGTACACTTAAAACATGACTCTTAGGTGCAAAAACAACAAACTAATTTTTTTTAAATATAATTCACGTTTTAAATAAATTAACCAGATAATGCACAGAAAAGATTTACATACCGGCTGCCATTCACCAGTTTTCCATTCGAGGCATGGTGGCAAGTTACAAGGCTCTGTAACAGACGCTATTAGGGATTCATTACAAAGAGATCTGGATACGACTTTACCCATATGCTGACAAACAAACAGTCTTTGATGTTCGCCATATCCACATGTTGCTGAACACTAAAGAAAGTCACCAATATTAAAAAAATTATTATTAAAAAATCTCTATTTCTGTGTAGTTTACAACAAACGGGTACTTTTAATTCTCTTCCGACATGAATCCAATTATTTGTTGAAAACTTATTCTGGAATAACCACTGGAAATACATTCAATACCCTTGCTTCTATAAATCTCTTTCTAAATCTGGCTTAAGCATATTTCTGCTGTGATAAATGTACTTATATGATACCAAATTAATTATTGATCAGATGGCTTGGAGAGAAATTGCTATTATTTTACTAATATATTAATTTATTTCAAATTATTATCGTTAATTGAATTGCTAGTAAATATTCAGTCTTTCAAATGAAAATGTGCATTCTTTCTCTTTTTTTTTTGCACATTTTTTGGAAAAAAAGCCCCTCACACTTCGTATTTATTTAAAATACCTCTATGTAAATGAGTTTTTAAATATGATACAATAGTATATTCTGAAGACTGCAGTAACCGAAAGACTAATTATCTTCAGCATGCCATAATTATCTCAGAATGCCCCGAATCATCTCAAAATTAGGTACCTACGTTCAAAATATGCAAGAATATTCGTTTTATCTTAAGATATTCCGCAAATTGTTTGGGACTTCCCGGAACATACCATAGAAACAAGTGCATTTGGTAAATTGAAGTGATTTAATTAGTGTTGGCGCTGATATTGGAACAGCTAAAAATTGTTTCATAAAATCATATGAATAAGTTTAAAAGTTTTGGTTTCAAATGCTTACTTCACTCCATTTATCTTCTTTCCAATGGGGACATTCATCAGTTGAGCATACTTCTTCGGTGACTTTGTTACTGTCATCACATGCTGATTCGGGTAGTACAACAGTTTCATCTCCAAAGCAGAGAGCCTTTCGGTGCCGAATTCCTCCACCACAGCTCACGGAACACTATGAAACACGAAAAGTAATTTTTACGACTTTAAAAAGGATTTTAAAGTGATTTTTAACAATACAAACCTCTCTAAATTAACTGTTTTTTCTCCTCAACTATCTTCGAATTAAGAAGCAAATTTATTCAAACTTATGAAAATTTCATAAGTTCCGAAACCCAGAAGCATGAATAACAAATGTGTTTTTCACAGATGGTCCGGCAGAAACAAATACTTGAGATTAGAAACTCAGAATACGCACGCATAATAGAGAAGTAGTGCACTTTAAAAATGTTAATATTCCTAATAAATATAAATTAGATATTTTAGCAGTACAGGAAATGAGACAGTTGGAACAAGACATGACGGAAAAGAAGAGGTATAAAATCTAATTCAGTTGCTTTGATGAACTGATTTTCACTGCATGATACATTCTAAAATATGGCTACAAAGATTATTTTGTTCAATTATTCCTCCCGACAAGAAGTTGATGAAAACAATCTTCATTCTTTCAACATTTAGTTTTTTATCCTTAAAAATTTCTTTAAAACCTTTAATAGTTAAAATATTTTTATTGTTCTGTTGTATTACCTAATTTTAAGGAATTATCATAGCTTTTTGTGTAATGTATTTTATATTTGTATTAATTTTTTTTAATTTACTACCTAATTTCCTTTATTTTTATTAATATCGTACTGATTTTCATTATCGTAAAAATTGTAATTCTATTTTCTAGCTAATTTAATTTAACAGGTTTAATTATTAATATGTGCCAAAGTTTTTAATTTGCCATATGACGCCTATGTATTAGATTTAAAGTGCTTCGGTGTAACCAGTTCAACTTACATCTATGCGTGATTTCTACCGGATGCTAATAAATACCAGATGCTAATAAATACGTGAACGGAACGAAATGTCAACGTTCATGCAAACAAGAAGACAATAAATTAAATTAGCTTTTAATAAATCTTTGCTTGAGGTCTAAACTTCAAACAACAATTACAAGCTAACAGTCTGCTTGACTGGTTATTGAATGCAGGATCAAATTTAAATCTCGAGGAATTCACAATTCAGTTTAATCTAGCAGGAGCCAAAAAACATTCGAACTTTCAATTACAGCTTACCATATGGACAATCATTTCGCTATACTCTTCTAGTAAGGCCAGGATTACCATCAGACAGTCGCCAATATCTAATTCACTCCACCCGCGGCTCCATGTTTATCATTCGCTTAGACAATCAGGTGTTTCTACGATTTCGATTCAATTCTCTTTATACACCTACGCTTACCGTATAAAAATCTACGCAATCTTTTGGGAAGAACAAGCTGCGACTGAAGTAAGAAAGAACAGTAAAGATGAAAATTAAAAATAACGTGTTAGTTAAGTAAACTAAATTGTCACAGACTTTCCGCTTTTACCAATGACCTTTATTTGAATGTGGCAGATGTATCTTATGCTGTTAATTATTTTCTCGTGTTTTCTGTTTATTCATTTCAATTAATTAATTAAATTTAGGTCCTCCTGCTAGTTTTTTATCTAACTTGTTTTAAAGTGTTTAAATTTATGACTTTGAATTTTGGCTGTGTACCCATTTTCTAACATTTTACTTTTATTTTAATTATAATAACTTACCATTTACTTTAGATTTTTATCTCTAGTTTGATTTAATTATTTTATCATCTTTTTAAGCATTGCTTATTTATTTATTTATTTATCTATTATCATTTTTATAAGCACTTAACCATGCCAATTTTTGAACAGCCATTCTTAGCTTAGCAGCCATATTAAAAACTTTCCATGTAAAAATGCGTTTACAGCATTGTTTTTCCAGTACTGTATTGATGATAAAATCAGAAGACCTGAAAGCGTTCAGAAAAATAATTTGTTAAGCAAAAGGCTTTGGGACAGAGTTCATCCCCCTATTAAAATAGTACTTGTCTTCAATGAAATGAACAAAGGTAAAATTACCTGCGACCATTCACCATATTTCCAGCCTTTTGTGATGCATGGGCCCATGCATTCTTCTGAATTAGATACTATCGGCTCCATATGAGCGCAAAAATGGTCAGGGATTGTGTGCGTCTCACCTGAATTCATCTGCTGAATGCATGTGACATCGTGTATAAGAAATCCTCTGCCGCACTCAGAAGAACATTGAATGTTACTTTGGTTCACATGCCACCTGAAAAGCAAAGCAGTATCAACAGCTCCTCTTTCTTTGCATAAAAAGACTAAAATATCTTCTAAAATGCTACATAATAAATAACGCTACAACGCTTTCCTCTTTTATATACAGAAAATTTCAAAGCATTGTTTATTAAAGTTTATGACGATGTTAAAGAAAAATACAACATTTATATTTTGAAAAGAAGTGTAAGAAGAATACACTTTTCAAACCAATTCTATTTGTTAACATCAATTACACCGTAACAAGAGAATATACATTAAGCGCACCTCTATCTAACTAGGTTTTCCTGAAAACTTATAATATCTCGTATTCTTTGGGAACATAAAATCTATGAAACGCCTTAAGATTTATACATGAATTATCACTAGTACCGCAGCGACAGGGAAACTAACTAAGCTTTAATTAAAAAAGTAAAAAGTTGAAAGAATCAGTTCTAATTTAAAATCTTTTAATTTAAGCAATGTATGCTTATTCTAAAGAGTGAAATATCCCATATCTGGTTATTGTTCATGCTGGATTGCATTTTCTGCAAATATTGGATTTCCAATTCAAGTCAGGAAACTTCAAACGGATAATAATAGGAAAATCGTATTATATATATATATATATATATATATATATATATATATATACATACTTTTAGGATATTTAATTTTTCTAGATTATATTTAAATTACTTTAATATTAAAGTTTGCAAAAAAATGTTTAATAAAACAAAGATAGCAGCTTGGCACTCAACTTTACTTACATTAAGCGCCATCTATACAATTAGCAGAGCAACACTTACATCACTTTGGAATATACTTTTGCAGACCCCAACGCTTGTATGGTAGGTAAGTTTATAACGAATTAAAACTTACTCCATTTACTTGCTTTAAGTATTTTTTTAATATTTTTTATGTAGTATTTAAGTATTTTCTAGATATGAAATTATATTTTTAAGAATATATTTGTTTTTTTTAATTATGAATTAGTTTCTTTTTGTTCTTATATGTTATATAAATTTTGTCTATTTCCTTTTTAGTTTCTTTTTATTGATATGCATATTCGTGTTGGGGAGGTTTCTGTAGACAAGGGTTTCTAAAATGCATTGGTTGCTAAATTAATTTTTCTAAAAAATTTATTTTTTAAAATTTAATTTTTTAAAAGGTTTAATTTAATACTTGACTTTACATTGCTTATTTCTCAAAAAACTTCATTGGTCTTTTCCTTTCAGAACTTTAATTTTTAATTGCTAATTTCTAAAGGTACCACTTTATTGGTATTTCTTTTTGGACATTCTTCACTCTTTACTTTTGGTTTTGACTTTTACCCTTGCCTGCATGAATGACGAAACACGAATTGAATGATTGGAGAGTTAGGTTTGGAAGCAACTTCCACTTGATAAGTCTGTCTCCTGCCTGCTCAGCAGTCATTCACTTATGCATTTAAAAAAATTTTTTTAGATTAATTTTAATATTAATTTTAATTTGCTAAATTGGTGAATTTATTCTCATGGTTTGGTTTTGTTCTTGATTTACTTATGCTATCTGAATTTAAATGATATTGTAGATTAGTTCAAAAATTAAATCTTTTATATGTTTGCACATTTTTTAATTATTTTAAATTTGCTTTTTTACATATATACATGTTTGTTAAAACTTAAATTTGTTTAAATTTATTATATATATATATTTGGGAAGAAGAGGAATGTTTAAAAGCTATTGCTAAAAAAGTTTCTTATAAAAATATTAAAAAAAAAAACACATTCTAAAATATAACCTAAAAAAGGTAAAAATAAAAATAACATTCTAAGATATAACATAGCATAACAAAAGTTACAATATTCTTTTTCGTGACTTAATATTAGCAGACAGATGATGGCATCACTATTAAGTTTCTCCAGTGCGTTATATTCTATATATAATAATGACAATGCATTAACTTTTCCTTGACTCAAATTAGACCTTAAGTATGTTTTTATTCTTCTTACTATTTTTTAAAGGATTTTTATTTTCAACTATCGAAATTTATAACCAGAAATTCTGGTTGGGTCCAGCTTATCCGGGCCCCTGGGCGCTCGCCCCAAGCGCGATAAACCTGCACTGACTGGTTAAATAAAATAAACGAGACCTTACAAACTACATAAGCTTCACCTCAGCCAGTGGAGAGTTCTGATGATAAATCGTTAATCTTTCAGAAGATATTTAAAATTTATATCATATTAGTATAATCAACACATTAACAGAATGAAAAAAGAAAGAAAATAGAATCTGCACATATTTTCTTTTACGATTTTCGCTTCTTACAGCTTCTGAAAATATTCAGTAAAATGACTTAATGACAGTAGTTTAAAATGAAGGAGTAAAGCCTTATTTTGAATAAATATAAGTGGCCCTTACTATATCCTTTACTGAAAACGGGGATGGAAAATAAAAGAGCTAACCAAACCATGTGAACGACCCAAAATACGTTATTGAACTAAATCTCTTAATAAATGAAAAAGTGTAAATTTTACTAAAGGTTTACAGTGCATAAGAAACTAGAAATTAAAGTCAGTTTAGCAGGCACTAGTAAATTAAACTCTACTTTATTATTACTTTATTTCCTTCTTGTAAATGAAACTAATGAATACCAAGTGAGGAATAGTTTTGTTAAAATGCACTACAGTATACAATACATCAACTGCATGTTTAAAAAATTGAGATTTGGAAGACTGTAATTATGCTTTCCTTTCTACAAAGCGTTAATTCTGTACAGGCTGTTTCAAAAAAGGAGTTTTAAGCTCTATTTCCTTAAATATGCATAGGATGATTACGTGAAGGGATTCTAGTTATAGAATTTCTCACAATAAGATAGAGAATGTTATGACAACAATTTCAGCACTAAGAATGAAAAAGTAAATGAAAAATAAACTTATTTGGCTGTAGGGTTTATAGTTATTTTAACTAACATTTATTTTAAGTTTAAACTATCTTTCCTGTCAATCCTTACTTTCCCCTGGAACTGCCAATGCCAGAATATGTAAATTTGAGTAGAACGCGCAAGCATTCAAATTATCAGCGGAAGTAGTATGATTTAAATAGAAGGAAACAAGTTCGGTGAGAGAGAGTTATTCTTACTTAGCGAGGCGCGGAGGTAGTTAGGAGGTAGTTAGAGAATTAAAGAACCCCGCGTTGCGGCCTATGTGCTTGGCGGGAAGTAGTTGCAATTGTTCCAGTGAGCTTCAAGTCCGCTGAATTAGCTGCGGCTTTTGTAAAACGCGGTGAGTTAGTTATTTTAGAGAGCCTCGTAGTTAGAATATTGTCTTTACTTTCTTTTCAGGTTCTTATTTTTATTTTGACTGCCGAGTTGGCACCGTTTGTAAGCGTCAAGAGGACGCAATTGTAATTTAGTACGTTGAATAAAAAGGGACTTAAACCCTTTATAAGACTGTGGTTTATACAAGCTTTCACAGTCACCTCTTGGTTGCGTGCTAGTTAGAGGCGCGCAACGTTATATGGCAAACTTTGTAATTGGAATGTCTAGAATCAATGTTTAAAAAAATCTTTTTACTCAGATTCTTGATTACCTTGAACATTATGGCTCAAAGAGTTTCTGAAGGGTATCTGAGTTTCTGATAGTGGGATACCTTAATAGTATCCCACTATTACGGCTATTGAGATACTTTTTAACTTCCTAATAGCATTTTTCTGAGTATCTGAAATACGACCAAAATAGCGTCTTTCAAGATGAAATTTAACATTTGAGAACAGAAACGTTTCCGCCGATAACAAATCCGGCAACTCAAGATGATTAAGAAAAGTTACAAATTTCTTTACAATAAACTGCTTGATGATTGGTGCATTGAACGAAAAAATTGCTGATGCGTCTTGCTGTTCAGTGTTTAAATGCAAGACAACAGATATCAACTAAATAAGATGAAACAAAAACTTTAAACTTGCTTATGCAGACTAAATTTTAAAAAAGCATGTTAATATATGTGAATACCGTTACCAGTACTTATTGTGTGGCAGTTTCGCCGGGAGTGTTTGAAAAATTAACCATAAACCTTTGTAAAAGTAGTATATATGTTACATCAGTAACAATTTTTAAGAATAAATCGTATGGACAATATTTTCTGTTAAATTGCTGCATTATTCCCGTCCTAAAAACGTCATTCATTTTTCATCTATCAGCAAGAGTAATGCAACTGGAAATTACGGGGCACCAGGAATGAATTTCACTTAAATTTCTTGAGCGGAATACAAATTGACAATTACCTCAGAAGACATGTAGGATTACAAACTTTTGCTTCGTGTTGTGGTCGTTCTTGCTCGTGACAGAAACCGTCATGGACCTTCTCATCTGTCACTTTATTCACACATATGGCTTTCCTGTATTGCTCTCCTATAACCTCGAGGAACAACAGAGAGAATGAGAATCATATAAACATAGATACACATATGCATTTTGGATAACCCGAAGGAAAATAAAAGCTTATCGAAATAGAAACTGCCTCACCTTGGCAGACGCTATTACATGGCGACCATGTATCTTCTAGCCGCCAGCGATAATGTACTTGATCGTGTGTAGAGATTGTGTACTGGTAAGTTACTGATGGCGGATGCAAGTTGCCAACTGTGAGTACCTAATCATGGAAAAAGTCAAGCATATTATTAAAATTAAGTATTATTTTGTAACTTTAAGAATAAAGGCTGTTCGCATTTGAGTACAGTTTGCTAATAAAATTAAGTATGTACTTTTGCTTGAAAAAAGTTGTTAAAGGTCTTTTAGTGTTAGGTCTCCGTGTAGAAGAAAGTAATGTGTAACTTATATGATGATTTATATTCTTTTTAAAAAAGAGAGAAAATATATTGCTACTAAAGATTCAACCATTATAATTATACTAAAATAATTAACACAAAAATTAAATCAGATACGTTCAGAGTATTTCCTAATTTAGTTCCTTTAAAGCAAATCCTCAAATATTTTTCTTCAAAAGGCTGTTTCGTTGCTTAAATTGGGTTAAGGTAATCCTATTTCGAGAATTTTCCTTCTTAAAATGAAGCTAGTCAAAGTTTTATTACAAAGTTTTATTAGTCAAAGTTTTATTAGTTTTATTAATTATTTATTATTAAACAAATTTTTTCAACTATAGTTTCAGCAATGTTAATGTTAATTCTTTCGAAAACTATAATGAATTCATGAATTTTCTGTAAAAGATCCAACACGCAGCGGCCTGAGTAACTCAATTTATTACAACAGTGATTTTCAAAATTAAAAAAAAATCTTAATGTAATTTTTTCGGCATTTTTGATAAGCCATACTTACGTAAAATTATTTTTAGCTTCTGTTTATCGGTCTAGAAAATGATTATTATTAAATTATTTATTTATGACTAAAAACGGGAGGCCACTATAGTACAGAGTTTTTCGCAGAGGTAGTCACATGTTAGCAAGCTGTGAAGTGAAGGATATGTTTTCGCGCTTTCCGATGCGAAATATGGCCCACCAGCGGCCGAGCGGTAAAGTCGCTGAACACTGGTAGTTCGGTCCGAGGTTCGAATCCCGCGAACGGGCTGGGCGTTTTCGTGGTTTTCCCCATGTGTAACGTGTATACGAGCCAGTTTCCCTTAGAAAGTCCTCCACGAAGGCATCCCTCCTCTTAGGTAGATAGCCCTCGAGGCTTTGCCATAATCACACACACACCGATGCGAAATATTCCTTTTCTGTAAATCATAAACGCTGTGAAATGCATGGTTTTAAAATTTCCAAGTGCGAAATCAGCATTGTTAATCGGATAAGGAAGAACCGTCAATCATTACTTCGACATGGAGAGAAGACTCCAAACGATTACCCGACAAAGATACGTAGTATTCTAATGTTTCTAAAGTTAAATCGTTGGTAACAAGAGAAAGTACGCTCAAATAGCAATCAATTGTAAAGTCTTTAAATATATCTATGCAACAATAAGTAAATAAATAAATCAAAATTTACAACTTAAAAAACAGTTCATTAGCTTTTGCTGAGACATATTGCTCAACGCAGAGATAAATGGAAGTACATTGTGGCCCTTGATGAAGCATGGGTTTATTTATTATCGAAAACGAAGGGAAAAATGTGCATAAACTTTTCTGTCAGTACAAAGAAAGCTTCAGTGAGGTGTTTAAGATTGTCGCAAGGTTCTTTTACAGTGGAAAACTAAAAATAAGAAGAGCGGGAAAAGTGTTAAAATCAAGTACTTTGAAAAAATGTTTTAAGATCGACACTTACAGAAGAGATTCCATTTCTTTCTCCCAATGACTTTCAAAGAATTAAACTTCACCAAGACAAACTAACAAGTCATGTTTCGAAATGTACCAGTGCATTCCTTACAAAAAATGAAGTCTGATACAGGTATTGCATATATACATTATTAACATATTCCAGCTAAGCCTCTGACGTTCCTACTATGGACTTTTGTACCTTTGGTGGTTTGTAAAGAGCTTTCTCTAAGCGTAAACCAACCACGATTGATGGATTTCGAAAAGTAGAGGAAGAGAAATGGAAATCAATCTCTTATTAAAAGTCCTTCTATCATGGAAATCACGATGCAAGTTTATAATCCAGAAAAATGGCTATCAAATCGAACATTTAAGAAAATACTCTTTACATTTTTAACATTAATTAAATAGCCCCGAAATCGTTCTAAAAATGTATAAACAGCCGCTGTAATCCGCAAATAACACACCTTTTGATGCTAAGTAGGAAATGTCTAAAACTGTGTAACAGAAAATTTTTACCTGTCTGCGTTTTGGCGATAGAAAATCTATCTGCTTCAGTTTTTCGTTAGAACTGCTGAGAATACATTGAGTTCGTTATATTAGCTCATATTCGTTTCCCAGCATTATATCCTACCAGTGCATCTCTGGAACACTTCATATGAAAATAAAATGAATACATAAGGACTTACACAGAATACAATATACAACGTTCTTAAATAAAATGCATAATATTTGCTTTATCACGCCTGTCTCCTTTCAAATACATAGAATATTTCTATGAAATCTGTATAAGTTTGTAATCGTTCTTCTATTAACATAAACGCCGACTAGCTCTAAAAGTATTTATTAGCAGAGCGCAGAAACAGTTACAAAGAAATATACATCAAAATAGAACATACACCAAAACGTTCCTAATTAGGAACACCTAACACTAACGTTCGAATCATGCAGAATTTATCCTCATCGCAGCGGGAGGTCGACTGCTGTAACTTGTTCTCGTCGCCACTAGATGGCGGTCGATAAAATAATTCAGTTACATCCAAATACTTTTGTTAAGATGCTTCTAATTAACATGTTGGTATACCGTTTTGTAATAACCATTAATATAATAATAGCCAATAATGATAACAATTCAATAAAAACTGGACTGATTTTTGAAAAAAAATATGGAACTAATGCCTATATATTATTAAAAAAGTTAAGTATTTTATTTAGTCGCAGCTATAGTGGTGAAACATAAGTAATTCGTAAAACCTAGTTTGCTCGCGTCCCCTTCCCGACGGTTAAAAGGGTTGGTCGGCTGGAAAATGCTTTCCGGATTTTCTTCGTGCGTAATTAAATAAAGCCTAGTATCCCTTAAAACTACCTCTTGGAAAAAACTCTGTACTATAGTGGCCTCCCATTTTTAGTCATAAATAAATAGTTTAATAATAATCATTTTCTAAATCGATAAACAGAAGCTAAAAATAATTTTACGTAAGTATGGCTTATCAAAAATGCCGAAAAAAATTACATTAAGATTTTTTTTTTTTTTTTTTTTTTTTTTTTAATTTTGAAAATTACTGTTGTAATAAATTGAGTCACTCAGGCCGCTGCGTGTTGGATCTTTTACAGAAAATTCATGAATTCATTATAGTTTTCGAAAGAATTAACATTAACATTGCTGAAACTATAGTTGAAAAAATTTGTTTAAAACTACAGTAATAAAACTTTGACTAGCTTCATTTTAAGAATGGAAATTCTTGAAATAGGATTACCTTAACCAAATTTAAGCAACGAAACAGCCTTTTGAAGAAAAATATTTGAGGATTTGCTTTAAAGGAACTAAATTAGGAAATACTCTGAACGTATCTCATTTAATTTTTGTGTTAATTATTGAAAGAAGAATAAATGTAAAAGTAGCAGAAGATATTTCTTATTTCAAATAACAAGCTCTTGCCAAAACTTTCATTCCAAAACATTTGCTTTTTAAAATTCTTTATTAAAATCATTCTAAAAATATGTAAATGCTCTCTGTATATGCAAGAGGACTATGTAGGAATGAGGGAAACGAAAAGAAATAATCAAGTAAATATTTGGTTATTGTCAAAAAGTAAAACACGAAATTCTTCAAGATGTCAAACTGTTTAGAAGTATCCGTAACCATCTCCACGAGATACAATATTTACTTAAACATTAGTTTTTAAAAAATGAGAACGCGATTTACCAAAAGCTGGTAAAACGAATTTCAATGTCTTGCGCGCTTTGTGGATGATTCACATAAACTTTTATCTATAGTGTTTATTCAAATAAACTTATTAGTTATTCACATAAACTTTTATTATTTTACCAACTGGCCCTGTTTAAGCGCCAGTGGGTAAAGATAACGCAATAATGTATAAATAATATGAGTGGTGATGTGGTGTATTTAATTATGGCAAAGCACACTAGGACTATCTGCCTAAGGGGAGGGATGCCTTCGTGGAGGACTTTCTAAGGGAAACTGGCTCGTATACACGTTACACATGGGGAAAACCACGAAAACACCCATGCAGTGGCCCGTTCGCGGGATTCGAACCTCGGACCGAACTACCAGTGTTCAGCGACTTTACCGCTCGGCCGCTGGTGGGCCTAATATGAGTGAAAAGTCGCTTCATATTATACTCCTCACATTCATAATAAAAATTGTATGTGGATTATTTCAACAAACGAAAAAACCTGTTTTACAAGTTTTAAAAATTAAGTACATAGGGTTATAAGGTATTTCTCCCGTCGTCTTCTTAACATGCCTTCGTGGTGTAGTGGTCAGCACACTCAGCGCGATTCGAGAGTTCAGTGGTTCGAGTTCCGGCGAGGGCATTGCTTATTTTTCCCATCTCCTGCTTCCAAATTAATGTCTCTACAGATACGCCCGAACTAAAAAGTGATGAATGGGGATTCTTCACCATTAGAATGTGGCAATTGGGCCCCTTTAAAACCCCAGTCTCCCTTTAAAAGGGATAGTACATGAGGTATTTCTCCCGCCATCTTAGCATGCCTTCGTGGTGTAGTGGTCAGCAAACTCAGTGCGCATCGAGATGTCCGTGGTTCGAGTCTCGGCGAGGGTATTGCACATCTCCTGCTTCCAAATTAACTTGTAAAATTTGTGTCTTCGTACAATGAATTACAAAAAATGATTATGTGTAGGAAGAAATTTTGGGTCTTCAGGAATAAATTATAAAAAATTATTCAATTATTATATTATTTATAACTTATTACAACAAAGAATAAAAAAAATTATAATAAATAAGTGAATATTTAAAAGCACAAAAATGCTGCGTATTTATTATTTTAAAATTTCAAGAAAAATTTAATATTTCTTAATTTTCAACATAATAACAAAATTTTAAATAAATTTTCAATAATTTCTTAGTTTTTAGGCTCAAGCATGAAAGAAAATCTTCAATCTTGATACCAAATCAGCACAATTTTTAACCAAATGGAATTTTTTCTACAAAAATTCTCATGCCATTTAAACAGGTACTAATAGTAATTAGATATTGTTCTTAACATACCATAAATATGGTAACTTATTTTAATTTTTATGCAAAAAAAAAAAAAAAAAAAAAACTTCATTTGTTTACCTGGACAAAAAGATCTTTCTGTAAACGCTTTGTTGCATTAATTCTTTCCACAACAATATCTGAACCCGTGTAATCCAGAATTGAGTCCCCATATAGAACAGATTTGGGGAACATTGAGATCATGTATTTTCCATTGAGGAGGTATTCATGATTCGAGCCTAAAAGAGCTACAATGTTGAAAGAAAAATAATGGCATACGATAAGATTTTTTGTCAAATTATATGCATCTGAGCTGATCTGCAGTTTTATTCAGTCTTTCACATCTAAGATTAAGAAAATACTCATAAAAGAATAACTAATAATTTTTTGCTTCAGGAAAAAGAAAATTAACAAGGAATAAAATTACATGGGTATGATAATTAATCAGGTTAGAATGGCAGCTGGCTCATTCAGAACTAAAAATACAGTACTAAATGTTTAAATGCTTGCAAATGTGTCTTCTTGTACAGGTACAAGCATTCTGAATGTTCTAAAATTACTTCATTTCCGTTTAGAGTTCACATACATATTGTATGAGAAAACGCCTGATTTCGGCTTTATATTGCAAGGAAATTATGTCTGTAAATTTAGCAGAGGAAACTACTCGTAAGAACAGGTGACATGAATGGGCCCAAATACAAACATTATGTATCTACGTAGCACCACTGAGAAAACTGCTTTAAATTCCCTCTTGTGTCAGTATTACGGACACAGCGATAGGTCAGGGAAGGCTATCATTCTAAAAAGAAAGTAATAAGTTTGGTGGACAGCATGAGCTCTTTCCTTATTATACTTAAAAGCACAGGAAACTATAGTATATTGAATTTAATCAATCATGTATGTAGAAGTTATGCATGTATAAGTAAACGGACAATACAGTTTTAAAAAAACAAATATATTCTTCAAGAATGTAAAAATGCAGAATAAGAATTGCTTGGATTAGGAATATGATGATTGATTTGACGAATCTACTTTTTTGCAAAGTGAATAAAATTATCCTCATGTCAGAAAAGTATTTGCGTTTTTTTTTTCTTTCTCTTTGTCTGAGCGCACATACACACATATGCACAGGGTGTTTCACCAAGAGTCTCGACAACGAAAAAACTGAATAACTATTGAATGGAAAAATATTTTTTTATTTAGATATTTATTTTTTATTAAAACAACGGAATAAAGGAGATTAAAAGATAAGTTTAAATCTCCACAAGAAACAAAAAATATAAATAAAACTTTGCATGACAAAATAGATAAGCGGTCAGTCCGTTAACTTTTAAAACCATGAAATTTTATACAAATAATAAATATAATAATAATAATAAACAAAAAAAGGAAAAAGTTAAAAATTATAATTTTTTAATTATGTAGGAAAAGGCCAAAATTCATTCAATTATTCTTATGATTTTATGCCGTTAAAAAGTTTTATTTTGTCATGGGCGATTACAGAAATATAGCCTTACAGAAATATAGCTATTTAGATTAATTAAGATTATTCTAAACACGTCATTCCTCCTGATGACAGCGTCTTAAGGACAATTTTTCTTTTCTACTATTCTTAACTTTTTCCTTATTTCTAACTTTTCCTTTCATTTTTATTAAAAATTAATGGACTAATCATTTACTTATTTTGCCACTTAAAACTTTACTTATATTTTTTGTTCCTTGAGAAAGTTTAAATTAAAAAAAATTTTTTTTCATTAAATTTTGATTACTTTGCTGCTTTAGCTCAAATATTCCTTTAAGTGCAATTACACATATAAAATTATCTTACAACCTTAACTTACAAAATTATTAGAAAACAATTTATACGTATGAACACTTACCTAAATAATTATCATCTTTTGTATTTTTATGGCCGTACTGAAGTATTTCGATGTTGCTAGCACCAGCAGGAATGGTTACGACATCATTATAGCCTACAAATAGAAGCAGATAAATAACAAGAAATTTAGAATTTTAAGTCAAAATAATAGAAAAAATTAATGAAAAGGAATCATTTTATTACACTTTCAAATTTTTAACTGTGTTTATTTTGTTTGAAACTTGATGTTCCTCTTAGAGCAGGGGTTCTCAACCACAAGAACAATTCCCCCCTCCCTCCCAGGTGGGATTTCATAGTTTCAGTGGGAATACGGTCAGGATTTTATTTATCAATTAAATATTTAGTTTTATTTACGAATATAAAAAACTACTTTTATTCTTCAAGTTTTAGTATTTATCAGCATTTTCTACATTTTTTCTTATTTAATTTATAAAACACATTTAAAAATAATCTAAATTTAATAAATGTATATATTTTTTTCGAGATTGCGAGAGGAAGGGGGAAATAATCATTTAGCAACGGTGAAAGGAGTGCACGGGGAAAGAAAGGTTGAAACCCACTGTCGGAAAGAAAGGTTGAAACCCACTGTCTTCTGTCTCCCCCCCCTTTTTTTTAAGGAACCCAAAAAAAATAAATAAATAAATAAATAAATAAATAAAAAAAGGCAGAACTAGTGTTTTGCCTAGCCTATTGCACAGTCTGGCCCTGGTCCAATATACAGTAATTATAGAACTTTTTAATTTTATCCCCTTTCTATTTTCTCTTGAGTATTAGATAAAAAAGGTGAGAGTCCTTTATATTCATAAATGGACGAGAGAAAGACAGAAAAAGCAATGTACTAAGTGTTCAGTGCAATTACTTTTACTTTATATGATGCTAATAACATTTTAGTACACGTTATACTGTTACGCTATTAAATTTAAAGAACTAGTTAACCAGGAGAACCATAAAAGTCTGTCGGGAGAATTTGTGTCCCATCTGACCTAACAAAAATATGATAGCCAAAGGAAAATTTAAACATTTATATGTTTTTGTATATATATTTATCAATGCGCCAACTCGACGGCTACACAAGTTAAAATTAAGAGAAACTGGACTTGTGTTGCGAACAAAATAACAAAAATCTCAGTACAAATTTATAAGTTGTTGAACGCAATTCAGTCTAAGTATTCAGTCTAACCTGAGCTTGAGGCAGTCATAAGCTCAGGTTGCATGAGAACTCGATGTAACACCAAGTGTCATCTCTAATTTGTGGAATCAGTTTAAAAACAGCGAAAGATGTCCAGAAAACTAGGACAAGGTTGCCCCAGAGCCACAATGACCAATGATGACCGTTATTTGGTACTTTCAGCCAAGCACCAGATAACGTCTATAGCCACACAACTGTCTCGTGACCTCGCTATCACTACATCAATAGGATGTAGGAACATCAATTTCAAGAAAGACAGTTTCCAGAAGGCAGCAGCATACAGTCCTGTCTCAGAAACCCGCTAGAAAACCCCTATTTGCATCCCATTCACTAACCCCATAAAATAGGTCCTTTACGAGAGTGCATGCAACACCAACACTGAGTACATCTTTATTGCGCTAAAACTGTCTTCGCGTATGAGTCCAGATTCAGTCTATAACCTGATTCTCAGGGATTATTGATATGGAGGGAACCTAGGACCCGATACCACCCCAGTAACGTTATGGCAACAGACCAATATGATGGTGGAGGAATGATGGTCTAGGTAGAGATCATGGTAGCTCTTCCCACAAAAAGGAATAGTTACACGGAGAACAAAAAGGAATATTTTTCATCGTCAAGAATGAAAAATCTACTTTACTTAATCATTTTCCCTCTGCAAACGAAAAAATTCAAATTTACTTCCACTTTACGTGCAGTTTTTGTGGTACACGTAATGTTGGTATGCACAACTCCCCGTGCGTAACGCAGATATAATGCAAAAAAAAGCTTATAATACAAGAAATATAAAAGATGTAATGCAAGAAAAATCTCTGATCGCTTTTCAATTAGTGTTTATTTGCCCAAATAGGCCAAATTTCACTGCACATTGTGGCAGTGCATGTTTTTGGACAGTTAAAATGCGTTTTGTTCAAAATTTTCTATTATTCACTTGTTCTGACGCATTTTGATTGGGTGTGTGATACGGTATGATAAGGTATGCTTACAATTTATACGCCGCAAACGGAATATTCATTCCATATTAGCGTTCCTCTATCAATTTTTCATCTTTACATAATGCTTTCCCTCACATCACAAATGCATCTTCATTACTCGGAAGAATTTAGATGTGAGAGTAGAACTCGTATTTCTAGGGACAAATGAAAACATGATTTCTCCATTTTTTATCCCAATCAGACTGATTCCTGACTACTAAGTTGCTCAGTCTTTATTGTGGTCATCTAAAAGACATCGCAATTATATTAAATGGTTGTTGAGCCTGCTATAATTATACATCTATATGACTCAGAAAAAATAACAGGCATAGCAGAACCCAAACAGATGGTATTTACATCCACGAAATATAGCAGTGGTTAACACAGCATCAATCTTTCGTACCGCAAGTTTTCGAAGAGAGGGGTAGGAAAATGGGGAATTATTCACCCGATATTGGGGAAAAATGCGTTTCGGTATCGATGCATATATATTACGTGTGGTTTCACATTGATGCAGTACTGTATTCGATAATCTACTTGTGCAACCCCAAATTAAATTAAATAAAAATTTATTGATGCAATTGCTTTCTCTTTCAGTCTTTGTCCCGCTCCAACTCTTAGAAAACTTTCCGAGAATGCCTATGCCATAGACTCAATCTTTAAGAAGGAAACAAATTATTACGTAATCTATAGTACCTCTAAATAAAATAGAAAATTCAATAATTAAACATACTAAAAAGTGATGGTTTTAAAACACTAAGTAAAATAAAATAATTGAGTTATAATTATCAGCAGGCTTAAAATAGAACATCAATAGAACTATGCCATTTAAATAAAATGAGTGCATGTCGAAGTGTAGTAAAAATAACTTGTGCGCCTAAGTCTAGAAATATGCTTCACTAAAAATACTCTGAGACAAACTTCGCAATTCCATATTTGGAGTCAGCAACCCCAAATCCACATATTAGATCTGATGATTTTAGGAACTAATAAAGCCTTTGAAATGTTAAAATCCATTAATGATCCAAGCCTAAAATTTTCCTTGCTGAACTATTAAGTTCGGATTCTTGGTTTCCTGGGCTGACATTGTAGAGACATTAGGTAATTTTTGGAAGCAGAAGAGATTAAAAATTAGCTATAGCCTTCGCCGGGAATCGAACCACAGATCTCTGGAATACCGGTCCAGCGTGCAGAAACCACCACGAAGGCATGCTAGGAAAGTGGGAGAAATACCTTATATACTCCCCTTTTTTTAACGGGTGACTGGGGTTTTCAGGGGACCCAATAGCCAAATCTTGGGTGTGGAGAATTCTCATCCAACATCCTTTTAGTTCGGGCGCCGCTGTAGAGACATTAGGTTACTTTTCGAAGCAGAAGAGATAAAAAATTAGCAATCGCCTTCGCCGGGAATCGAACCATGAACCTCTGGAATATAGGCCCATCGTGCAGAATCACTACACCACGAAGGTACGCTAGGAAAGTGGGAGAAATACCTTATACCATTCCTATTCTCAGGGGCGGGTGGGGCTATCAAGAACTCGGGAAGTTGCCTGAGGACCTGGTGGCTATAGCGCCGCTTCGTCGACTGATATGGATGGTTTAAAACATTAATCATGACTGTAGGATTCATGCAGCAAAAAATGGTAAAGTCACTGGAAGAAAAATATTTAACGCCCCACCTTAAAAAAAAAAAGTAAGTGTAAACGTAGTTAATCTATCGTTTTAACTCCCTCGTCTTTAGTTCATCAGAATTTCATAACTGTTGGATCTAATTCTTTACTCCATAGCATAAAAGCTGGGAATTTTATGTCCGAATACCCGGACGATTTCATAATGACGTCTTGTCATAAAGATTTGGCACTTTTATGCAAGATAGTGACTATTCGCCATGATAAAGATTTCCAGATTGGCGCCTTGGTATTTTGATGGAAGTTGCATTCTTCGTGATATAAATTCAACTTCATAAAAGTACAATGCATCCTTTTTCCAAATTCACCGCGCTGGTCAGACCAATCCCTTCCGCCTATCTCATTGTGGCGTTGTATCTCTTTTCAAATGTTAGTGCGATGAGAAAAGTCCTCTCTTTGTACATGCTGGAATCAAGATGGAAATGAGCTTGCAGCTGACGCCATCTATCGAGTGTACTAGCATTAAAACGCGATGAATGGTGGGTACTAAGATGAAGAGATAGTGTATGAAAGCTGACTTAATTAACTGGGGGGAGGGGAGAGGTTAATTTTCAATACTACGCAATTTGAAAGGGATTGCCAAAAGCGTTCGAAATTGAGGAATGTGTACTTGCAACCAAAAAGTTATTTGTTTTTTAATATGTTTTTATTAATAAAAACATCATTAGTTTATAGGCAACGAAAAATGGCAAGGTTTTTCAGTGTTTGGCAAAATTTAACGGTCTGCCAACTATATGCGCCAGGCAAAATACAATTTTGGAAAGCGACTTCAAATAGCTACAATGATTATTACCTTTCTTCGAGTTATTGATTTTATAAATTCCCAAATGGGCTTTCTTTATATAAAATGCACGCACTCGCCATCCTTTCTCTTCAAAATTTTAGAATTTAAGCAATTGAATTATCTTTCATGTCAAGTTACATAGAGATTATAATGGATAGTTGCTTGGTGCTGCCATCTGTCGACTTTAAGTCTAACTAGCTCATTTTAATCTATTCCGCTTCTGATATATTTGTTTTACAGAAAGCGAATAATTAAAAAACTGTGCTGTTTGCTACCATTTTAATAAATCAAAAGTAGCTTTAAGATTTAAAGAAGATAAAAACAGATGGTGAACACATAAAGGCACGAATAAAGAATCAGTGTAAACCAATTTCTTTAACTGACTTCTATTTTTATTTTTAAAGCCTGTGACACACAGACAGTCCTTCCTCATTGTAATTAAATTGGATAAATCGATTT